ATGTCCATCTGGTGGCCCTAAGGGCATGGGCCACCCGATGTACCCTCGTGTGGTCGGCACCCCCGCCAAGGGTTGGGAAATCCTGCTTTAGATGACAGAGGCGGAAAGATGCATATTCAATGCTACTCAATATCCACTAGTAAAAACACAAAAGCACCCGTCAGTTTCTAAAACATAAATACATTTCAAAAATCTTAGTGAATGCTCTGCAGTTACACCACTTATTATTATTATTATTTTTTTTTTTTACAAATTACGAAACATACATCAAAAAATTGTCATGCCATGCATCAAATACAGGGGTAGAAAATGCTGCACATTCTTAAAGGGAATTAAGAGAAAATACAATATAATGCTATACAATTAGTCGACATTTCCCTTAAAAGGCATGCACGGTAATCCTGATCTCACAGTTTCTTCCCCCTCGCTGTAGCTCATTGTTTCACACCCAATATTTTTACACATCAGACATAAATGTGATGGGAATTAAACAATGAACTAAAAATCACAGTACATTCCTCTACCGACATTACGACTCGTGTAAGAGGCACAAGATGGACGTTATTCATGGTTTATACTCGGCCGCATCGGCCAGGTGTGTTTATTTGTAGGTGAGCAGCCGCGTTTACAAGGGAGCGCAGGTTTGTATTTATAAAAGTACAGCTGGTTCGGAAAGAATGAGGAGTTAGAAGGGGGTCAACAAAACTCCCTTACTATCATTTCAGGCTTTTAATTGCTCCTTTCTAAGCCTGCTTTCAGAAATCAAATACTCTGTAGCAATAAACAAAACGTGTAACGTAAAGATGTGAATATTTATTATCGAATAATATGAATCAGCTCAGTGTTAATGCAGCAATGATCAACCGTTAGTGCTGCACCTAAAATGGATAGATTTATATTTCAGTGGGCATATCACATTAATGTCCTTCCTGAGGTTTGTGGGAGTTACACTGCTGAGAGGGATCATCACAGAATAGCTGCCTCTATAAACTGTAACTACCACTAAGCTTTGGCAGCATTTGTACCCGAAGGCCTTACAGTTAGGTCCTCCCCATTAACCCATACATTACCCTAACAAAACACACACCATTAACCCCTTACACTACGCTAGTATTATCATTATACATTAAACCCCTACACTACACAAACATTAGTCTACACTAACACTATTATTAAATATTAACCCCTTACACTACGCTAGTATTATCATTAAACACGAACTCCTATACGACACAGACACTAACCATTAATCTCTACACTAACACTATTACTAAATATTAACCCCTTACACTACGCTAGTATTATCATTATACATTACACCCCTATACAACACAAACATTAATCTCTACACTAACACTATTATTAAATATTAACCCCTTACACTACGCTAGTATTATCATTAAACACGAACTCCTATACGACACAGACACTAACCATTAATCTCTACACTAACACTATTACTAAATATTAACCCCTTACACTACGCTAGTATTATCATTATACATTACACCCCTATACAACACAAACATTAATCTCTACACTAACACTATTATTAAATATTAACCCCTTACACTACGCTAGTATTATCATTAAACACGAACTCCTATACGACACAGACACTAACCATTAATCTCTACACTACACTAACACTATTACTAAATATTAACCCCTTACACTACGCTAGTATTATCATTATACACTAACCCCTATACGACACAGACACTAACATTAATCTCTACACTAACACTATTACTAAATATTAACCCCTTACACTACGCTAGTATTATCATTAAACACTAACCCCTATACGACACAGACACTAACCATTAATCTCTACACTACACTATTATTAAATATTAACCCCTTACACTACGCTAGTATTATCATTAAACACTAACCCCTATATGACACAGACACTAACCATTAATCTCTACACTACACTAACACTATTACTAAATATTAACCCCTTACACTACGCTAGTATTATCATTATATATTAAACCCCTACACTAACACTATCACTAAACATTAACCCCTTCACTCCATTAACACTATCACTAAGCATTAATCTCTACAATACAAATTAACCCCTACACTACATCAACATTATCACTAAACATGAATCCTACAGTACCCTAGCTGTAACCATTAACACTAAATCCCTTATTTTCTTGAATTCAATGAACGTGTTGTTCCGTGACCAGCATTGCAGATATTAAATGATAACATTAAATGACTAGTGAAGCAGACAGGACAATTCCTCACTGTCAGGATCTGTTTAAACACAGCCGAGGGTGCCACCACGAATGGTCACCGAATACGGCTTCTGGTACTTTGCAGAGCGGATCCTGGCGGGTGACAGTTCATCATGACAGATTCATTTTAAAAGTCTCAAGAAACGCGGCAGGGTTATAATAGAATCGAAAATATATAAGCAATGAAAAAAAGCAAAATAAATAAACTAACAACCTCATCAACCCTTTTAATGATGAATAGCACAGAAAATAAAAATAGTAACACAACTGGAAAGAAAGGTTAACCCACGAAATGTTATGTTTAACCCCTTGAAGACCAAACTTCTGGAATAAAAGGGAATCATGACATATCACACGTCATGTGTCCTTAAGGGGTTAATCTTATAAGAGCTGCTGGCCTATAATAATTAGAGCTATACCATGTGCAGTGTGGTGTAAACATATTACCACCTTTTAATATAACATCAGGCAATATTACTTGTTTTTTACTTTTCTACCAAAAACAAGTAAAAGGCCTTGAAACGGAATATGTGCCTGACTGCCATTAATCACCTTCAGTGAAGGACGGAAAAATAATGTATTCCTTAACGTGTGCTCCAAGGTCTGAGATTTCATGGACTCGTCATAACGGTGTCTGAAAATGACAAAATGCTGTGGACTGTCCTTCTACGGCCAACCCTACGGACTTCTAAAAGAGACTATAAAATAAATAAAAAAACAAATTTTATAGGGTGACCCCATAATAGTTATGGACTGACCTGTGTTCCACTCAGGCAGATTAATATTATTCAAAACATTTATAAATCATAGTCGTATATTGCGAGGTCAAGGGATGCTTATAAACACACGGACCTGCACGCAGTAAAACAGCGAAATCAAACGTTTGCAGTCAGGAGAACATCTGATATACATCTGATATCATGTAAGCACGCTAAAGAGGATCGGTCACTCTTAAGAAGATTATAGCATTGCGTAAAATACTGAAAATCATCTATAACGTGGTATTTTATTCCATTTCCTTTTAAAGCATATTAAATAATTAGTAATCAACATCACAATTCACTTCAGGTCACACATTGCGTTTGAGGAAGAAGCAGAAACATTGTTCCATTACTCCTCCTCTCTGAATGTTCTCTCTATGCTGAATGTCTGGTGTGAAGGACGGAGCTTATAACAATGATTGACAGGGAGCTAAGATGGAAGCATCCAGTTCCATAATAAAGCTAAATACAACCGTGTGAACTTATAGATTTCATTTTATAATCCCCACAAAAACATATTTGTAAGACGAAACATTTTATTAAAAATCTCGGTAAGTGACTGTTAACCTTTAAATCTAAATCCAGTCACGGAAGACGAGATATTGAAATTGGAGTAGAAACAGATTTTTCTCTCCGTGATGTAAGATTTGTTTACTGGTAAAGTATCACACCCAGGTGATGTGATGGAGGAGCGGTACACCCCAATACACCAAGGCCAGTCGGCTGATATCACATTGCTCTCGTCAGACAGAGCTTTCCAGCTGTGAAGCCCCAATGCTCGAATTATAATCTAGAATTTAAATTCATCCACCTGGAATCTTATTTTTTTATTGATTTTTATTCTCATTTTTCAAGCATAGATCCAGCTGGCATTTATCCATGCTTAGCGATTATCCTAACATTTCGGTTCAACAAGTCTCTAGGTTAAATAGTGTTAGCAACAGTAGAAAATGTGAAGTCTTCATAATTGTATCCAATTTGCCAACCCATGGTTCACTTTGCACCGACCAGCTAGTTTATTATGCCTCCAAGTCTGCGTTGTCCATTATGAAAAGTGCAGTACAGGAAATATTTACATTTATTTTAGAATTATTAATAGCATTTGAGAACATTTTACTTACGAAAAATTATAATAGTAGTTTAATAAGAAATACAAAAAAATTAACTTTTTTTGTTTAGACAAAAAGCACACTTAAAAAGTTACTTTGACCATGACAGTATCAGGGGTAGCGTATGGAAACATTGCAAGTCATTGCTTAACAATCCGTTGATGGTTATGTAGCAGTAAATTACGTTTTCTGTAATACTCCGGTAGTTTAATTGGAAATGTAGTTCTTGGGCATTAGATTAGCCATCAGTGCCTTTGGCAGAGAAATCCTTGTGGTGTTAGAATGGTGGACTGGCTCTTAAATCTCACTAAATACCAGCTAGTTAATTCAGTTCCTTCTGTGCCTTTTGTTAAAAGATCATTTTTATTTAATTTATTTGATTTATTGGACAGCTCTCTTTCATACAAATTAACTTCTAAAAAAAATGAAAATAAGGGCAAATCTACACAGTAATTAAACGACGACACATATTAACCTGATTTTGAGGTTTGTAAATCATATAATTTATATACCGATACTTTCTGACATTCGTATACCTCACTCGCAGTATGGCTTTGCTTGTACACTGCTGAAATTCAGTTAAATGCAAGAAAAGCAGAGAATAAGTGAAATAAGGTAAGCTAAACAATGTCAGTTAGTTTTCAGGAAATGCGTAGAAATGCTGTGTGAGTCTCAGCAAGGGAGGTGTGGCTACATAAAGTGATTTAACTTCTAAATGGCAGAGAACAGAGCAATGAAGCTGCAGGGGTATGATTTACACACCAAAACCACTTCATTAAACTAAAGTTAGTTTGTTGTAAATAGAATGTCCTATATGTGCAAAAGCACCAAAGTCAAACACAAAGAAATTAAATAATTTAAATTCAAAATTTTAATTTTAATATGAATAACAAACAATTTCATTGAAAACATGGTGATATAAAAATACATAATATAAAATCTGATTATTTACAAAATCTGAGAATATACCTGAAGGTTAACATTACGATTACTGACTTTTAATAGAATAATATAGAAGTTAAGGATTGTGCTGTATGTATACATGTGCTGGTTAAAGACATATCAGCTAGCTGAGTCTAAGGGTCATTACCGGACACCAAGTAATCAATAGATTAAGGCACTCTTAACAATATAAACTGAAGTAGTGTTATCAGAGAAGACCATGGTCTGTCAAAACAGTAAGGTAAGCCTATAGAAACATTTATTGAAGAGATTAAGGAAGATAACAATTGCAAACTCAGCCACATTGATTACTGGATTCAGAGCCTTAATCTGGCCAAACGCAGGGTTAAATGCACTTCATGTCAAGGCACACTGTTATAAATTGGTTCTTGGCAGCCGGCACTAGGAGCCACCTCTTTCAAAAAGTATCAGCACCTGATGAATCAGACTCAATAAAAGTAGATTTAACGTCTTCATTGTCCTCTTGATTCATAGACGGAATGGTCAAAGACATCTTTTTGGGTGCGTCTACAAGGGTTCCTAGGAGAAAACAATACACAAAATGTAAGAAAGATGTACACATGCAAACACATTCACTACATGAGAATAAGATGAATACCCAACAGCTATATTACTGGACACCAGGATCCACTACTGGGCTCCCTGTCAACTGGCAATTATCTGCCCTGCTCTATGTGTGTCAATAAAAGTCATATTTTCATGTCTCTGGCTCCATATCAGGGAGATCTCTCTAACATGGTAAAAGATTAGAGGTCTCATTAGTGTTCCCCCTAAGGAAGCAAGACCAGGGAAGTAGGGGTACTGAGAGCCAGACAAGCTTTCTATACTATTTATAGAATTATTACATTGATATATGTATGGCCACTGGTGATATAGGACTACAGATGGTCAGACTGGGATGTGGGATTGTAGCTCGCTTGGACAGATGTCCATGCACACGTGGCCACTATCTGATCTGCTCGAAGGCAAATATTCAGATTAACTCTTTGTATTTTTTTAAATCACACATTTCTCCTGTTTTTAATCATTTTTATCATACATTCAATACTTGCTTACGGTAGTTACATTTGTGATATTTAAATAAGAATATTGAATTTTAAAAATTGCTAGGATGAATCATATTTCAAAGGATCCATCATGCAAAAAGTAAATGTAAAGTATTCTGCATTATTTATAGTAATCTGCATTATTTCAGGAAAAAGAATTACCTGGACCCTGGCTCTGTCCATTAATGTCTAACTACGTACATGAAGAGAAGCTCTGAAGGATCAATCCTGAATATGATCATCAGATAGAATATTGCTTCTATTAGTATGTATGTAATAAGGCATCTTCCGAATAGGAATATGTTACTGCTAAACCTGCCAAGTCCACGTGTAAATGGGAGGTAATTGCAGCTCTTATGAAAACAGAAATAAATAGTATAGGAAAACATGATTTTATTCACAGTTTCACAAAAACCGAAAGGCGTATATAAATACAACATTTTTTATTTTTTAGGAACAGGGCCCCTACTTGCTGTAACCACCCCCTCCACTATCTCCGGTGTGACCTTCACTCCTCTTTGTTGGACCAATGTTTTCAGAAAGGGTTTGTTTCGGAGTAATAAAGATAAAGAGAGCAATATGTCAATAATCCTAACAAATATGAGATTTGAAGAGGAAACCAAAGCAAATCATTGACTGGAACGCCAGAAGGAGGACTTTAACGAGGGGGAGAACAAACAGATAAATGTTATTAGCGAGGAGGAACATTCTAAGGGTGGATTTACTCACCATTTTATAAAGTATTCTAGAAATAAATTATACCCAAATGTAGGTTATTTTTCCAAGCACAATAACCACTACAGGTAGTATGGGTAAAAAGTCAGACTACTTACGTTGAGTGAATGCCACACTGTTGTGGTTATGGTGCTTAGAGTATTCATTAAGCGCTACAGAGGAATGTAGAACAATGCTATTTACAAAGAATATTGCCATTAGCTTTAGTTTTAGGCTGGGCTACTGCAAAATACGCAGACGCCAAACGCTAGCTGAGCTCCGTGAATAGAATTACCTAAACTAATTTGTCTCAGACAACACCATAAGAATTACTATAAAAATCTAAATCCCCGTTTTGCAGTTTAGAGAGGAATTTGTGTCCATTGTAAGCGAACTGCTCGAATTACACATATTTCTGTGTGCTGACCAAGCACTCGATGCTTTTTGGAGGTGATAATGACACTTTGCAGAGTACTGTGTCCTTAAATGTCTGGCTAGAATCACAGTCAGTGACTCCAATGCCAGACAAGCTCCGCTGGCTGGTCCTCTCTAATTTCTTTGTTAGATGAACAGAAATAAATACAAACATTGAGTCTTTCCTTCGTGTGTTCAGTCCAATTAGGGATTCAGCGCACGCTGCCAAGTCACTGGAGCTGTTTTTAGATTTCCTATGCATTGCATTATGTCCATAATTACAGCTAATATATGAAAAAGTCTAAGACCCTACGCAGCACATCCATTATTGTATTACCTCGTTAAAGCTCATTATTTTTCAACAAGTAAAAGTATTCTTCTGGAAGAGTCAGTGCACAGATTCAACCACAAGAAATCATGAATAATTTTGCAGCCATATATGGAGAGAATTAAAAAGAATCAGCACCGTCAATAAACTATTGCCTAACCACACTCAATCAATCATGTCTTCATAAGCAATTTGCAACTCAGTTCTACTAATGTTTGCTCCAGACTGAACAGTTCAGAGGATAAAAAAAGACAAACAAAAACCTTAAAGTAATCTGTAAGTAGAGACAGCAATTGAGATTTATCAAAGTTTTCTGCTCTAAAAAGTCATCAAAAGTACTGTAAACTGGGCAATCACCATTTCTGTGATCCTCCCTTTTACATTTTTTGCACCACTTTTAGAACACTATAATAAATCTCTCCTATTGTGCACCAAAAGGAATTCATAATGCATTAACTACTATGAAGCTCAATGCATACAACCCAAGTGCCCCGATTTTGTGTGACAGTCCATAGTGCAACTTCCTGTCTCCTGTGTCCTATTTTTGGTAGGACACTAGAGAAGAAAAGGAAGAAATTACAAAAACCAGCATATGATCGCTTATTTCAGTTATCATGAACAGTTTAAACCATGTAAAATCATTGCAAATGAATAGACAGACCGGAAAGCTGAATACCGCCAGTATCAGTTTCCATCGTAGGAGTTCCTTCCATCCCTATGCATTCAACCACAAGTACCCAAACATGTTTTACGGTCAATTTTAAATCGTTTCCTCGCCCTCATTAAGTAAGTTCCATAGATCGAATTTTAGCGATTGCTTTTTGTTGAGCATGTTAGGACAAAGAGCTCAGCCATGATGCAAAAGAATTTACAGTAGGCCCACCCACTCACTGTAAAAATAACAAGGACTTAAGTCCGAAGATGGGACAATCCTGACAACAAATAAATAGAAGAGGAGTCAAAGAGCATCATTTGTGTTATTTAGCCAGACTTCTTTTCTGGTTGACTTACACACAAATTATCTAGTCTAAGGGTTTTAAGTGAAGTGATTCCATTAGCCTGTTCTTCTAGATTCTAGACTTTGATTCAACTACGTCTGAAATCTGTCAGGACTTTCAACCTCTGCAGTACTAGGTAAACACTAGGTCGAACTTTTAGAAAATTCGACCAGAATACAGATACCCGTAAAGATTGAAAGAACGAAAACTAGCATCTGCAACATATATATTACTAGCGCATAAAAAGGGAGCAGTCTAATAACAATAAAACATTTCAAAGGTACTAAAAATTAAATAACATTTGTTAGTTTACAGAAAGAGCCGGATCACATTTCACAAGTCAGTTGTGATAAATGCAACGAAGGTGAAAAGTATCTCCGCAGTATACTAAACTGAAATGCTAAAAGACGATTGGAGTGTCCACAATAAAGAATCATTAACAAAATAACATTCAGAGGAAAAATGAGGGTAAAAGGGCTAGAAAATAATTATCTCGGATAGAAAGAAAATAGCCTTATTGTTGCCCCATTAAAGAAACACTGCGGGCAGTGTAACTGCATCATCTCATTGAAGTGATTACAGTGTCTGGAGTCCCCTGGCGATATTCTTCCATTCTGTATTAAACTGGGTTTAATGTTTTAATGCTGTGAGCTCTGGGACACACTCATACACATTGCACATTACTGTCAGATTCATTGCTGTGGAGCTATTAGATACTGTACATTCTGAGAGCATGAATCGATTATTATTACTTATAAAGACATAACAAATTCTGTAATGCTGTACAATGGTTGGAAAAACAGACAGTATTTGTAACAAGACGAGTTGGACGCATAGTAACAGAGGGATTAAGGGTCCTGCTCAATGAGCTTACATGCTAGAGGGAGTGGGGGTAAAGTGACACAAGAGGTAGGGATCATAAACATGTAATAACACATATACAACAACCGACTTGTTATACTTTTATGGTTTATAAAGTGCTAACACATTCACAGCACTGAGTAATGGAGATATTATTGTGCTATAACGATCCACTTTAAACCTTTTGAGTGTTAGAGGTGTACTCAAGGCATTGCGCTGTGTGCAGTACAACTCAGATGAATAAAGCATCCTCATGATCCAACATTCTTTATTAGGAAATCAGAAAGATTTTGAAATATAACAAATAAGCAACAAGGGGAGGTTCAGTGTATATTCATAAATTACAATGGGTAAAGAGCCTCTATCAGGAAAATAGTTTATTTTGAAAACGCGTAGTGACCTGAAAATATGTTTTTTGGCCTGTCTGTACTGGATGGACCTGGCACATTATATGTATTGTGCCACAGGACACGGCGCACAGCAAACATTGTATTGTAGAATAATGACTTTTCCCGCGGGGTGCACGAGAGAATCCTCTCATAACTGGAACAGTCTCATGTAGGTTCTTTTACAATTCAATTCATTTTTTGTATTTAGTATATAATATTGAAAAAAACAAAAACATTAAAATTGTTATAAGGTTCCCCAAGTAAAAGTTAACACTACTAACCTGTATTCCTAACGCTATAATTTTTATCTAACTATTTTAGTGGGTCCCCCCTGTTGTGTGAGGGTTTGATAGGCGAGATTTTCTTCCCTTTGAGCCCTCGCCATGCCGTTCTTTAATGTAGGCTCTCTGCCTCTTTTCTGAGACCATCAGTGTAGATGATCTCCGTCAATCTAATGTTTCCCCATAGGGAGTAAAGTGCACATACACGTCAAAACGATGCGTTGCGCCATTTAAATGTGGTCTATGAGACCATTGTAATGAATATTAACTCGACTCTGGCAGTCAGACAGCCACTAAAGGCATGTTAACCATGCAATGTAAACATTTTCAGTTAATCTGGGTAAATAGACAGAGACACGACACCCAGACCACTTCAATGAGAACAAGTGGCCTGGGTGCCTATAGAGTTGTGATGTGTATAAAATCCATTAAATAGATAAATAAAAAATTGGAAATAATAGCTACAGATCAATGGCATACACAGTATTACTTCTGAAATAAGAGTATTCTTGAATCTAGCATATAAAAGGAACATTTACTTATGTTCGTTTATATATGGCCAGCATATTTTTGTTTTATAGCACCCATAGTTTTTTAGTCCCAATTTTCTAAACTTTCATAAGTTTAGCTCATATGTTGAAGTCTAGCAATCATCACAAAAACAAGTAAAACATGAACATTTTTAGCACTGCACTGCAACAGAGTATCGCAGAAAAAATATTATTTGCATAAAATGCCCTGTTTGTGCCTTTTCATAAAACAGTTTAAATAAATATATATCTACATGCATACATAATAAAAACACCACAAGTAAAAGCGATGTTTAAATCCTGGATGCCATAGATACCCCATATGAGCTAGTTAAGCAGTACCTTCAATCATAGCCGAGATCATGGTAAAATGGACAGGATGGTGTAAAGACTAGGTTGCCTGATTTGCTACCTGTCATCATCATCATCATCATCATCTGTCTGCTTGTATACGGATTACAGGTAAAATACGAAAATCATTTCACGTACTCTAGGCATTGCATATGAAACATAAAACCAGATTCATACATTTTCCGTAGTATAAGTAGGACAAGCTCATTTGGGAAAATTGAAATGCAAACGAAAAGCCTACAGAACTCCCACCAGTTGAAGCAGACGTAATAGAACTGCTGTTATTGCCCTGTAAAACACGGTTTAATTTGGAACATTTAAGAAAGCAATGACCGAGAACCACACTAAAGCTATGTGTGTGCTGCTTGTATAAAACACAATTTGATGCTTATAGAATTTAATTTGCTAATAATCCACAGCGGCCTCCCACCAGCCTGTGATGTCATTGTTTCAACAGCTGGTTCTATGTTTCGTGCACAAGAATATCTCCGTCCTGTGGGCTTTCAATAACGTGTTCTCCTTTGCCAAGTGTTTGAAGTTCCGGTGCTGAAAGACCGTTCATGCTACAGTCTCCGAAACATAAGTACAAATATGTGTTGCAGGCTGCATTATCTGGTATATGCTGAAAATGCGAGGGTAATTCAATAGCCTTTGTCAGCAGCAATATTCTCAGGACAGAAATTAGATTAACATTCTCAGCAAGTGAATGTTTTCTCTGATAGTCAAACATAAATTAAAGTTACATACATGGAGAAGTAATGCTCTGTAGGTCTGTGTAGAGGTCTGTGACTATATAGAAGTTGTGACGGAACTGTAGCCAGAGTGTCATTATCCGTGTATACTGTCAATGCCAATGATCTTTTAAAAGAAACTACAATATTACAATATAATACTAGTGTCAAAAACACGTTAGGTGGCCGTCCCTCCCTTGACTTTCTTAAATAGGATCAGGACACACCTTTTAACAAGCGCTGTGCGAATTTGCTGGCGCTGGCCCTGGCCCCGCTTCGCCCCCTTGGCTGAGATCATCATAATTTATGATCTCAGCCAATCAGCATCTCCTCAAAGAGATGTGTCAAATCAACGTATCTCCATGCAGAGTGTGGAGACATTGAACATCAATGCTTCTCTTTGTGCTGTACGACCCCAGAAAGTACCTATAGTGGCTGTCTGAGTGAGTGCCACTGGAGGTGTCCTTAGGGAGCAATACAAACACAATCATTTTCTCTGAAAAAGCAGTGTTTACATGAAAATGCCTACAGGAACAGGGTGTAGACACCAGGACAACTATATTAAACTGTAGTTGTTCTGATGACCATAGTGTCCCATTCAAATCAGAGGATTGAAATGATCTGAAATAGAGAGGATTGTTCTTTGTGACACCATTTGCTGGATCAATGTTTCACCATTTTGAGGAATGTAAGAGAATGAAGCCTTATGCAGGCATGTAATAGCTGTACAAGCAGACACAAACCATACAGTACTGTTATCTCATGGTAGGAATAAACTAGCCTTGCTGTGTGACTGCTTGAAATCTTGGTATGATCAGACGGATTGTTCATACTCTTTGATGTTGTATTTGTTTGATGATACCAGCCCACTCAAGAGGGAATAGAAACTGCAATCTAACTCCACGCTGGGAACTAGCTACTTGGTTTATTAATCTATAACTTTGTTGCATCTCTAAGCAATCTTCTAACTATGGGTCTCTGTGCATCTACCTGCAATCTGTGTTGGGTATATTAATTAACAGGAAAGAAACAGACACATTAAATTGCAGATTTATACATTTAAAAATAAAAATACCATAACTGCTGCCAAAAAATGCCCAACTCTCTAGACACAATGCAAATAAAAGAGACCACCAAAGGGGCACAAGATATATTGAGTAAAATCCATTATTCATTAAACCAGGAACTGTAATGAACAGACTTCGGAAATGTTATGCCAAGAAGGTAGACAAAAAAATAAATAAAATAATTAACAAACCAACCTCTAAATCAGATATTTTCTAAGCTCGACTATTTTGGCCTTACGACCAATTCCATGTCATGTTTGCACAATTACAATGTTATCAGGAAATAGACACAGGTTCACATGTCTGCCCTAAAGGACTCTTGATTTGTTGATTATGAGACCTGCACTCTAACAAGCCAGTGATCTAACTGATGGTAAGGTTTAATTGGTTGAAAAATCAAAGACTAACGGTGGATTACCCACCATTTGAACTTGATTATCCAGGAGAAAGCCTTGTTTATCAATGTGTAAAGCCAAATTAACCAACAGGAACCGCTCTAAAATGACAGGTGAGCCACAAAATCGATCATTTGAAGAAAGCATCACCCACAAACACAGGCAGGTATTCAATAATCTAGTATAATGCGTTCAAAATAGATTATAATATTGTAAAAACTGGTCAACCAGTATAAAAGTTACAACAAATTAAATCCATCTCCATACACATTCATGGAAAATACAAAAAGCATGAGTGAACAAATGGCACTATATAGGTACTGTGTTACAATGTATATTCTATGTTGGCTATACTCCGCTTCACTTACCTGTGTATTACAGAGTGTCAATAAATGCATTCATTTCTCTTAAAACCCTGGATCAATATTCTCAGATTCCACATCCTCCATGCTTCCGCTTAAGCATATACATAACGGTAAAGGAATGATGTCTTACTAGATCGAGCTTCCTGAATATCCTTATATATTGTATATTCCTGATTTAAGCCCCTTTCCTGTTTTTCATTACTTTCACACTTTTACCTGAGTAAGCATGTTGGAACCTTAACATTCTCAGTCCAATAGAGACTGGCAGAATCCAGATAGACTGAATGCCAGGTAAACATTTGTTATTCATCCAACATGAATGTGCATATAAACTCTTAGATCTACACGGCTCCATTAATGACTATCATCTCATGTCTGTCTCCCATTATCGCCTTTAACCCATCTCCCACTCTTCTAAATTGAAGGCAGATTTTCATCATAGATTTGATTTTTGTTCTTTAAGCAAAGTGTCGCCAATAAAACCATTTGTGTAAAGGAGGGAAAAGAAGTGGAGTTGAATACTCGACCAGCAGTAAAATGGTTAAAGCCATAACATTTCCCAGCTGGCAATCTTTCCTTGCATTCCACATGGGCACCTGCAGCCTTTTAATTTAACTTTCTTTTTTTATATAAACCTTCACAAAGCAAGGGAACATGCTCTTTTGGTTATTCAAAGCTCTGCACTAAGATTTTTAATACCATAGGATTACGTTTTTTTTATTTTATTATTTTAACATGAACCAGATGTAAATGTTGCTTTGTAATATGCACTGTGGGCTAAGGTGTTATGATTTACTGAGGTTGGAAATATACAGAACTGAAATGAATTAGGAAATGTTATGGGGAATATAGGTGTTACATCCAAAGACGCATTGATAAAGGACACAATATAGAGGAAAGAAGACACAAGAATACAAATTTATTAAACAATACCTTGACTCCTGCTTGGAAACATTGAGCTGACATACATGCTAGGCTCAACAACTGTCCTTTCCGAATCTTCCTGGCCTCCTGTAATAATTAAGTTTAAACACATGTTTATTTTCTTTACATTCTCCTTACATTAAAAAGAATTCACATGCTTTAACGTGTTTTGGTGAATCATAACCGTGAATGAGTTTTCAATTTCCTTTTTTTATATATGAATAATAAAATACAATGTAAAAATGTTAAAAAAAATTAAGTCATAGGTTAGTCTATGCTCTAACCTCCTTCAGAACCATGATGTGACTGCCGAATGACAGATTTTTCTAGGTTCCCCTTGGAAATTCCATAAGAATTAGGAGGAGTGAGATTACCTCGATGTCCCACGTTAATTTGGGGGAATGGTGCCTCCTCATTGCACTGAATGTTTCCCATGAAACAAAGATACATTGATCAATAACTTTACACTGCGGAAAGCATAACACACATCACCCAAATGAAGGTTCCATCCCAGAGGGCAGAAACATTAGGACTGATTGATTTTTTTAAAATTAATTCTTTATTCTGGGAGGGTATTGACTCCTTTGGAAACTATTTGAACCCTAACAATGGTTTAAATACATAAAAATGTAGAACAGGAGAAATAATTAAATCCATTTTTTATTTTTATTGATAATTATCATGAAACCAGGAACTGCAAAGAAAGGACCAAAGGATTTGGAAATGTTATGCCAAGAAGCTAGACTAGAAAAAAAAAATACAATATATAAAATAAGAAGTCCCCCTCCCCTTTGGTATTTTGACTATTGATATTCATACAATGGGTTCCAAGTCTTATTACAAAGCAGGGCCATGGTTGTAGCAATGCTGGCATGATGTCCAACCATTTATATTAAACAAGGTAGTCAAAAGAGTCTTTTGCTAAATAAGAGGAAATACGATTTTTTTTGTTTGTGATAAAAAACAAAACATTAAAATAATATTTTTATAAGAGTCATGTGTAGCGGACCCCGGGTAACACGACCGGTTACCTCCGCTAATTCCTTCCATTAGCCGCTCAGGAACCACCCAGAATAATAAGAGACCGAGTTCTGGAGGTACAACGCGGACAATCCTTTATTGGTATACACAGCTTTTAAGCACAGACCCCCGCAGGCGGTCGCCATCCTGTTCAATACAATCCCAGGCTGGAGGGGGATAGATTACAGATAACCATCTCCCGCTCTGGGAGATACCAACTGCACAACAATTACAAACAGTAAAACACATTACATATATGCGCCCCAGGAAGGGAATGGGGTACACACATGAAACATACGTTCATGGATAGCCCCGGGTCCCAGCTAGGACCTCTGCAAATAGCGGGGCTATCGGATGTACAGAGCCCGAGAAATCATCGTCCAAAGTCTGGGCTCAAGGCTCTGTACAACTCCGAAATTAGCTCCACAGCATTGCTTGGTTTAGACCGGTGAATTCAAACTTCGCGCCTAAACCAAGCAACAGCCAATTCGGAGAAAGGGCGCAAACAAAATTGCGCCAATCAGTGCTCGGGGAGAGTAGTTGTTCTGTCAGCCAATCCGAGGAAAGGGTGCGAAACCCAATGACGCCACTCAGGGAAGGGAGGTGTTTTGCCGGCCAATCAGGAGAAAGGGCGTGAACTGACTGACTTCCAGGCGCACAGTGGGGGCTCTGCGGCTGTAAGGCAGACTCACAGTTCAGGGATTCTCTGCTGGGCTTGCGTCTATATCTCCGGTGGATATCTCCACGCAGGTAGCGTGAGAGCGCTCTTTGGGCACCTCCTAGCCCGGAATAGTAATTCAGCTCTTTTAGGACGAGTTAGGGCGATCCGAACCGCCAGTACCCCAAAAGTGTCCCCATCAACCTAAGGGACCTGATCATGGAGTCCCGGTGCGAAGACCCCGCAAGGAAAGTGTCTACTTTCAGGATATTAATGCTCCCCCTGGGTGGTGTTTGCCTATACGAAATGGCAGCCACCAAGGGAGAATTTCTGTGTCTGTCCAATCACAGACTTCCCAATGCAGCTCAATGAGAAGTCTTTGCAAGACAGGTGCTCTGGGCAATTGCTGCCTCTTCAGTTCAGTGCAACTGAGCTAACCAAACCAGAGGTGTAACCTTGTTACACCCTCTGGCTGTCTGATTGATTGACAGAGGGTGTAACAAGGTCAATTTATAAAAGTGGCAATTTCGATTGAAATCTTCACTTTTTTTAAAATTTACAAATCTGACACACTCTTCACACATAAAGCACCTCAGCGAGCAAATGTGCTTTTTGGGTCCAGGGTGTGCCTTTAACCCCTTAAGACCGGAGGACGTACTATTACGCCCTATTTTAGGCGGCTCTAAACAACGCCGGGCGTAATAGTACGCCCTCCGTTTTTTTTTTTTAACTTACCCGGTCACCAGCGATCCCACGCCAGCGATCGCGTTGGGGGGACTTCCAGGGACCCCCCCGCGGCACATCTGTCCTCCTGCAGCCCCCCCCCCCGGCCATGTAAGAGTGAGGTCCTTGCGAGGTCCTCACAATCACATGGCCGGGTTAGCTGGCTGCTGTATTGCCAGCAGGGGGACTGCCTGTAATGACAGGTGGTCCCCCTGCTGGCTGGAAATAAAATAAATTAAAGTTAATAAAGTGTAAAAAAATAAAATAATATACTTAGATCATACATTATATATATATATATATATATATATATATTAATGTCAAATTACACATAGACTGATACTGATTAAATATATATATAATTATTGTTATATATATTTATATATAATATAAAAAAATAAATATGTAAATACGTTAAAAAATAAAATTAAAAAAATAATTAAAAATAATAAAAAAATATATAGATGTGTGTTATTTTGTTCTAACTGTATTGTGATAATATATATATATTTATATCAAAATACACATAGAACGAAATAATATATATATATCTATATACATAAATATATACGTATATATCACTATATATACACACACCGGTAAATAAAAATATAAAAAAAAATTATATATATATATATATATATATATATATATATATATACACACACACACACACACACACACACACACACACACACATATATATATATATAAAACACAAAATCCAGCACACTCACCTATCCACTAAACAGCAACTTCAATGTTGAAAGATTTTATTAGCTTTTTTAAAAACACCTAATCTAGGCAAAAATAATGGGGGTTTAGTTACATTATATGATCATACATTGCATAAGCCTGCCAAAACCCCCCCTTGTTTCATATTATATATATATATATATATATATACACATACACACACGTGTGTGTATATATATATATATATATATATATATATATATATATATATATATATATACACACACACACACATACACATATATTAATTCTACATATATATTTATGTAATATTTTTACATAATTGGGTATCTTAATTAATTACAATTAGCGGGACCTGCCTGCCAACCCATGCCGAAAGTAAAGGGAATTCAATTTGCTAGCACTATATATAACCCTATAACTTTCCAAAACACCATAAAACCTATACATGGGGGGTACTGTTCTACTCGGGAGACTTCGCTGAACACAAATATTAATGTTTCAAAACAGTAAAATGTATTACAACGATGATATTGCCAGTAAAAGTGAAGTTATTTGCATTTTTCACGCACAAACAGCACTTACACGGACGATATTATTGCTGCAATACTTTTTACGGTTTTGAAACACAAATATTTGTGTTCAGCGAAGTCTCCCGAGTACAACAGTATCCCTCATGTACAGGTTTTATGGTGTTTTCAAAAGTTACAGCGTTAAATATAAGGCTTGTGTTTCATTTTTTTCACATTAAAATTCGCCAGATTGGTTACGTTGCTTTTGAGACCCTATGGTAGCCCAAGAATGAAAATTACCCCTATGATGGCATACCATTTGCAATAGCAGACAACCCAAGGTATTGCAAACGCGGTATGTCCAGTCTTTTTTAGAATTTCAATTTCAAATGTAACGTGCTATATTTGACCCTGTAACTTCCCAAAACGCCATAAAACCTGTACATAGGGGGTACTGTTTTACACGTGAGACTTTGCTGAATACAAATATGTGTATTTTATTGCAGTAAAAGCAAACAGTATTATGACATTGACCGTTAAAATGTCATGTAGAACTAAAAAAAAATCTATCCCATTGTTTTCATATTAAATTATGTTTCATAGCTAAATATTTGATATTAAATGAAAGCCCTGTTTCTCCTGAATAAAATGATATATAATAAGGATGGGTGCATTTAATATGAAAGAGGTGAATTACAGTTGGACAGACATGTAGCGCAAATGCCAGGTTTTGTTTACATTTTGTTTTGTTCACAACGAGTACATTTGGCGGCGTCCTTAAGGGGTTAAAGCTGAAAATGTTCAATTTTCCAATCTATTGGGCATAAAACTAAAATGTCCTAATTCCCCTTTAAAATATTCCATACGAGATATATAGATTGTGCTTACTAAATTGCTCAAAGCATAGTGTATATTTCTGCTGAGTGTGCAGGAATGTAGACCCACCATGCATTGCGTCTGCACATCATAACTATTTCAGGTTCATAAACTTTGAAACACAATAAATATTTAGATTCAACTGATCTTATTGTTGCAATACATGAATTATAATGTGAGTGTTACCTAAACAAAGCAAATCACTGTGGAGAGAAAAGATGAATTCACATTTTGCAAAATGAAAATCAAATTTATCTGGAAAAGTGAGAAAATCTAATAATCCTTAAAATATAAAAAAAAGTTACAATGTTAGGCGAGTCAAGGACACACTGCAGACATGTATTGCACTTTATATAGAAGAGATAATACGCCGCCGAGAATTCACTCCCTAAATGTCAATCTGTTCGAATTTGGCAAAGCACCTCACTTCCGCAGTATAGATGATAAGGCGCTCTGGTGCAAAGCTCTTTTCTCATGTGGGGGAGATATGGGACAGGATTTTGTCCAAGTACTTATGTTTTTGCCTGTTGATGACTTTATCTTGTGTAAGACAGAAAGTGACAGCAGCGCAGATTAACACTTCATGCCGAAAGCTAGGGCCCTCATGTCCTGAGCGTTATACAGGAGAAGTGGCTTGTTCCCAGCCTTGTGCTAATCCAGCTATAAAGAAGCTGCTATTTGTATTTCACCATCATAAAGTGTGGGTTTATAAGGTTCTAACAAGAGTCCAATTTAACAGTTTGCACCAGACTAGCTTGTTAAGGCCCAATTTACAAAACAGATTAAATAACCAGTTCCACTATTCCATGTGCAGGGATATTAGAGAGCCACTCCAAGCACCATGAACACCTGTGCTATCCATATGGTCACTGTAGAAAGGAAGTCCCCTGTCCTGTCTTCCTGCATGATTGCAACTTTAAGCAATGATTATCCATTATGTGATAGTTATCACAGCATCACATTATTATTATTTTATTATTTATATAGCGCCATCAGATTCCGTAGCACTGTACAATGGATGGACTAACAGACATGTAATTGTAACCAAACAACTGAACGTACAGGAACAGAGGGGTTGAGGGCCCTGCTCAGTGAGCTTACATTCTAGAGGGAGTGGGGTATAGTGACACAGAGGGTAAAAGTAGGGGTACGAAGTAGGTTGTTAGAAAAGTATTAATTGAGGGCTTAGTAGGTAATTTTTGACAGTTGCAGGAAAGGAGTCATGGGAGGTGGGGATAAAAACCTGCTAACAGTTTAATTGATATGCTTTCTTGAAGAATTGCGTTTTCAATTATTTTTTGAATGAGTGGAGACTGGGTGAAATTCTTACGGAGAAGGGAAGGGAGTTCCACAGAAGAGGTGCAGCCCTGGAAAAGTCTTGGAGGCGAGCGTTAGAGGTGAGAGTACGGACAAGACGTAGGTCTTTGGCAGAGCGTATGGGCCTCGACGGGACATACTTGTGTATTATTATTATTATGATATTTATAGAGCGCCGTCAAATTCCGCAGCGCTTTACAATGGGTGGACGAACAGACATGTAGTTGTAACCAGACAAGTTGGACACACGGGAACAGAGGGGTTGAGGGCTCTGCTCAATGAGCTTACATGCTAGAGGGAGTGGGGTAAAATTACACAAAAAGGTAAGTATACTATTAGACTAATGACAGTTGCAGAAGAGGAATCAGTTAGGAACTACTAACAGTTTAATTGATACGCTTTTATGAAGAAGTGGGTTTTTAACGATTTTTTGAAGGAGTGGAGACTGGGTGAGCATCTAACAGAGGAGGGAAGAGAGTTCCACAGGAACGGTGCATCCCTCGAGAAATCTTGAAAGCGAGCATCAGAGGTGGGAGTACGGACAGACGATAGACGTAAGTCTTCAGCAGATCGTAAGGGCCTAGATGGGATATACTTGTGTATAAGGGAGGATAGATAGGTGGGCGCAGCATTATGTAGAGATTTGAAAGCAAGAACCAGAATATTAAATTGAGCTCTATATTTTATAGGAAGCCAATGTAAGGACTGACAGAAGGGTGAAGCATGGGAGGTGCGGGCGGACAGGAAGATGAGCCTCGCCGCCGCATTCATTATGGACTGTAACGGCGCTAGTTGGGAGCACGTAAGACCACTGAGAAGCGGATTACAGTAGTCAAGGCGAGAAAGGACAGTGGAATGGACCAACACCTTAGTCGCATCTGGCGTTAAGTAGGGGCGGATGCGCGCAATGTTTTTGAGATGGAAATGACAGGATTTGGCGATAGATTGAACATGAGGCTTGAAGGAGAGGTCGGAGTCAAAGAGAACACCTAGGCAGCGAGCCTGCGTGGTGGAGCTGATGGTAGCACCGTTGACTTGGAGGGACAGACACAGGAGTAACAACACTTGAGGGAGGAAAGACCAGAATTTCAGTTTTGGTCAAGTTTAGTTTAAGGAAGTGGGCAGCCATCCTGTTAGAAACAGCAGAGAGGCAGTCAGAGACACTAGTCAAGAGGGACGGGGAGAGATCAGTAGAGGACAGGTAGATTTGCGTGTCATCTGCATAGAAATGATATTGGAAGCCAAAGGAGCTAATGAGTTTACCAAGGGAGGCAGTATAGATGGAGAACAGTAGGGGACCAAGGACTGCACCTTGGGGGACACCAACAGAGAGGAGTTGGGGAGAAGAAGCAGAGCCAGAGAAAGAAACACTGAAAGAGCGCTGGGAGAGGTAGGAAGAGCACCAGGAGAGAGCAGTATCTTGTAGACCGATATTGCGGAGGATGAGAAGAAGCTGAAGATCAACAGTGTCAAAAGCCGCAGACAGGTCAAGGAGAATTAGGATAGCGTAGTGACCACTAGTATTAGGGAGGATAGGTAGGTTGGAGCAGCATTATGTAGGGACTTGTAAGCAAGCACCAGAATCTTAAATTGACCCCTATATCCAACTGGAAGCCAATGTAGGGACTGACAAAGGAGGAGACGTGAGCGGTGCGGGCGGACAGGAAAATGAGCCTCACCGCCGCGTTAATTATAGATTGGAGCAGTGCAATCTGGCAACACGTAAGACCACTGAGAAGAGTATTGCAGTAGTCCAGGCGAGAGACAACAAGAGCATGGACCAGCACCTTAGCCGCATCCGGGGTTAAGTAGGGTTGGATGTGCGCTATGTTTCTGAGATGGAGGCGAGAGGATTTGACAATTGATTGGACATGATGGGTGAAGGAGAGGTTGGAGTCAAAAATAACACCCAGGCAGCGAGCCTGTGAGGTAGAGGTGATGGTAGCGCCGTTGACTTGGAGGGAGACAGACACAGGAGTAGTAACACTTGAGGGAGGAAAGACCAGAAGTTCTGTTTTGGACAGGTTGAGGTTAAGGAAGTGAGCAGCCATCCTTTCGGAAATCGAAGAGAGGCAGTCAGAGACACAAGTCAAGATGGGTGGAGAAAGATCAGGAGAGGACATGTAGATTTGCGTGTCATCCGCATAGAAATGATAATGGACGCCAAAGAGGCTGATGAGTTTAACACTTGATCTGTAACAGTATTTGTACAGTGTGCGCACGTTATATAAATCTTGTAAATGTTGCTAAATAAGAAGGGAGGAACAGTCAGGTTCACACTGGGACCTCAATGTTCTCAGCTAATTCGTAAAATGCTAAAATATTAAAGCTTTAAAAATAACAAAAAAAAACTCTGGACAAATAAATGAATATATTTCAGTAAACATAAACCAAAACAACCTTTATTTTTATTTTTTTTAATAAATGTCTGATATATTTGTGTAACTTGCAGGACAGTTTATGGCAGAGGTGCATCATACGAAATGTACTTCACAAAGTTGTCCAGTCCCAAAATTACCCGTTACTGCCATAGGGTGACTCACTGAGAATTCAAGAAGGGTCCGGAGTTATGGGCTGAAATAGAATTTCTCCAGGAAATGATAAGAAATAAAATAAAAAGCAAGTGTTGCAGTGCGCCTGGAATACAAGGTATTGTTTGTTGGCTTAGCAAGCAGTGACAGACAGCACTTTGGGACATTCTGTCACCTGTTATTGTTACACTATTCTGGGCACAGCGCCAGAGCTGAAACGTGTGAAATTATTTACACACTTAGACACCTGAGAGATGATGATGTCATTAAAAAGAGTAGCCAAAGTATAAACTGAGCAGTGTGGCTGACATCACCGAGATAAAGAAATAAGGAAAAATAAGAGGAAAAAATGATGTTAGTAACTGCTTATTGTAGCTGTTTTGGTGTAAGGATCCTTGATTGTCTCCTCTGTTTGTTTGTTTTTTTTAAATATTTTAAAAACTATTTGAACTTAAAAAAACAACAACAATAAAAGCAAAACAAAAACACACACCTCCCTGACACAGATTGTCTTCTGCTGCTTAGATAATGACGGCTAAATAAAATAAAAATGGATGGCCCTTCTTACAACCCAAGAGCCACTACACTAAACTGCAGTGGTGATGGTGTTTAGAGTGTTCAGCTATTTGACAGTAAAAACAAGGCTTGTTTTCCTCCTTTAAGGGGACTTCACTATGCATGGTTTTATTTGTGACCAAATTAGCAACCAATTAGTAGTCGTTACAATTACCCAACGTGATGGCATTCAGTTTATCACCCTAGGCAGAATCAAACCTGCGACTTGAGAGTTTGAACAGATACAACAAAATAATGTAAAGAAGACGAGCAGTAATCAATGAAAACTCATGTTTTAAATGTACCCCCAAAAAATATAAAAAAGTACAATAGTGCATTTGTGTGTGTACCTAGACTAACACACACATAAATACACACAGTTCAAGTTCTACATTACTATTGCTAATGGTTTCAAGCTGTACAGAGCAGCTGTATATGTCCAGACACACATACTATCACAGTAATGCTTTGATAGCATGGGGCCCTTGAGTGTCAGGATATAGAAAAGGCAGCAGTTGCTGGCTGTGAAAACAGTCTGATAGAAACCAGATGGGGGACTTACTTGATGGGCAAGACAAAGCAAAACAATTGGCTCATTCAACAAAGTCAGAGCACTACCCCAGAGACTTAACAGAAGACAATAAGTCAAACAAGAAACGGCCATGTGGCACTGCCTTAACATGGACTTCTCTTCACACTCCCGAATTAAAACAATGTTGGTCTTTTAATTGTTGCTCCGATTCCTAATTCTAGTTTGGACAAACTCTGCAGGTACGGTTGTAATTTACAAGTTCACTCTCCAATGCGGGTCTTTGCAGCTCAGTCTGGGAATAAGATACTGAATACTGGGACTGGCACAGAGTCCTGTACACCAACACCCCCTAGTGGCGGATACATGACCTGGGGGGATTATCTTTTCAGGATATCAAGAGGTTACAAACAGGAGGGGGTGGGGGGAATATGGGTAACGTAGTATTTATTTATTTAGACGATTAAAGGTTCCAGTGTTTTAAATTTGCAATTTATTGAGAAGGGGAGTAGCCCAGTATGGCGATACCATATTATAGAAAAGGTGGCGAGATTTAGTACAGATTTCACCACATTAAAAAAACAAAGAAAAAAAACACCCTTGCATTTTACATCATTCACATCCAATGTGAGTTAAGGGTTGACCAAGAAATATCCAAAGACTTCAGATGGAAAATGCGTTGGGCAGATAAATTTTAAGTGGATTTCATATTATTTTTGTTTTTGACATAATTGGACAAATCTTGTACCTAAACATTAGAAACTCCAACAGATCACCAACACATGGTTTCTGTATTCAGTAATGTGTTTTGCTTTGGTTGTCTTTAAAGCACCGCATTCTGAGGGCTAGTAAGGTTCCTGCAAATGCGACAGGACTTTTAGCCGAGCTTCCCTTACGATACACTTTCCTAAAGATGAATTAAGTTGATGACAGGTCACCAGCAGTACTAGAGCAGAGTATCCAGGCCCACACATGGTTGGAAAGCAGCCCAGTAAAGGATAGTTTACCCATTCCTACAGACCCCAAGGGGTCTCCTGTACCATGTGCCTATAGGGATTCCTAAAAGAATTGATGTAAGGGGGTACCACAACGGCTAAAAACTGTTGGGGGGAAATCTGTGAAAAGAGTCTACAAGGATGCTGCTGGACCGATAAAAATAACAGAGAATGGAGCGACTCCACTACAGACTGATTTCTAAGAACTCAAATGTGTTAAAAACACCAAACCAAGGGATACAAATTAATCAGTAGGGATTCAGGTACAGAAAATGATCAAGCATTGTATAACCCTTGCACATGGTCACGACATTAACATCCCCCATTTTATTATAACAACCTAACGCCAGGTATTTAAAATAGATCTCCCATTCTGACAGCAAGCAGGAGCGGTACATTATAAACGTGTCATTATGAGCTTGCTACACAAAGTTTGTAACAGTGTTTACGGTCCTTGGTTTGACTCGTTATATACAAGTTCAGCGCCATGCATACTTTATATGAAATATTGAAAACACGTCTAGGATGAAACTTACATTTTAAACAGAAGCAGTGGATATTGTAAAGATTATCATGTAGACCAGATCTAAATTGGGAGATCTACAAGAGGGGGGGTTGCATGGACTGTATTAAAAAATATAAACTGTTGTATCTTTGAATTTATATGCAGATAGTCTAAGGGGACAATAAAATCTTGAAAACTATACATTGCCCATGGGCAGTCTGATCTAATGGATAACGCAAAGAAAGTAGAAATAGGAAGTAACTTTATTTACATGTTAATCACACCTCCCCATAGCTCACACATTGAACAGAGAACAAAAGCAAACCATTTGTTAGTTGGACAAAGAATGGCTGGTTTAGGCTATAGCTGGAAACACAATTTATTTAGCATGCTGTAGGTAAAGCATACACGGCCCACTTATTGCAAACGTTTCCGGTGTAAAATAAAACCTTAGTCCAGGTGTGTGAGGCTCTCAGCATTGCTCTGATCTTACACACTGGTGATAATTAAATTATGCTACGTGTAAACAAATGTTTTCACTGAAAAATAATGCAGATAGAGCCAGATTATTGTAAATGTTTACTGGAGGCAATAAGTGGATAGAAAGCTCTAATTTCCTAAGGTGAGGGTCACACAGTACCCTGGGGCTAGAAAATAGTTTATGGAAAAAAAGTGAACATCCATTTTACGCAAGATTATTTCCACATGGATATGTCATTCTTAGATTGACTTGTTGGTCAGTCAGCTTGACTGAGGGAGATGGGAGATGAAGTTGGACAGTGCTGGAGACCCACACACCATGTATTACTGGTCCTTATAGATGGCCGGGCTAAATGTGTAAAGCAGATACAGAATGGTCAAGGAACAAGCCAAAGTCAAACGATTACCGAATAACGTAAACAAAGTAAAGTCAGGGTAGGAGCAGTCAGGAAAGTCAATGTACGAGCCAAAGTCATAAACCAGAATAACAAATAAAGAACGCACTCTCAGGCTACAAAAGACTATGTCAGGCCAATGATCTCAAATTATTATTATGAATATAGCACCAACAAGTTCCACAGCGCTGTACAATGTGTGTATTTTGGTGCGAGTATACCAGAATGACGCCTGCATAATTTTGGTTATATAAACTGCCGTGGGCAGAGCATCCCATGCACGCTGAAACAATGTACAGCATCATTATGGAGATACCTGTGTATGTGCCACTTCATTATCGAGGTCAAGAAGGCACACAGTGTCGTTATAGTGGTGCTGCGTCAGAAGTGATGCTAGAATGATTCATCTAGTCACATCACATTAAAGAAGGATGCTGGCAAGAGGTGGCAAAGGTCATTTACATTAACTACAGTACAGTCAAATGTGTCTTCAGCAAAAAGGATTGTAATAAACCAATTTGCAAGTACACAAAGACCACACTTATCCTGACATGGCCAGCATGTTTTAACTTGTAGATGGCAATTAAGGAAGTGGAAATAACAAAGTATATATATATATATATAAAAAAAAAAAAAATAATCCTTCCTGTAGGCCTTAACACCGTGCTCCGGATATCACAAAGGTGTTAGCGATCATTAAGAGAGTTTATATTGACTTGTAACCCAAGTACAAGGATACAGTGGGAGTCATTTTATAGGGTAAATCCTGATTCTGTAGTACAGAATACTATGGCTATGGAGTTAGCATCTGTAACTATAGCATTATAAGACACGTTCCATGTGTGATTAAAGGAGCACTCCAATTAAAATATATATATTTAATCGGTTTAGAATACTGCACCACTTTGGAATTAAAAATCCAATAAACTCACTTTTATTTCAGTCCGTGACATTCTGCCTGCCTCAGTCTAATCTGCTGTCTATAAAATCACCATAACTTGTGCCCAATCAGAGGCTTCTCACGCTCTACAACGCTCGTCCCTGAACTACAGTTCAAAGTGAGTGAGGCAGGAAAAAGTCATAGCTATCAAGGTGTTACACAAGGAATTTATAAACATTCTGCTTTCCCTTGAAATCGTCACTTTTATAAAATAAGGCAGAGGGGACATGCAGGTAACCTCTAAAACAACCTAAAGAAGATAGAGTGTCCCTTAATGTACCCCTTAACACCCACCTGTTGCATGAACCAGGCAATGCCACAAGTTTTATTTAAAATCATGGATCTGTTATCCTCTGCTACGTCAACTCCAATATGGTATGACAGCAAAAGACACCATTAAAGCGGTTCACTACGCTAAGGGGCAAAGTGATGATGTCATCATATCGGACATGTATCCATTTCCTGATGCAAATATAAAAAATTCTGTAAAAAGCTAGAATTTAATTAACATTAAGCTTGAGCTGGCACAAAATGTAAACTGCCCCTCTCTGTTCTGCTTGAACTGAAAAATCAGATTACGAAAGCTTTGCAGGTCACGCAACAGCAAAGACAAAAAACATGCTAATGAAATATTCTTTTGTAGCCTTAGAGAAAAACCTGCTCTATTAAACACAAATGAATGCCATTTAACAACGGGCTGAAGAACAAATTGAGTTAGTGTCACTGCTTTGAGTGTTGTTTAAAGTGTGGAATTCAATTGGGTTGGAGAAAATAAAACAAATTAATACAAAAATAACTTTATGTTAGATGTGCTGCAGCCTCAATCATTTTAATGGCAAATTTAAGTCAGAAAATAAGGAACAGAGAAAATGTGAGCAAATTAGGTCAAGTTATCAGATCATTCAATATTCCAGATGCAAAAAATATGGGCAGATACAATCTGATCCTGACAGCTTGCATTTTAGTGTAAAGGTGATAGACATGACCCGTGGAAGTGTTTTATAGCTTGAAATGTAATTTAATATTCGACAGAGCACCGACCAACATTCTGATATAAACGAAAAACTCACGTCTCCAAATTCAATAAAGTTTAATTAGTAACTCCCCCAGAGTACTGCACCAGCGAATTTTCAACGTTTTTAAAACGTATAACCTGTGCAAGCCATTTTGATGGGTGGCAAACAAATATTCAGGTACTTGGTAGAATATTGTAACTTTTAAAATATAGCTTCCATTTTAATTTAAATATGTAAAGAACATAAACAGTCAAAATAGAATCAGATGTCAAACTTCTTTTAAAATCCTTTATTAGGAGCCAACAAGCCCGGGTGAGAGGGGGGTGGCCTACAAAATCAGCTTGAAAAGTAAAAGTAATTTTTTTGGACTTTAGAAAGTGGGGGACATTTGAGGGGCGAGACAGGATGTGCTTTCAAGTCTCTGATGTTATACAGCTGCACATCAAGTAAGCTGCTGACAGGGCGGGTGCCTGGAAGAGAATGAGCTATTGTTATAAATACTCTGAATGTTTATATTTGGGGATCTCATGAAAACGGCTAGCTTTCCCGAATATGAATATAAAACACATCACTTTTTTAAATGGGTACAATGCCCCTGCTACAACTGCTAAAATGCATCATGCTGGGGATTTAACCCTTCAGCTGAAGAAAGGGAGAGCAGTGCATTTATTCACTCATCCAGTGTACAAGAAGCATTTGCAAGATGTGTACATAACACGTTTGTTTGTAATAGCACTATGTATAGAGTCTGTAACTGTTCTATTTCATTGTTTGTGTTTATGGACTGTCTCAAACATCAGTCTCAAGATATTGCTAGAAGGCTTTGTGTCATTGCAATGAGGCCAAAACACATAGTTTATATATATATTTATCCATAACAGCCCTTGGAAAGAAAATTAAAACAATTCTACCACCAAGAAATCAGCCTTTTAGAAAAAAGAAGGCGTGAAGATACAGAAGAGGTACCAGAACATAAATATTGTTAACTCACTAAGATGAAATCTAAATTAACTTGTCTACTTGTAAGAGATTGACAGAGTAAAAATCCTGCAATTAAAACACCAGCTGCAATAGAAGGTGCACAAGCCCCACTCGATCTTTCTGGGTGAGCAGACGAACACCCACCTTGTACCGCAAGCCCAACAAATGGAGCCGAAATGCAGACTTACATGGAATCCAAAAAATGTAAATCCTCATTTTCACATAATGTCTGGTGGTGTGGATCCATTCAATATTCCTACTGTAAAAGATTGGCACTACCAAAATCCTGCCAAGTTTGGCTGGTGTTTGGTTTTGTTCATACAGGGGTAATACACGTTTTAGCAAAAGTATGAATTGTCAAGAAAACATGCAGTCAAGGTGAATTTAAAATTTTATGCCAAAGCACATGAACTGAAGACGTAGCGGATTTGAAGATTTATTCCAGTTTGACGATAGTGGCATAAAATGTGAATGTACAGATCCACAAGCGATCTAGTCTTGGCAGCTGTTTGGGGATGTAAATATAGTTTATAACAAGAGATGGTTTCTCCCTTTTAAATGTCCGCAAAAGTTATCTGGGCCAAACTGCTTTGCTCCTAAATTGTTTATTTAATTGGTGCAGTAAAAACAGGTTATAGGGTGAACAGAATAATGGTTTGTCTTTAAATTCTGACCCATTCAAGGGCAGTCACCGGAAATAATTTTCTCAAAAATGTTTTAAACAACTGAAGTACAAATATACAGGAAATCAGCCTACTAGTGATTTAATGCCTTTCCAAAAGGTCTCAAACAAACAGTCTATGAAAGGCTGTGCGTGATTTTTACGTAAATAAATAACTTTTTACACTAAACTAAGTCCTTTGTAGGTCCCAGTGTAACCAAACTAATCCAATGTGTGGCTCCTGCAAATCCTGTACTGTGAATGTTTATCGTCCTAGAATTAAGACGAAGATATATTTGTGTTTTTAAGGATCAGTCTACATATTAATCCTTCTTTTTACTTTTAACCAGATGTTTAAAAAACATGAGATCTGCAGATCTTGTTGTTTATGTAATAAAGTGATAAATTAAAACACTTTGCCCCTAAACAACACATCAGTAGAGTTGTAGAATGTTAGATGAATGTAGCTTCTGCTTCCATCTCTTGCATGTACGACTGGTGTTTTCAACGGAGAGGCAGCAAATGGGCAACGTATCCCCCAAGTGTCCCGATTCCAGCAATTGAGTCCTGATTTAGGACTTATGTCATGTCCTGCAATCTCACCGGACTACTTTAACAGATAACAAGACCAGAGTAAACAGACTGGATTGTATGTTTTGGCTATCCTTATGTATGCTTGCTTGAACAGCAAACATGGCTGGCTGACATTCTAATAGTGCTGCATAGCAAACCACACAAATGTTCGTAAATACAGTGGTGTGGAGAAATATCTTGAGGATTCCTTACCCGTGATATAAATGTGCTTGGGCAGAGATTGGTGGAATTAAATAAACTGGTGACGACACGTTATTTGACTTGATTATTCCTGTGCATATATAACAAGATAAAGGAAACGAGTCATGACCATCTGCTTTTATTTAAATTCAGCTGGGAATTAAGCCAGTACAATTCCACGTTAAATCTTTTCCTCACTAAATAAATAAATATGGAAGCATGTCCCAGTGACTAATTTTGTTCTCGTTTTATAGATCATGCCATAAATGCACTGTAGACTCGTATTAATGAACTGGTTCTGGTTATTCGGAAGGGGCACTGTAAAGAGCCCAGCGCTCGTCCTAAAGGGAATCAATCGCATTAAGAGATTGGTGGCCATGCGGACCAGTTCTGGAGGTCTCTAGAAATGAACAGGTAGCCACAGTAACAAATTAGAGGTGTCCGCTGAAACCAAGAAACACAGACTAGACCAGTGGTAGGCAACCTTTAGCACTCCAGATGATGTGGACTGCATCTCCCATGATGCGGTTACATTCATAATGCTGGCAAAGCATCATGGAAGATGTAGTCCACAACACCTGAAGTGCCGAAGGTTGCCTAATCTTGGTCTAAATCAACCAAACTTTACAGTTGGCACTATGTAGTCAGCCAGCATGTCCAGCATTCTCCAAACCCAGAAATGACAGTCTTACTTGCCAGTTGCCGACATGTGATTTATTACTCCTAGAACTAGCTACCACTTCTCCAGAATCCAATGATAGATATTTACACTGTTCTAGATATTGCAATGCACATGTGGGGATTTCACAAAGTCTCTGACATTCCCATGGTAACATTGCTTCCATAGGCAGCATGGAATTCCATAGGGAAAGGGTCAAGAGAGCACAGACAACTTCTATATTGGTGGCAATTTTCACACATTTTCAGCCACTCCAGGCATAGGTCTGAGTGTGGCTGTGTCCACAAAACACGAAACTCCAAGCATTATAGTGCCAAGGCTGAACTCAGAGGCACCTCGGAATTTGATAGTAGAAATAGAGACAATTGAATTTAGAAGCTACATCTTCTGTAAACTTGTGTAAGCGCCTATTTCTCAGCTGAGCAGATTCCACAGTAAGAGCACTCAGAGCTGATAATGTCACCTCTAGCCATCCTGAAAAGAAATGGTACCATGTGATGGAGTCTTTTTGAACGGCACTGAGCTCTGCAGTGAAGGACATTTTACTACCAATGCTTGTCTGAAACACTACACAATACGTGTGACTGATGGTGGCAAACCCACTAAATAGAAATGGTGTCCAGATAGTTGTGGTCACATAGCGCATCGTCACAATCACACACATGGCTGAAGGGACACTGTTTGTGTAGCACATGGGTTGACTTTGTGCCACTTTGCATGTAAACCAACCCAGTCATCAGTTAAGAAATGTTGCTATTTAGCTTTCATTAAATTATCGCTTGGAATGTTCAGTAGGAAAAGAAGCTATTAATCCCTTTACAGCAGAGAGGAATGACAGAAAGAGACGATGGACTCTCAACTAGCCTATATTTCAGATCAGCAGGCAAAACTCCTTCAAATAAAATGTTAGAAACGCAGGAATCAAAATAGGGTTTTCATTCACACTTGATTTACCGTCAGGCTGAATGGGTCACTTAACTATGCCGATATCATACCTGGGAGATCACCCTGCTGATATAGAATTTCTAGGTTTTCACATGTTCACAGAAAGAGAACACACCCCAAAGTACCATAAACAATAACGGTGCAGCTTCACAACATGCCACACAAACCACACAATTCCATTATGCCCGTAATTCATAGCCATGTAGTGCGTGGAAATCTGTGGGAGATCACTAGTATGTTGCGACAAACGTGCTACTTGCACAGAGGTGTCTAAAACATCTTTAGGTCTGCACGAACTAGACTTTATCTTAAAACTGAGAGGGAATGGTGAGAATTAACAGAGATGGATGGCTGCACGACGCACAGACCAGCTGAGATGCAAAGCTCTACAATTACAGCTACTCTGAACCTGCCAAAAAATCATCAACTGCTTTCTTCTCATTATAAAAAGGCTTCTCTTTAAAGCCCAACATGAGATGTTCTTTAAAGATCCAGTTGGTTTCCTTGCAGCGATACCGTGCGAGATGTCAAATGGTAGAAACAATAAGCAGCGCTACGTCATCAGATGGAAAACAAAAATGCTCTATTCATTGCTTTGCCCACAGTTAAAGTACACAGACCGTGAAAGGCTCACTCTCTGCAGCAGGGAGGGAATTAAGGGGGCATTCACTTCTGTTTCAATGAGAAAAAAAGATTTCTATTGCAATCATTCTAACTGACATAGGAACTCCAATTATTTTTCAAAATTGTTAATTAAGAATACATTTTACATTAGGATAAAATCAGATAATGTGTGCAGAGTGATATAATGCATATATTAAACATACACACAACACACTATAGTTATGTATTTATACGCAAAAACCAAAAAGGTCGTGGTGGGTAAAAAATTGTGATTGAAAAAAATGTGATTTCCCCCACCATAACCTATTTGGATTTTGCTTCCCAAGCACTACCAAGCCTCAATAAGCAAACCAGTAACCAACCTCATGCTGATGATTTGCATTAACAATGAAACAGCTTTCCATGAGTGGTTCACTGGCTTTGCGTCTTTTCCTAAGTTGTGTTTCAAAGCTGTTGTATACAGCAAACACAGACTCAAAGGAATCCATGTTTAAAATGGAATAATGAGGCAAAAATGGGATTCTTTCTTAAACTAATTTGCATATGTCCACCCAGAATCCTTTGCGGTAGTAACATCACTGCAGATTTGTGATTTCTGTGGGAAAAGCAAGTCTTATGGCTTGAATGGTGTGCAGATTTTTGTTTAACATTATATTAACTATGTATTTATATAAACACACAAGCACCTGGTTGCCATCCCAGATACAGCTAGGACCGCGCAGGGCCTTGCAATAGGAATAAAGAATCCTTTTTATATCAAAATACACAACTGAACAACAGCAGGGATGGCCAATGTATAGTCCCCCAATATCACAACCCCCAACTTGTCAGTTGGCTCTCAAGTATTTTGAGGATACTAACAATCAAAGCCAGTAATCATGTTAGATGGCAAACGTAGCAGCTATTCAGTGCAGACCGTATAATAAAGACTGCGATTACACAGTAGGTATGGCTGTATTAGAATATAATTAGAGTTTGCATTTTCAGTTGCTTGGCGTTGGAAACTGCAATCATACAAACGGCATCGTAATATCATATCCACCTCATCAATCAAATTTAAAAATGCTAAAGACTGTTTCTGTATAAAGACCTCAAACAAATGAAACTATTTCAAAGACTCCCAAAAAATACACGATTAAAAAAAATATCAGAATGGAAATCGTTTCTGTGGGTTTTTGGCCACATAAATAATAAGACATTAAATCAACGAGAACAGCTGTACAAACTGCTGAATGATGCAAGGGTGCCACGCAGCCCAAAATTAAACATAAATTCTACCAAAGTCTCCACTTTGTCTACATAAAAGCCCCATTAAAAAATAAAGTAAGGATTCTGAAGGTTAGACAAAAATGTATATTATTAACATGATATAATAAATCAAAAAACAGACTGATAAACTGGCCTTCTAACAGAGGCAGACATCACGTTCTGTTTATACGATTACACTGCCAATATGTCTGATAGTAATCGGCTTCATTATTTATTTATTTATATTTATTTTATTTATAAAATATTTTACCAGGAAGGATACATGGAGATTTCTCTCGTTTTCAGGTATGTCCTGGTCATTTATAAAACCCGAATAAAGACACAAAATAACGACAAAACGCTTTCGGGATGTTTAAACATTATATTGTGTCCTGAATTGTTATTGAAGCTTTGGGTTTCATACGTCACACTTTAATAAATAGTGAATATTTTTATTAATTAAACATCACAGTGCAATCTATGACAGAGATGGCATATCGGGTAGGAAATTAAGGCATCTAAAAAAAATAAGAAATCCCCCCCCAACAAAACTGAACAGAAATGATGCATAAAAAGCAATATTTTCATGTTTCCTGTACGCGGATGCAGCAATGTGTACTGCAGTGTGATGGTAAGTTTCTCGACTACTAGGAGATTTTTTTAGACCTCTCAATGCAGTAAGAACAGAAGCACCTAATGTCATCTGGGTGTTTGCAAACAAACCATTTCAGCATCTAAATGTATAGGAGATTTTGCACTTAGGCAAGCTTTACCTACGGCTCCATGTCCACACTCTGGGTGTCAGCAAGGATCACATGTCACCATTGTACTGCCAAACTATCAGAAATTCTTCCTGCTTACTCATTTTCACTATACATAAGTGGGCTTTGTCATTAAGGTTGTAACATCATCGAAGAAAGAGAATCCTTCTTGCAAATGTAATTAAAAATGCCAACTGTGCCAAACACTAATGTGCTCTTGATAACTTTGTGACATGAAATTAATATTTTCTGTACGATTTGCCAACCACGGAAAATCTACATATCCCCTCTTCTAAGAACCACTTACTAGGATTCCTTTTTCCAAAACTCTGCCAGTCATTGAAAACTCAGTGCTGCCACCTTGTGGGCAGATGCAAGGTTTGCTGTATTTATGCCTGAAAATGCATTTTGTGTTCAGGACTCACACGTTCTAGAGGAATGCTCTTTCACACTAGCTGTAGAATAATTCACATACCCTTAACAAAGCACTGCTTGTCATTCACGCAAACAAATATTTACCTTGGTGGAGATCACCTCTCGGCTTAACGTTAACTTGTATGAAGTTGGCCTGAGCTGGGGGCTGCTGCTTCTGAATGAACGAAGGATCCTGTAAGAATGATCAACATATTTAATCAGAGCAGTCTTCAACACTCGCTAAGACCATAGGCAATACAGCAGCGATTTAACAGCAGCAAATGTAACCAGCATTTAAAACCACAATTAAATTACATCATTGTGTTCGTGAGAATTGATTATTTTCAGGAAGCAAACACAAAGGGTTAAACATACAATAATAATAAATAAAAATAAAAATATTGTTGCCCTGGAAGCATTTCTGCTGGACAGGTGTATTAATATAACATGTTCTGTCTTCAAATCCACTTCTAACCCTGGCTCTAAAAAGCCACCTGGATGGCTCATGTATAAGCGGGTTTATTTAAATCCTCTAATTCATGTGAATTTATTTTACTTGTGACTCATATCCTGAAATATTTTATACTGGCTCTGTATTTGAGGTATAAACCGCCAACCTTGTGTGTACAGCTCTTCAGTAACAGAGGTTTCTAAGGCTTTAATAATAACACGTTTCTGCTTCAGTCTGGCTCATTTGATCTGATTCACATATCTTAACCTGATAGATCAGCCATAAAAGTGAAATAGCTCATCGCCATGGATCGCCAATAGAAAGCCTTTAAATCAGGGCTGTACTAGAACTACCATAATTCTCTGCCTGGCTACAGACATGTATGATGAGAGTTGGAGCGCAATACGGTTGGCATGAGATATTATGGTTCCTCTGCTTTAAACCCCCCCTTGTTCTCTATCTGTAAATGGGTGCAAATTTTTGTAGTAAGGGGATTCTCAACGGATCTACTTTACATTTTAAGCCATGGACATTACAAACAAAATTGTTCTAGAAACTGTCAAATCATTTTACAGCAAAATTGTATTTTCTGAAACCTGCAATAGTGAAAACAGGGGAGAGGTTATTAATAATGTAGTGATTTGTAGTGAATGAATATTAAATTCTAAATTGAAACCAGAATTTGGAAAAATTCAACAAATCTGCTAGAACCATAGTTTGGCTAATTTAGTCAGAATTTTCTGATGAGTTTCTAAATTCACACAATTCACGCTTTAGTGAATAAACCGTCATGTAGTTATATTACACACATCTCTTTAAAAGAACACTAGAATGTTTAGCAAAAAAAGGAAGATATTTGTTAGTGTGCTTTCACCCAACTTGCGGTAGATTCTCAAACATATAAGAAAGGTATTTTAAGTTTTTTTCCGTTAGAACCATATACATTGCACACACACATCATTGTTGTCCGTGCTCCCATAGAACTTAACTGTGGCCAATCCCTACATCATTACTGAAATGTAAGCAGTTGGTTTTAGAATGTCATCACCTACTTTGAAGACAGACCGAAGATTTCAGAATACATACAGACTGCTGGTAGGGTGTGTAGTTGTACTGGCTTACATCTACTGCCAAATCTTTAGCACACTGTGTCTCAAGACCAAACAGTTCCGAATGTAGAGATTATCCAATCGTGTAGAGTAGATGAAAGATGGATCACTAAAAACAAACTTTTCTTAAAGGGAGACTCCAGGCTGATAACGACCCCCATATTAATGTTATATGTAAAATGCATTAAATTATGGAAAAATATATAAATAATTTAAGATACTAACCTTTAAGAGGAATTATCTCAGTGTTTTTGTACAAATTGACTGCTAAAGGGTTGTGCTATTTTTTTGTTAATACCCCCAGCTGGCTCCTTTTAAAAAAAATATTTTACCTTTAAGTCTGGCTGTTTTGGCACATCCAGGGCATGCCATGGAAAAAAACCATTAAGCACAGGTGCATGCACGCGTATGTTTCTATGGAAGGTATGTCCGAGCACACTGCACTTATATAGCATTTCTCCGCAGATGCCGGAGATGAGAAGTAGTAAGCTTAACACACAGAACCTCACAACTGAACAAGAGTAAAATCAATCAATACATAAACAGGTATGTTATCATGCACTTTTCATTGAGTGACTTGTATCACCTGGTATTATAGCAGCAGATAAGTGCAAGCAGTAACACTTTACACAGTATAACCCTGTCCAAAGACACTACTGCAATTAATTGATTATTAATTTATTGTGTCCTCTTTACAAGATAAATGTCCAACATTTCAATTATCTGAAACCCAATGGGGACCAGTGGTTATCTAGGTGCTGGTGGCCCCTTTGCTTGAAGAGGCAGTAAAGTCCATGGTGCCTAGCAGAGTAGCAGGCAAATAGTCCTACCAATGGCACAGCTTTATCTGCCCGTCTCCCTCGTGGCACTGCTCTGGCACATAATGAGGAAGGAAAGGTCGGACAGAATTCACACTCCATATAGCTCTGTGGAGTTAAAACCAGGAAGACCTAACCATGTTACCAGAAGCAAAGATCTTATGCAGCTTCAGCATCGGAACATGTGTAGTTTGTAAACATTTGTGTGCCGGGGTGGGCCATTGGTGCCCTACAGATCTGCATTTGGTGGGGACTCACTGCAATGGCAGAATATGGTGTACAAAATATTTCCAGGTGAAGCTTGATGACATTTCCTAATTTTTTAAAACAGTACTGTAAATCCTGGTTAGCTCCGCACCCAATGTAAATAGTCAGTAAGTCTATAAAACTCTTTTTTTATAGAGCTGCCTCCTGGACGCAAACACATTTTTTTATAACTTGCTCACCATAAAAATAACAAAACAATACAACTTTCACAACGGCTCCAAGTGCTGTTTGTTTTCATATGTATAAAAGTTAAATAGTAACCAAATTAAAAAAATTTTTCCTTAGAAAAATGATGAGTATAGCGGTAAAATAGTCTTGTTTGTCGTACTAGTGAAAAGAGTCCCAGATGTAAAACACATGGCATTTGCAGCAAGAGCATTTAACTGTGCTGCATTCAAACTTGTAAAAAGATATCAGGTTAGATGAACCTAGAAGGTAAAGCAGCGTGAGTAATTTACAACTTGTCTAGTGTTGACGGATAGGTGTAAGCTATGAAGATTTTATTTTTTACCTTTAAATTTCTCTATGTCGGGGTGTGGAAGCCAACACAGCCCCTAACCTAATATACCAGGGTATAGGTTACAATGTGCATTAGTGGTACTTTTAATGGTCCGGCTTTAAACAAAAACAGGCAAGACAATAGGCAATATATTAGCTAAGGTCAAGGACAAGTGTGGTATATGTGACTGTCAGACAGAGCCGGATCAGAAGATACCAGTAGGAAAGTCAAGACAGGTAGCAGGCCAGGTCAAAATACTTAAAGGGACACTATAGTCACCACAACAACTTTAGCATAGTGAAGAGGTTGTGGTGTATAGATCATGCCTCTACAGTCTTACTGCTCAATTCACTGCCAGGACCCTGAAGAACCAGTGAATACCCATGCCACCATAAAATCTTTTTTTTAATGATTCTATCCCTTTATTCACTGATAATAGGCCACGTTCTACGCTGGCTTGTAATCTTTAAGGACCAGATTCTGATGAAGACATAGGATGTTATGGATCCTTAAGAGGCTCTCAGATTAGCATGTTACCCTTTGTTTTGCGTGGTGTAACATGGCCTTGCCCAGGAAGGTTAATGTTTACCTGTGAAATGTTTCTCTGTACAGCTTGTCTGTGGTCACCACTGGAAGGATGCCCATATGGAGTCGGCACTACGCGAGATTCCAGTTCCCCGACGCTCATCGGGCCGGAGCTCAGAATATCGGAACCTGCATGGCTTAGACCTAGACAAACCAAGAAGATATATCAATAATTAATTAATTTAAGGAAACATTTGCCAGGCTGCAGCAGGAAACATTGAGATGAACACATGGAATGCAAAGATCTAGATAGGTACAAAGAACGCATAGCTAATTATGAATAGGTTTAAGAAAATCACTACAATTATTTTTTACTTCTTGAAATTTTTTTAAGTTTATGTCATTTAACGATACTTAATGATATGTATTTTAAACAATGTATATTGTTTTGTATGAAAAAATGTCACTTTTTATCTGACTGAGTGGCCATGTTGGGTCAGATTCTGTTGTTATCTGACCAAGCACCGCTCAATCTAACATGCTGCTGCTGCAGGTTCACACAGTGAAGTCACAGCAGCAGAAAGTTAGGTTGAATAGCAGTTGGTCTGACAACAGCAGAATCTGACCTAACATGGCCCTGCAAAGGGGATATTACCACAGAGAAAAAGAGCTTCACATCAACACAAAATGTAAAATAGAATAATCTCTAATTTGCTAATAATGGTCCTGAAACATTGCTTCATACATGCTCACTGCTTAGACAAATCCAAGATATGGTTACCAAGTCCAGTAGTCAATTCTAACAGAAATAAGAAAGTGCTGGAGGTTTAGAACAAACAATGAGCTGATTGCATCTTCAAGTTATGAGCATGATAAGGAATAGCTGTGCTGAGCAAGCTTCTTAAGATTTAAAGCATTTTATGACGTTACCTGGTTCCTCTTGGACGAGTCCTGGTGATGATGGACGCGGTCCTGGAAATCCATCAGTGTGACCGGTATCAGCAGGTCTTCCCCTGATGGCAGAGTGTCCCACCAGAACCTGTTCTGCTGCCACCGTGAAACGCGGTCTTTGGCCTTCGCTGATCTCTCCAGTGCTGTCTTCATCCTCCGAGTCCTAGAGAGTTGGTGACACCAGGAGCAAGTCAGTGACATTTAAAGGGACACTCCAGTCCCCGAAAGCACTTCAGTTTGCTAAAGGGCTTTAAGGGTTAATTGCATGTCCCTTCAGGCTTATTAAACAAGTTCCGACTTTCATAACAACTCCCAGGTGTGAAGCAGCCAGCCAGCAGGATCTCCAGTCTCACTTGCTATGGCACTTGAAAATAGAATGGTTAACGTTATCCACTTCCAAAGGGTTTGAGCAAACATTTGTCTTGATTACCATTTCAGTATGGAAGGTAATATACACATTTCATTTTGTATAAATCTATGTTAGGGATCACATACCTGGGGATGGTATAAAACTGCCTGTCCTAAAACCAGATCTTGATTTAATTTGGATAGGGCTGACAGAACAGGATCCCGATGAGCTCCCCTCTGGCCTCTGTGGATTACTTGCCCCTCGCTGGGAGGATCAAACTCCTACAAAAAAAGAGCATTAGCGGTTTGCATTAGCTGTATAAGTGTATATTGCTTTATTTAAACAAAATAACCAGTGCTGCTACTTATTCATGTATCATCATTCACTATATTCCGCAGTCCAATAGCAAATGTACACATCTGTTCACTCCTACAACACCTAGTACGACATCCCACTATAACACGATAAGAACCACATTACACAGCATAGTGCTTGGTATGTATTAACACCCACAGTACATAGAGAGAGGTGGATAGTCATCAAGCCATTCAGTCATTAAGGGGGGTCACACATGAGGGAAGAGATAGATCAGGAAGTGTGTGGACAATGGGGAATTATAGGAGTGCAGAAAAACAAACTTGTCAGTTACAGCTGATAAACTTCAAGTAACTGTAAACGAATATATTTCTCTGATTGGTAGTTTGTGAGGGTAAAGGAGTACTCGACTAACTTAGGAGTCAGCGTATATTTATTATAGATATATCAATCAACGTGTTTTACTATTTTATAAGAGACTATAAGAGATTTTATACAGATTTATTACTTCATAGGATACTAAAAATAAACAATCTGATATTACATACATACTAACTATCTCAAGTCCTAGGTAAAGGCATTGAACTTGTGTAACCTTTCTGAAATGTCAGATCTTCCTTACCATGTCGTTGGCATCTCTCAGAGTGCTGGACAAGCTGGCAGACAGATTTGGGACCAGCAATCCATCTTCTGCCAAGGCTATGAAACAGAAATAAAGAGATAAAACAATACTAATGCTGCAGCCATCTGGTTCTGCCTAGATACTCAGAAATGCACTTTTGTATTAACCATTGTGCTATAAATAGAAGATTATAGGGAGTAAAGTGTTAGAATTCTCTCATATCCGATTCTCCTTTAAATCCCTAGCAAGCAAGAGCCTGAGGTGTCAAAAGTTCGGAGTAACGTGGCTAAATGGACAATAATGGGGCATGGCTTATTTCTTATGGCTTTTTATTGACTGCATTACGAGTTCATGCACAGGAAACAATGGATGTACAATATTAGAAAGCCTTAAACTCTGGACAATTCAGTAAAAGGTTTGCAGGTAATTACACCTAACAAACACATGTCAATGTTACAGAGCAATTTTATAAGGATATATTGACATTTCCTCATATGGAATTCCAATGTCCTACCAAGCAATGAAGCCAGGAATCGGTTCACATAAACCAGCCGGCGTATCGTGGCTATAGGGCAGTGATGGCTAACCTCTGACCAGTAGCTGTTGACTTAATTTCCCATGATGCTCAGTCATTTGCATGAACAAAGATTAGTGACATCAGCCAAAGCACAAGCTGAGCATCAAGGAAAACCAGGTTTGTAAAACCAAGTCATGGTTATCTATAACGGACACTTTTTTAGGCAGGACATGGGGCCTTTAAATGGACCTAGGCACCCAAACGTCCAGATCACAGTACATATAGTTTGAGTCTACAATGAAGGCACCAAATTAGATCTTACTGCCGTAACATGCAGACTTAAAACCATTACACTTTGAAGAATGTAAAACATTTCTTAAGCATGTATTACCTCTTGCAGCAGCAATCTGTCCATAACTGTGCAAGAATTCACCCTCTGAGATGGGTCGATCGAGGCTGTCTGTGTCTGTGATGGTGACAGTGAGGCTGCTTTGCACCGTAGATGGCCCAGAACTAGGTGAGGGTGGAGGCGAAGGGCTCCTTGGTTGAGGAATGGGAGATATCGGAGATTTGTCTGGTTCAGGGGAATCTGAGATCAAACTGCCGGGCTCTTCATCTTCTGCCACTGTCATTACACTTTCAAAGTAATAAAAAAAAATATTTGGTAAAACCATACAGTGAACATAGTAAACAGATCATTGTGCTATATATCAATATGTCTCTGCTTACACTGTGTCTTTATACTGAACTTGCTCCTTCACAGAATGGGGGTTCTCTTCATCTAAGGGCAGTTCTAGACTGCTCCAAGGGTTGGTAAGATCAGGTCTGTGTGTGTCTGCTTGGTCTTCATTGGCCTCAGACACAGGAGGCGTTGGAGTTACCACTCTAGGGGGAGATACAGGTGGAGTAATCGGAGGAGTGTGAATTGGACTTCTCACAATTTGTAGTCCTATAAATAAATAAATAAATATCAGAGCAATATTCTGAATAATATGCAGTGTTTTTGCATCGATAGTTATATATCCCTTTGAACCAGAAAATGTTTGTATACAGATTGATCAGTTTCAGAGAAGTGAAGGGATGGAGGGACGGGTGCAGGAATGAAACGAGGGATGGAGAAGTAGATGTAGGAAGAGAAGAAGGCATGATGGAAGAGAGGGAAGGATGGAAAAAGCGAGGGATGGAGTAAGGGATGAAGGGGGTATGAAGAGAGGGAAGGAGGAAGGGAAGAATAAAGAGATGGAGTTATGTACAGAATGAAAAATAAATGGTTACTGAGTCACTCACCAACATTTTCAGCGATTTCAGCTTGAGATATTGGCTCTTCTAGTGATGTTTGTGGTGACAGGACGGGTGTTTTCACCACAGACGGTTCTCTCACAGATAGCGGTGGAGATGCAGGTGGTGTGCACTGGGGGGTAGGCACAGCCTCTACTGGGACCTGCAATGGGAACACAGAATAATTGGTTATAAATATAGTGATCTACCTATAGTGAAATGGAAAATATATTAAACAAAAACACTCAGATTCAGATTCAAAATTAGCTACGTTGTAATAAATCACCAATTTATATATAACAAATAAAAAATAAAGGTAATATAGGACAGAAATATTTTGGAAAAGTAATTCTAACAACATTTAATCACCAAATGTACCTCACACAACACAATGCAGAGATTTAGATAATTTACCTGAATAAAACAGACAAAACAACAACCATATTCATTTTTTTTTTTTTTAAAACATTGATTCGATAGCAGTTTACAGATTACATATCAATAATATATGTAAAGGAAGCAGATAGCGGACTGAGAATTTATGTAGCTTCTTCTGAAATTTATCTTCAAGGTCTGGATAACTCTAACCTCTAAACAAAGTGTAGCAGCAAGTACGCAAGTATTCAAATGCTAGGAGTTCGGCTGTAGCCTATATTTATAGTCGGACTACACCTCCCAGAATTCTCAGTCAATTAAACCATAAACTGAGGTTAAAGGGTTGAAAACTGCTGCTCTAAATGCCAGCATATCTAGAGTGAGCTGCAAGCACGTACTCCTAATAAGCGGTTCCAAACATTAGCCCCCAAGCTATGGATGGACTACACCACCCAGAATTCTTGGTCAGCTGTTAGGAAGAAAAGTCCAACAAGACTGGACCCTGCTGATTTAAATATAAGCACAGCCAAGCTTTGCGATGCGGTGGGGGTGTTAAGGCAGAGTGCTGCATGCACATGTATCTTGGGAGTGCAAGGCTTGTTTGGTGCCTTTAAATGGATGAAAATGTAAACATACAAGAAGACTGATAGAAACATCTTAAAATGCATTAAATTATGATCACCTGACGAGGTGGTTCGGTTGGTTGTGTATTAGGAGCACCGCGAGCTTCTCGTTCTCCCAGCATAACTGCAATGATCTCTGCCAGAGCTTCATCTACAAGCTTGCGAACTAATCCTGAATCTACAGGAATTCCAGCATCAACAAATAACTGCAAGCCTTCACCTCCTGCAGTCTCCACTGAAAGGCAAAGAATGTAATAATATGATTAGGGTTAGAAGTGTGTTTGTTGTAGACGCTCTTTAAATTAATCAAGGCACGTAGGAATGAGCTCGCGGACAGACGAGTTGTTAAATGATGGAAACAAACAGGAACAGCTGGAGCAGATATTAGTAGGGCCAAGGCAAGTACAGGGATCACACATCTAACAAGGGCACAGACATATCGCCCAAACCCCCCCACAAAAAACAAACAATAAAAAACAAATGCACACATGCATACCAATATCAGAAGTTATTGACACACTGCTATCTCTGCTGATATCGGGCACAGTGTCAGCTCTCATCGGTTGCATGTCACTGATGATTCGAGCCATAATTTCTTGTTCCACCCTGCAATACACATAGAGAGCATTTTATTTAACATTTCAGCACCTCTACTGCAAATACATCTGGGAACATCGTAAATTACTAAATAATAAAAATAGCTTCTTTATAATGAGATTAGGGAGAGACCATTATTATCAACATTTATATAGTGCCGATGGGAAGGACTTGGCACATGGCTTTCTGAGAGGTTTGCTGAGAGGCAAATTGCCATTCCCTAGCAAAAGCCCCAATCATGTGAACTCACCTACTTTTACCATATCCAATAACTCATTCTTTGCATCATCCATTATACAAAGCTTGCGGCTATGTAATAGAGTATGGGAGGGTGAACTTACCAACTAACCAGTCTGTTTTCCAGGGTCTCCTTCCTGTTTATAATCCCATCCAGGATATCTGTAACAACATGTGGAGCTGGGGCCGGGGCCGGGGGTGGGAAGGGAATGCCATGGTAGTGAGGAGGATGGGTGTCTGTCCAACCATCGAGTTCCAGCACCCGTTCAGCAGTGTCATCCTCTTCCTCCTCGTCCTAATAAATAAATACATAAATAAAACGTTTAATATATGTAGCAAACCCCCTCCCCCCTTTGTTGACCCCCAGCTGCATATACAGACACACACACTGCTCTATGTAGAATACAGGTACCCAATACAGCGATATCTAGATACATGGAAAACCGTCACAAAAATGGCACTGCAAGCTTGTGGCTTACGCCAAACAAATCAGGCCACCCATCACATATCTCCCCCATAGAAATAAACAGACTTGTGGCCAGACCCACAATGGGCCTGCAACAAGTCTGTTGGACCCCCGAGTCCACAGTCCAAGTCCTTGGGGGTCCAATATAACTGGACAAGTGGGTGGGCACATGTGGGCATGGTACTCAGTGACGGCGTTCCGTCACAATATATTTATACCTAAATTTATCTTTACATAAATGGTTTTAAATAAAATTCCTGATAGTATTTCCATCTAACCAAGCATTAGCAATTTATATGAAATTACCAACAGTATGAGACATGCGAAATGAGAATTTCATCTTGGAATTGTATGATTACTGCAGCAATAAAAAGCATCCAATCAAATGTAATGAGTATGGGTAAGCAGAATTCTTATATACTTTCTCTAAAAAGCACTTCACCATTCAAGAGATTATTGGAAGAAAACATTGTGAAACGTTTAGAAATAAAATGAAAAAAGAAATGAAGGATTCTCTGGGAGAAGGATTACCTGTACCATATCTAGATCTTGGACAAAAGAGGTGCCAGGAAATGCAAGGATTTCTTCTTCAGATTCAGCACTAACCGGTAACTTAAAGAAATACAGAGATATATTGGGATTAGAACGTGTTTATATCTGTAAGATCTGCCCATGTTGCTGTTATACCCTCTACGAATCAGACAGTCTATAATATCCTGACAATCTGTCAATGCCCACATTTAATGAGAGCAGTGATCTGGAGAATGGCCAATGCTAAATAATGAGTTCATTTCATGCTAGTGACAGGTCTGTCCAACCCAGACTGCTACAAGTATAGACAGAGATTAGTTCTTAATGAGTTAGACACACTAGAGTCACGCACGCACGCACGCACACACTTAAAATATCAATAGCATGTACGATCAACTTAGATGAAGGGCTAATTGAAATGTAAAATGAAACAAAACAAAAACGCTGATTAATATATAATTAGATTAATAAATAAAGCATATAAAAAAAAATTACGCACAAAGGCATCAGCTTAGGTTGTCAGTGTAATGTTGACATATCCCTTTAAAGAAAAGCTACATTGTAAGATCATGATGATCTGCATGCTACATACAATTTCACATTATTCAGAAGATAATAAAATATAGTTTAAATTATCCAAGGCTGTAAAATGTTACGAGATTTCCAAGCTCCTCCTGTTTTAATCAAGTATGGCCTCATTCTGCAATATAATCTGTTGTCCAATGTTATGGTAACGGGCTGTTTTATCACAAGACACAGATGTTTTCCATTACTTAAAGGCATGTAAGGTTTGATGATGTTACTGAAAAGTTGCCAAAGCATAAATGAAGAATGAATAAATTACCCTGGGAAACCAGAGGCTGGTGCAGGCTGTTCTGTTTGTGTGTTAGGGAATGAATAATTCAGCAGTACTACATGTAATAGGAGGCATAATGACTGTGATGGAATTAACCCTTTCCCCAACACTTCACACAGCTGGCAGGAACTGATCTTTGTTTTATTTTATTATATAGATAAAATGTTGAAACAATTAAGCACAAAAAAACACTTACATTAAAAAAGTTCTAAAGCTGTAGCACCAATCAGGATGCCCTCATCCTTTCTGGGATCTGATTGTATCAGGAATTTATGGAACAAGTAGTTTATTTCCCAGCCGCAGTAGTTCCACACATCATACAGCATGAGTGATATACCCATTATAGAAACAGACGAGACATATCTGCAGAGCACTTTGTTACATCCATACCTGTATATCAGGCTGTGCAGGTGGAGGTGGGGAAGTGCCGGCGGTGCTTTGGCTCACATCTGTGCTGTCACTTGCTATGCTGTCTATATCAACACAGGGTAACACCTAAACAGGGCACAAAACAGAGAACACCGTAAATAAACAGAAAAAATGTGGGATCAAATTATTCATTTGAATAATTGAGAAAACTGTTTTATCCCCATAAAGTCAAACCCCAAAGGGCCAATCAGATAATCTGTTAACATGTTCTACAGCATTTACAGTGGGTTTAGAGGCAAAGTAAATACACGGGTGAGGGAATAAAGATGGTTTAAGGCTTTGCACATCAAAAACTGACAAACAGCTGTCACGGGTCACTTTAGATGACCACACTGCAGGAGTCTAGTTATAGGGGCAAATAGCAAAAGGAGAAAAAGAAATCTGTTGTGCACCTCTACAGTAAGTTTTGGGGGATCCCTCTTCTCCGATCTCATTTCGACCACTGCTATGTTAGGTTTAGTGGCTTTCTGTTTCAGTTTTGGAGAAGATGGAGGAATGGAGACAGTGACCGTTGTTGGTTGAGATTGTGTGATAAGAACGCTGATGGGCACTGGAGCTGCCCCACCTGATTGTGTTCTCCCTGGAACCATAAACAAATTGTAAAAATACATGCAATGCACACATATTACTTTATAACCGCACAGATCACAATGAGAATATAATGCAAATAAAGAGAATAGATGAAATTCAGATCAGCTTAATTGACTTATTTGGGGATTAAAAAACTAAAGGCTCTAGGACAAGTGCATAACTGCTTAGTAAGAAATCCCCCCTTGAATAGAGAATTAGCTTACTGCCAGGCTGAGTCATTTCAGATAATGGACATATTGATGGGCTATGTGGAAGACCACTGTGCAGTCAACCCCTAAATGTGTCAAATCATTGAAATTAAACTATATTTGTTCATTCTACCTATACTGTCTGTGGTTTAGTTACTACTTGAAGGGCTTTACATGCAGGACCAGATCTCATAACAGAGTCATATGAGGTGACATTTGAACAAATCAGTTGACCAAGAAAAAAGGAGAGTGACTGTAGCGACATCTAGTGGCTGGAACCCCAATTTCGCCGCAGCAGATGCAGCAGTTACGCAGGAGTCTCAATAACGTATTACTAAAAGTAGCAGAACAAAGAAATGGTGATCTCTTGAAAAAGGCATGTGTTTAGAGCCTTGACGTAATACAGGAAAGAATTCTAATCATTTTGGAGGATCAGAAAACAGTTCTGGAATATCAACAAATCTGCTTACATGAGTGAAATCTTTGGCCATGCTGATGGATTTTGAGAATCTCAGCCATATAAAAAGGCAGGTTTCACAAATCACACAGCCAGTGTACATACCTAGTGGAATAGCCATGGGGATGAGATGTCCTTCAAGTGTAGTATTCACATCCAAAGCCTCCCTTTTGGGATTAAACAGGTATTGTGGCTCATACTGGCTTGGTGCATGCAGATCACGTATTTTTGACTTTATGATGGATGTCGCATATTCATCAAAGCCCGTCTGAACCTTTGCTGACTTCTGTTTAACGCCTGGAAAGCAATGTAATGTAGAATTCACATTACTAAGTATAAAACTAATGAGATAAAGCCAGAGTTTGGATTTATGAAGACATAGTCTGATGGATGCTGTGCGAGTGTCAGAATGAAAAGAAGAAAAACAGAAATTACACAGCTCTAAGACAGGCCATCAGAACCGTCAATCCGGCTGCTGGATTAAAGGACAAATGTCATAAAATTTTCACTTCTCATTTTTTAAAAGTTTATGACATTTAATAAAACTAGAGGGACACCGTAGTCATCAGAACCACTACAGCTTAAAGTACAGTATATAGCTTAATGGATTAGAATACAGCTTAATGTACAGTATATAGCTTAATGTATTAGAATACAGCTTAATGTAGTGGTTCTGGTGTCTATAGCCTGTCATTGCAGGCTTATCACTGTAAACACTGTAACTTCAGAGAAAATGTTTACATTGCTGGCTAGTGGCATTCACATTGATGGCCACTATAGGTGTTTTCTACGTTCAGAGTCTCTACGCTCCCCATAGAGATACATTGATTAATTACATCTCTATAAGAAAGAGGTGCTGATTGGTGCATGGCCGTGTTTTGCTGCACATGTGCAATAGCTTCCCAATGCTGTCCTATGGGAAAGCATTGGATTTGCTGAGATCATCCAGACTGATGATCTAAGTCATGGAGGCGGAGCCAGTTGCAACCAGTTGATAAATGTTCTTCTATGCCCTGTTCTGGATTCCATTTACTGGTTATCCGAGGGTGCGTTTAGCTTGAAACTCTATTTGGCTATTCTGACCTTGCTATGGACTATTCTTTCTGTAATCCTTGACCTACGGACCTGTGTTCTTGTACTTGTCTCATTCTGTAACCCTGACCTTGAATTGTCTCTGATCATTCAATATTTACGTTAAATCCAGTCACTCTAAGGCCTGGTAATACGCATATTTCACAAGAGATTAATTTAACCTGTGTTTTACTTGCCAGACACTGTGTGTTGGGTCATTTAGTGTCATGAAACTGACCAACTGAGGTTACCTAACTTGCCTAACTGCTGTGATATTTCTGTGTGAAACTGCAGCAGCAGACAAGTTAGGCAAGAGTTTTTTAAAAAACAACAACTTAAATTCCATTAAATAAGCAAACTTCATTAAAATAAAACTAATTCCAAATTTGACCTGTCATGGGATACCTTTCGTGGTTTTATATGTGTTGATGAGTTTCTCCTACCAAGTGAAAAATAATACGCTAATAAAACATTAAGCTTATAATTATGTACTAACCTCGTACAGTCTCCACAACTTTAGGCCTTTGGGGTTTAGATTTGGGGGAAGGGGAGGTGAAACGAAGGTACGGTCCCTTCTTCAAAGTGCTGCGGTGCCCTTGGTAACGAGGCTTCCCATAAATTTGGTCTAAAGCGTCTTCATTCAGTAGAGCAGACTCATTAGATTCCTATGTAATCAAGACATAAATTAGCTTCTAATGTATCCTTCAGATATGTCTGCAAAGAACACGGATTTAGTTTGAGGTGTAAAGATCAAAACAAATCTCACAAATTGAAACATCTTCAAAATGTACACTTAACATAACTGATAAGTAGGACAACATTTTAAAATTACTGAAAAACAGAATTCCTACATTCAATACAAAAAACATGTCACTTCTATAACCCCTGTTTTTATTTTGTTTGTTTTTTTACATATAGCGACTGATATTTATTTACATTTTTGGAGAACTAAAATGAGAACTGTTCTTGCTTGAACAGCTGTAAGATTGTTCAATTTCGGTTCAAAACAAAAAAACAAAAGAAAACCAAACACCCTGTACAAAAATCTCCAACATTAATAATACAAAAATATCTTATTGAAATCATTAACTTGCCTCTGGTTTGACAGAGATGTGTGAGCTACAAGTTATATCTTAGAAATAAAGCTGTATAATTGTTCTGTACCCTGGGACAATACAATTAAGAGATGATTAATAGATTACAAAATATTGGACGATTTCAGTGCCAAAATTAGGCACATAAATCTTCACTGACAGTTATACCTTTACAGAAAGGTGAAAATGGTTGTCACCAGGTTGGATGGATGTTATTAAAGGGAAATTATAGTGTAAGGAACACAAAGTTGTTTTGCTAGCACCCTAAAGAGCCCCCCTCCCTCGCGCAGCCTTTGCCCAGTGAGATGAAAGGGTTGAAAACCATTTTGTCACTTAGCTAATTCCAGCGCCAATGTCCCTAGGCACTGGGCCAGGTTGTGCTTCCATTCCTCTCCTGTCGAAGTTTAGCCGGTGGGGGACCTAATGCGCATGCATAGTGAGTGCTGCATTCACACTAGGACTTCCCCATAGGAAAGCACTGAATCAATGCTTCCCTATGGGGCTTTAGCGGATGCTGAATGTCCTCATGCAAAGAGTGAGAACGCCCACCTTCATTTCGTGGACCAAATGTCCGATAGGGACGCGGCAAATTAAAAAAAAAAATGGCTTAATAAGTGGAAAATAGAATTTTATTTTTTATTGGATGACACAGTTGAAAGAGAGGAAGCAAGGTGGGTTACCGAGGTGCGAGGACGGAAAGCTAGTAACAGACATTAGATGCAGATCTTCGGCAGAGCGTAGGGGTCTGCACGGGACATAGTTGTCTATCAGTGAAGATAGGTAGGTAGGAACAGTAGTGTGCAGCGATTTGTAAGCAAACACCAGAATTTAAAATTGAGCTCTATATCTTGCGGGAAGTCAGTGTAAGGGCTGACAGAGGGGGAGGCAAGGGAGATAAGACTCGTCGTCGTATTCACTATGGACTGTAACGAGACCAGCAGGAAACATGTAAGACCACTGAGAAGCAGATTGCAATAATCAAGGCAAGAGATGACAGTGGCACTTTGGACACAACAGTCCTTAGATCGGGCGGATACAAGCTATTTTTTTTAGATAGAAGTGGAAAGATTTGGAAAGTGACTGGACTTGAGGGTTGTAGGAGAGTTTGCTGTCCAAGAGAACATCGAGGCATCGAGTCTGCAGGTTAGAGCGATTGGTAGCACCATTGACTTGGAGGGAGACAGATATGGGAGTAGAAACACTCTAATAAAGAGGGATTGTGGAGGACAGGAAAAGCCAGAAAAAGAAACAATGAAAGAGTGCTGGGAGAGGAGAACCAGTAAAGGGAGTAGTTTCGTAGATTGAGGTTACAGAGGATGAGAAGAAGTTGTTGGAAAGCGGCAGAAAGGTCAAGGAGAATTAGGAGAGAGTAGCAACCACTGCATTTAGCAACACAACAATTAAACCATATATGTATACTCTTGTCAGGACAGTTTAGACAGAGTATCAACGCAGAATCCTGACAGAAGTGGGTCAAGCAGAGAGTTGGAATTAAAGAAGTCGGTCAGACTAGTGTTCACAACTCTTTCCAGGATCTTGGAGACAGGCCGGTAGTTGGGTGGAGAGTTAGGGTCAAGGTTGGGCATTTTTAGAATCAGGGCGATGGTTGCATGCTTGAAAGGTGAAGGAATTATGCCAGAGGAGATGGATAGATTGAATATTTATGTGAAACTTCACATTTTATTAAAAAAAAACCAAAAAAACAGTATTTCTAGATACATGAGATACTTTGTGAGTATATCACAATGCATATCGTGTATGTGCAATTTAATTGTTTAGTTTTGACACTGCATTCTTTTGTATTGTGTTTATCACATTAATTTTGCATTATATATATTCACAATACACAAAGAGATTATTTAAATACACTTTAGTTCATGTAGCAATATTTAATTTATCTCCCGTGGAATTAGTGTAGGACCCATCGATATTGGGGTGCTGGGAAATACACAATACGCCTGTATGGTGGAACTGAATACCCATATTTGTTTGTCGAGATTTTGGTGATTTTAAGTAGCGTTATGAAATTTGAAACTGTATGTGTTTGCGCTTCCTTAATCTGCATGCATGTTCCGGATGTGCCCCCAATTCCCTTTTTTCCTGTATTATTTCTAAGAAATACAATAGAAGTTGAAGAAATATGTACTTGTAGCTATATGCACTGAATATACAAAACATAAATCGTTATAGTACAGTTTGTCAGAGCCTCAAATGCCTTTTACTGGAGTAAGAGTGTCTAACTATGGCTCTACAAGAGGCTTAAAAACCCCTCTGTGTGATATTTTTTTTTTAATCAAGGAGACTGCATTTACCATCAAAGAAGCATTGTGTTTAGCAGGCCTTGATATTGTGAGAGAAAACATTGGTTAGAAGAGAAGCACCATTTGTAAAAATAAAAACACTTCAATCATTAAGCCTCACAGGAGCTAACCTTTGACCTTCCATCTTTCTTCAGCAAGACTTGGGAAAACACATCATTCTTGCGATGCTGTCCTGGGAACCTCTCCCCACTTAGCTTGTGTTGAGACTTGGCTGGGGCTTCAGCTGAAGGCTTTATAGTCTTTGATGAAGTTTTTCCTGGACCTTTGATGTTCTTCAAGTCACTCGCACTCCCTACTTTTCTTCTCTGAGCCATCTCATGAAATCTGTGATCTGCCAACTTCTTCCCAGAGTCCTTCGTTGTTAATTCATCCTGTGAAATGATCAATATTGTACAATATGTTAAGAAAAAAAATCGACACGGTTATTGCCAAAGACTTTTTAATTGAGAGATAAACTGTTCTTACTACATACACTCTGTGCCATACTTGAGAAACAGCGTAATGTTTGTTTCTAGATTTTAGCCTCAAAGTAGCAATTCTCTTCTGAATGAATATCGATGAGTTGCAATCAATTGTGAAATATTTGCTTAAATTAAATATACAATTCCACACCTGTTTATCCTGCAACTGGTCGCCTCCATCTTAGCTCCCTGTCAATCATTGTTATAAGCTCCGCCCTTTACACCTGGCAGTCAGTATAGAGAGAGCCACCTCCATCTTAGCTCCCTGTCAATCATTGTTTATAAGCTCCGTCCTTTACACCTGGCAGTCAGTATAGAGAGCCACCTCCATCTTAGCTCCCTGTCAATCATTGTTTATAAGCTCCGTCCTTTACACCTGGCAGTCAGTATAGAGAGCCACCTCCATCTTAGCTCCCTGTCAATCATTGTTATAAGCTCCGCCCTTTACACCTGGCAGTCAGTATAGAGAGAGCCACCTCCATCTTAGCTCCCTGTCAATCATTGTTATAAGCTCCACCCTTTACACCTGGCAGTCAGTATGTAGAGAGAGCAAACAGAGGAGACGAGAAATGAAGCAGTGTTTCTATTTCTTCTCTTCATTAGCAATGTGTGCCCTGGCTGTTCCTTGTCTGAACTGTATTATGGCATAATCTGCAATTTTTTTAAAATAAATTTAAAATAAAACCGAGCATCTCATGAGAAAAAAAGAAAATTCTCAATGCAAGTTACAGGTGGTTTTCAATGTTTTGTCCAAAGATGTAAAATTTTAGAGTAATGACAAATCCCCTTTAATCATCCAGTCACCGTAGTAACCCCCATCCATCAGACAGGATAGAGCTGAACTGCTAAGTGCGGATCCTGTTCCATTGCTAGAATTTATTAATAATATGATTCTTTTTCTAGATCTTCTTTTGGAAAACAATAAATCTAAAATAAACCGATGATTTGTGATTGCAATAAAAAGCAAATTAACAGCAAGGGATTGTTAGGGAGGTTTTAGTCTTTTGAAAAGCATTATCACATTTTATTGTCCTAATATTAAAAGCATGTAGACACCACCATGCTATGACCATTATACAGAACTTTATAAAAGTATATTTCTTGTGTTTATCAGATTTGTATTTTAAAGGAACACTATAGGGTCAGGAACACAAACATGTATGCCTGACTCTACAGAATTGCAGATTTTTAACCAACCCAATGCTTTCCCTCAGGGAAAGCATTGGATTTACATGCAAGTGCCTGCAAGGACTTTTTATACTCACCAGAAAAACTACATTAAGTTGCAGTTGTTCTGGTGACTATAGTGTCCCTTTAATTTTCATAGTCATCTGTTCATTAATGTAATGAATATTAAAGGGACCCTCCAGACTCCTAAAGCACTTTAGCTTGCTGGATTGCTTTATATGTGAAGAGTGTGTCCTATTTTTTCATTTTGCAAAAAGTTGTGATTTCAGTAGAAATTTACACTTTTGTAAATTAACCTGGTTACTCCAACTGTCAACGGACAACAGGTCTTGTGACTTCCTGGTTTGGTTAGGTTTTTCTGCAAACCACTTCGTAGTGAATGACTTTTCATCCCATCTAGACTGTCCCTTTAGGTAGTTCAATGGATTAGAATGTAGTGTTCCTCAATGTCCTTACTTTTTCGAGCTTCCCATTTTCTTTTCTAAAAGTTGGTTGCCCCATTTTTAAGCTATATACAAGCTGTAAGCCAGGGAGATAAATTATAAACAATTCATGAATTTAAATTCAATTTATACTACCCTCTGTCAGTTTTTAAAGTTTCCTGCATTTTTTGTTGAGGAGCATAAAGTTTACCATTAACGTACCTGAATCTCAGAGTTCATTTTAGAAATCCACAAATCCACATCTTTCTGAATGCGAATTTTCTCTGCGCCATTACTGAAAGAACATAATGTTAATATTAACCTTTAACAATGAGGGCATGTAACCAGCAATCTACACATGGACGTTAGTAATGGAATCTTATTACTGATCTAATGCAATCTGGAGGCCATACAACCACCAACCTGTAAGATTACTGTGAGGATTATGCACTAAACTAGGAGTTTCACAAATTCGATCCAAAGGGCAAAACAGAGGCAAAAGTTGCCAAGTTGTGATGATGGCTGAAATCAGCTTTTTCCACCTAAGTTATTCCATTTGGATTTAATAAGCAAATAAAATAAAATTCGGAGAATAATTAATCAATCTATGGAACAGGTGTCGTTCATTTCAAGCTGCCTATATAATAGTAACAGGTCTATGAAACACGTGAATCTTAGTGACTCTTCAGAGGGGTTCCCAATGATAGAATCCAATTTCCCCTATTCACAACACTTCACCAGTTATCAACCATTGAATATTTGCTGGCATTTAACTGACATTTAAATAAAATATTCTATTAGACACATTCTATTAACCGGTATTAAGGCAGACTTTATAGAATTCCCCCACAAGCACCAATGAGAGCATGCAGCCATAGGAATTATATGTCAAATGCCCCCCCAAAAGGCCATAGGTGGTACTGCAAGTGGCCTAATTCTTAAAAAGAGAAGAAGAGCACAGATCATTTGTTCGTGCTCCCTGAACAAGTATTTAAGGACCACTATAGTGGCAATAGGTTTATATTTATATTTCTCAATGCTTTCCTATGGACTCTGGCGTCTTATCACAGTGAAAATCACAGTGAGAAGCGCGGAAGCGCCTCTAGTAGCTGTCAATAGAGGCTGGATTAACCCATTTGTAAACATAGCAGGTTCTCTGAAACTGCTATGTTTACAGCTGCAGGGTTAACCCTAGATGGACCTGGCACCCAGACCACTTCATTGAGCTCAAGTGGTCTGGGTGCCTATAGTGGTCCTTTAAGAGAACGCTGTGGCTTCTGCAATAAACACTACCTACCTGTCTGTAGTGAGAGCAGAGATCAAGGAGTACACAGCAGCTCCATCTTTAGCTCGGATTATAGCTTCCAAATTGTCTTCAAGGACCTTCTTACTATACCGCACATCCTTTAAGATGCGCTCGGCATCTTCAAACTTGGACTTGGGAGGATTGGCCGTCTTCAGCAAACAAGACTGGGGCTTCTCAACGGCACTGGAGAGACATGGCGTGGTGGGCCTAGCTGTGGGCTAAAGATCAATGAACAAACAAAGCTAGATGTAACAGTACAATTAAAGTATTTTAAACGTAGAAAATAGAAATATAGATATTTACAGGCTAGTAAAAAAAAACAAAAAACTAGTTCCATAGAGTTGAATTATGTACATTATTTGTTGTTAAGGAGAATTGCGTACACACCAAGCACATTGTAAATCCTTTTCTCTATTTGCACCTACACTTCCAGATTATCTTTTCTGGCATTTTAGAAGTTAAACTATTATTGCCCAGGGCTATCGTGGGTTCAAGGGACAGCAGCTTCCATGAGAATTCATTGATTAAAGGGACAATAAGAACATTATAACAACTTTAGCTTAATGAAGCAGTTATGGTGCATAGATTAGGCCCCTCCAGTCTCACAGCTCAATTCTTTGCCATTTAGGAGTTAAATCACTTTTTTATGCAGCCCTCGTCACACCTCCCTTTCAATCAGATGTGAACTTGCTTTAGAAGGTTCTCCTGCTCTGTAAACTGAACAGAATTTTACAGAGCAGGAGATGAGAAATTCTACATTAAACAGAATTTGCAATAATGGTCGTATAATCTTTAGATCCCCCTTTACAGGAAGTGTTCAGGACAGATGTGCAAGTCATTAAGGGTTATGATGTATACACGAAAATGGCTTCATTAAGATAAAGTTGTTTTGTTGCCTATAGTATCCCTTTAAAGGTGAGAGTCCATAGTAAACAAATAGAGTAAATAGCATTAATGGCTGTTTTACTCAGAAAGGGAATAATGGATATACCTTTAATTCATCCACTTGTGATCTCCACTGTTTGGCTTCCTAGAAAAAAAAAAGATGCAAAATTTAAGAAAAACACATAAAATTGCCCTCTGGTATGGAAGTTCCATCTCAAACTATTATGAAAATCAAGTATTTATCTGAGAGAGTCCCTAATTAGCAAACATTTCACAGGTTAGAGAAATCAGCAAATTTGTGTGAGGTTTCAAGGAATCCCATTAACCTCAATCGCGATTTCGGCAATGATATAGGAAAGCACAATGCCAGAATTTAGTGGGTAAAGTTTAATGTTGACACTGAATACAATGGTTTCATTGTTGCATAGGTTTTAGTGTTTTACCTTTATAATACCTTAACAAAAACAACAGCTTCATTTCAGCCTTGATTTCCCCCTAAAAAGGTGGGCCCAGTTGGCTGGTTACTCGCATGGTTCCACATGATAACTATGTAACCTCCATCCATCCTTGATGATGATTTGAAGTACTTCTGATATATCCAATGATGCACTGCCATAAATTCCATAAGCGACGTCTTACCTGAATAATGCCATGCATTTCCTTCTTTAATGAGCCCAGGTCGTAGAGAACCTCGCTAGCTTTCCGCAAAGCAGGTTCAGTGGTAGGATATCCGCTGCCATAATGGCTTTTGGAAGAGGTGACTGGTTCAAGGATGAAACTGTAAAAACAAGAAAGTATAAATAATGAATTACTGTAACTTCCGCAGGCTCTGAAGCTGGCTGATGGAAGGAACTGTAAGTTTATAAATGGAATCTCCCTGATTATGTTAAATGCAGCCGAGCTGATAATTATGAATTATTATGCAGTGGAGACGGCAGTAGAAGGGTTTATGATATACGTTCTTGGATACTTGTAATTTATGGCTGATCATCCTATATTCCTCTACAAACACACCTAGACGTAATATCTAAAAACAATCCCAAACAGCTGGTCATTTTTAGGAAATGACGGAATCAGCCTTCTTTTTCCATATAGTTATTGCACATGTATACATGTCAAGCAAGGCTAACCCAAATCATGTGAATACGAGTCCCACAGGCGTTCAGCCTTTCCACCGGGGCTTCTATCACTTCCCACACAATGTGATATGAACGATATGAACATTTCTACATTATGTTTTGTGTTTCAATACTCAGGAGAATCTCAGTTAGTTGCTGTCTTATCACTGCAAGCATTCTAGCTGGAAGACAGGAGAACAAGAATAGAAAAGGAATCTATTAAAAGTGAGTCGCCCAGACAACTTACTAAACGTGCCAACAAATCAATGCTTCTCCTGGGTTCATGGACTTGGACAGAGGCCAGTTCCTCAAATCTTGTATTTACTCACTCAAGTAGAATTGATAGTACTATTGGTCGTCATGGATACCAGGACTGGCATAATTAAACTACAGCAAGTCCTAGCTGTGATACACTCACATACACACATTTTTGTAATCAAATTCTTTATGTTGTGTAGTTAAAACAATGATCTATAAAGGATGTGACAAATGGGGTAATAAAGCAAACTAACCCTATATAAAATGGCGCAAGCGTCTAGATATTGCGTTACCTGTTCTGCTGTCACACTGGGGAAAGAGATTGCCTCTTATTATATTGTATATTAGGCCACGGAGCTCCTTTCTAACAGAAACCTGCCAGATTAGTCTATTTCAGCATTTTATACTGCCGTGTGAGGTTGTCATATATAACAAACCTCATTTCAGGGCTCCCGGACTTAATGGAAACATTAAAAGCCAATGCCATCAATCATTACAAAATGAATAGGCAGATGGAGAGAGCAAACATTACACAATGTGCATGAACAAACAGAAAAGTAATGAAACCTGCGAGGAATATGTTAAGTGCCTTCTAAATGCAACTCATATTATCACAAGGGAACACGATCTTAACAGTTACTTGGACGAGACTCAAAAACTAAATTGAACTTGATATGACCCAGCATGCAATATATAATGTACATAGTGATTCAAGCAAATTAAATTACTGAACAGCCGCATGCACCCACAGGACCAATCAATGAGGATAAACAATTCTACAGGGGTTCAGAAGGAAAAAGACTGATATGAGAAATTCAGTTCAGTTCAGTTAGGAGAGATTTCAAGTTGAATATGATGTGCTGTGGTTTCAGCTAGTAATTCAATCTGAAATTGTGAGTTTTGATCGTAATATCACAGAATATACATTCTAAGGTGCGTGTCCTTTTATCTGATCAGGAGCTCATATGATTTCAATATGAAGGGTGGAGAAGTATCTGGTTTCCAGCCATCAATCACTGCTTCCCAAGGTGAGGGAGCGTCCATTTTAACGCACCAAATGACTCATTTTCAAACATCTGAAGCCATGGAGACCTCACTTTTTCATTGTAATCAGTAAATTGCTGATGGTTAGAAAACTGAAATTGAACTTCAAGATGGACAACTCTATCCAAAACAAAATGCTAGATTTCAAGTGGTAATTACAGCTGAACTTACAATGTGTGGTTAGATGTATTAGTAACGGTAGGGCAGTTTTACTTTAAATGGGTTGATAATAAAATAACCACAATAATGGCATCAATTAATCATTATTATTTTTATTATTAGCATATGCTTAGCGCCATTAGATTCTGCAGTGATTTGCAATTATAAAATAAGGAGATTTGGCAAGTAATTGACATACACAATATAACAGAAACAAGAGGCGGAGAAGGCAGTGCTCTAATGAGCTTACAGTCTTTGAGGAAGGCACAGAGAAATCACAGCAGGGGGCTGGAATTAATGGATAGAATGGTGAAAGTGGCAGGAAAGAGTGAGCTGGGCTATGGAGGTGAGGGAACTGATAAGGGCAGTGAAACGTGAGAAGAGTCACACAGGAAGACGGTAAGCTTTCCTACAAAGGTGTGTTATCAGTGACTTCTTAAAGCACTGAAGGCTAGAAGAGAATCGGATGGCACGGGGTAGCGAATTCCAAAGGAACGGGAAAGCCCTTGAAAAATCCTGCAAATGGCAGCTGGCAGTGCGCCGACGAGCAGATGTCAGGAGGTCGCTTGCAGAGTTAAGGATGTATTTGTTGAGGAAAGAGGCATTGAAGTGAGGAGTGGAGTTAGTGAGTGCTTTGTAGGTTAGTGTTAGCAGTTTGAATTGGATCCAGAAGGGGACAGGAAGCAGATGTAATGATTTACAAAGGGCTGAGGTGTGGGAATAGCGGTCAGTCAGGAAGATAAGCCTGGTAACAGCATTCGGTACAAACTGAAGAGGGGCAATGCAAGTATTGGCCAGTGAGTAGTGAGTTGCAATAGTCAAGTTGGGAAATAATGAGTGCATGAATTTAAGCTTATGATGCCAGTCTGTTCAGTTAAAGTGGTTCTAATGAGACTGTCTGCTATCTACAGAATCAGCTATCAGTATACTTAAAGGTAATCTTATAATCTCCAAGGCAGTGTTCGTGTTCCCTTTAATTATATTATTATGAGTGTTATACCAGTAAACTCTCAGAAGTGTTCCCTCTAAGAGTAGTTTGTGAGCAGGTCAATAATATATAAAAATAAATGTAACCACCTTTCACTGTATTTGGCATAAGAACCAAAAAAGAACCAAATAGTGTCCTCAGCCATCAGATTAAAGAAGCTCTCTAACTACAATGCGTTGTAGTGGTTATGGTGCCAGAAAACCCCTGTCCCACAGTAAGCAGTCAAGTCATTTTAAATGTTTGACATTGACCTAGGCCCTTCTTATGACTGCTCTGCTTCTGGTTTTCATAATAATGTGATTACAGAATAAGTACGAATCTACTGTATCTTTTCATTTCGTTCATTGAAACCTCTCTCTATCAGTTCCACTCAATCCTCTGCAATGTGCCCACTCCTTTCCAATGTCCAAATCCACTCTTCTTCCAGCACTTGTCACTCTCCCTCCACAGTTTTTATGTTATTTTACCCTATATTTATATGATTGATATCATGCATCATTACAACACTGGCCATGAGGGAGCCATGCTAGCTCTTTGCAGATGGATTCAGTCCTTACCTCATCCTGAGGCCTCCAAGAATCAGAAAGTGTAAGATAAGACAATCTGACTCTCTCTCCCCTAGGCCAGCACCCCACTAGCCAGTTTCCATAACAAATTTTGAACTCTGGATGATTGAAGCGCAACCAAAATTATTGAACAAAAAGTATTTAGAGATTACAAAAAAAAAAACAAAAAAAGAAAAAAGAAAACACAAACATTCAATAAACACATAATATATGTGTAATATGAGGACTAGAACCGGGTTTACCTGTTATTCCCATGGTGGGGGTACTTTAAAGAAGTGTCTTTTTTGTCGATTGTTGTATAGGAGGAAGATCTGTTGTCGTATTGCCGGAGAGAATTCACTTTCCCTGTGATACAAACATATTATATCAACACAGCTGGATCAGGGCTCAAATATAGCACTGTCCAATTACAGAAATCATAAAAAAAAATAAAACATGATCAACTGAACAAAGACTCCCCGTCCTAAAGGCAATAAATCATACACTGATCAGACCTGTAAGGCAGATAAAACATCTACATGTTATTTGTAACTCGGCATCAGCACGGGCGATCTACTGTTAGGAAACAGTATCACTGTTGCATTAAAATTCGTTTATTTTACAGGTGGACGCCCAAGACATTTACTAACACTCCCGTGTTATTTCATTTGTAATACTGGAGACTTCCTCTAACTAGAGAAATAGAAAAGTATTTTTTCATAAAGAGATACCACCTAGTCTAATTACAATTATTATTAATTTGGATAATATTGTAAAATGTATCACTATATAGAATTGCTTTTCTATTACAGAATAACGGGCAATATCAGGTTTCATAGTATGACACATTTAATTAGTCCTATCACAATGTCCGGTTACACACTCCCCTTTCTCCCCACTGCCCATGCTGGCCTGGTCTCTGCAACACAAAACTGAAAAGGTCTGTTCTATAGGAGGGTTTTTAACAATGCACTTTCACAACAACCATTTCTGTAGGTTTTCGATGTATATAGTTTTATATAGAAATATTTCATACAGAGGGTTATTGCCTTGATTTTTGTCTTAGTAGAATTTATGTCTTTCCATGTGATGTATAGAAAAGAAATTAAATCAGTTCTGACTCTACCCACTGTTTTAGATCCTTTAGATCACCATACTATTAAAGGTTATTGAGCAGCACTAATTTGGCTAAATTTAGTTATTCTAGAATTTGAAATTGGTTCTGGGTTTACGGAAGTCTCTGGAGGAGGCCAGCTTAGAAGCCTGAACAATAACTTGACAATTAGTGGCATGGTGATTGTGTAGATTAGATGCCAATAAATAGTGACTTGCATGGAAAGTGAAGGAGGAACCAGAATCTGCCTTGCAGTAACCAATACACGGGCACACTATCGTCTTATAGTCTGTCCAACATAAAATATCAATGCAACAAAAGATATCCGGAGACTAGAACAAGCCTGGTATGTTTGGATTCCAACATTCAGAACTTCAATTTTAAAAATATGATATATATATATATATATATCATTCATAATATGATAAATTAAATCAAACTGCAAAGAACAAAATAGAAGCTGATCTACTACAGAATTTATATAGATAACATGTAAACCGTACATTTTCACAGAGAGAATGAAAACTGTTGGTTAATTCACATACAAAATCCCAGGTGCGTTCAAAGACTCTGAACAATTTTAAATTATAGTGGAAATATCACTCAGCTACTTTTTCATATTAGGATAGAATGTGCAAAGTGCTGATCCCGTGAGTCCATTTATTTATTGTGGACTTTTGTTTATATTGGATAATTCATACAGGGACGTATTAGCCGCGAGGCAAACAAGGCATTTGCCTTGGGCGGCATTTTTCAGGGGGCGGCAAAAAACGCCGCCCCCCAAATGCCCAGGGCAGATGCCTTGTTAGCCTTGCGGCTAACTGACATCCCGGGCGGCCGGCGAGGGAGCACTTCCCATGAGCTGACTGCTCAGCTCCTTCGCGCACCGCAAAGTGAGGCTGGGAGCCGGAAGATGACGTCATCTTCCGGTTCCCAGCCTCACTCTGCAGCCGACGCGCGAGGGAGCTGAGCAGTCAGCTCATGGGAAGTGCTCCCTCGCCGGCTGCCCGCCTGCCAGCGCCGCACGCTCTGCAGCCACTGGACCACCAGGGAGAGAGACCCCCCCCCCCAGCACTCCCAAAGGTAAGGAGGTTGGGGGGGATTTAAATTAAAAAAAAGTTAATGTGTGTGTGTGTTTGTGTCTGACTGTGTGTGTTTGTGAGTGTGTGTGTGTGTTTGTGTCTGTGTTTGTGTCTGTGTATGTGTCTGACTGTGTGTGTGTGTGTTTGTGTCTGACTGTGTTTGTGTCTGTGTATGTGTCTGACTGTGTGTGTGTGTGTTTGTGTCTGACTGTGTGTGTGTATGTGACTGTGTGTGTCTGTGTGTGTTTGTGTGTCTGTTTGTGTCTGACTGTGTGTGTCTGACTGTGTGTGTGTGTTTGTGTCTGACTGTGTATGTGTATGTGTCTGACTGTGTGTGTGTGTGTTTGTGTATGTGTCTGACTGTGTGTGTTTGTGTATGTGTCTGACTGTGTGTGTGTTTGTGTATGTGTCTGACTGTGTGTGTGTGTATTTAGAAGGTGGGGCGGGGGGAAGGGTTGGGTGGGGGTGGCCTAGGGCAGCACAAAACCAGGATACACCACTGAATTCATACCCAGATAATAAACTGCATATAAGCACGAGATTCAGTGAAATCCCAAACATTTAATGGTTATAATTATTTGTATGCAATTTTAAATCACTTTTTTCCCCCACCATAACTTTCTTGGTTTGTGCTTCGCAAGCAACGCCAAGTCTCAATAGCAAACCAGTAACCAGCCTCATCGATGAGTTGCATTAACAATGAAACAGCTGTCCATGAGTGGTTCACTGGCTTAGCATCTCTTCCTGAGTTGTGTTTCAAAGCTGTTGTATACAGCAAATATAAACTCCAAGGAATCCATGTTTAAATGGAATAAGGCAAAAAAGTGGTTCTTTGTTGAACTAATTTGCATATGCCCACCCAGAATCCCCTGCAGTGGTAACAGCACTGCTAATCTGAGATTTCTGTGGAAAGGCAAGTCTTATCGCTTGACTGGTGTTTTTAACAATGTATTGACTATGCAATTTTAGAGAATTACGCACCACGATAGTCCTGTAGGTGGCGCCACAGCAAGAAGAAAGGAAGTTGGGTGTAAAAAAAAAATGCAGAATTCATTTTTGTGATAATAGAAATGAATTCATATATAACAGGACAGGTTTGAATGATAGCAGTTAAGGAGATCTTTGCAAATCTCACACCCAGATTATTCTATTCTCACTACAGAGGCAATATGAGAATGTTGGGTCATTGTGGAAATAGAGAAATTAAAAAATATGAAAAAAAAAAGTGAAATTTACAAATGCAAAACATGGAGTAAAGACAGAAAACAGTTTTAATCAGCTGAAAGCCAATCAGGACAGATGCATCATTATTATGTTACAATACTCACCTAAACCCGGTGGAACTTTGCATTCATTTACATTCTCCGTTTCAAGTGATGTTTTCTGGGTAATCTGTGCAGCCATTGAAATGGGTACCGGGGCACACCTACGTGGCGCTGGAGTTTCTAATGGGGATTTCCCAGATTGGCTAGTATCAACTGTGCTAGAACATGCATTAGCACCTATTCAGAGAAAAGAATTGTGGGTACTTTAACAGCATGCAGGTATCACAAGAAAATCCTATATAAAAGCAGAAAATTTCACATTATGTGGACCTTTGCAAATTACTATTAAAATATAACGAAGCACATGGTTCATTAAATTAAATGTGTATTAAGGAAACATTAACAACTCTTAGAGGTTCCTCTGTTCAGCCTATTACCTGTACTAACAGGGAAGTTCTACTTAGACTGGACATTTTGGAGATACTCATTGATGATTCATTGTCTGAGGAATTTGTAGTGTCTCCTCTTCAGTCCTGGGCAACAAGGAATAATAAAAATAACCCAGCATATCAGTGTTTCTCCCATTTAAATGAACAGAAAAAGCACTACACTTTCGAGCAGGGTCTCGTATAAATCAAAGGCAGGGCTGACAAGTTCTGTAGTCCTCTGCTAACAGACATTTCTGTATAGCTCCAGTGGCTCAGCAGAAGAATGGGTGGAGGTGGCAAGTTTAGGCCCAGGTGGCAAGTACAAATGACTGCCATTTTTCTGAGTACAGAACTCGGATTCTAGCTGAGATTCCAGTCCTGGAGAGCATTGAGAATTTCCTCTCTAGAGTCGTGCGTACTTCCAGCCTACTCTCTCTCGCTTGTAGTCCTCTGCTAACACACATTTCTGTATACTTCCAGTGGCTCAGCAGATGAATGCTATGAGGCTGCTGCCTGCAACCCCTATATCGGTGTGGCCCAAGGAGCAGTTGTCCCCCTTTCCCACTTGTGAGGGAGCAGCCTTATAGCATTCTTAGCTTGTTGCTTTACTGAAATTATTTCAGGAATTCTAAAAATCAGTTCTAAAACTGAAGGATGTTTTTTTTCTTCTTTTTTTTACTCAAATTCAATTGTGTCATAGCAGCAATTTTGTAAGAAAAAAAAACAAAAAAACAATGACTTCAGTGTTCCATAACGAGACACAGTCACACAGACCATTTTATCTCAATGACGTGATCTGGGTGCAGTGGGTCTGTAGTTTTAACCGTTCAAAATGAAACACCACAGTTTTGTAGAAATAGCAATGTTTACACTGCAGGGTTAAACACACGGAAACTCTGTGATGCGACCAAATGCTGCTCATAGGAAAGCATTGACTTCAATGATAGGATGCGCGCAGAGCTCGCCCCTTGATCCTCTATAAGGAGCACTGGATTGGACCTCCATCTTAAAAGTGGCACCTCCACAATGGCTTCTGAGGAGACAGAGATGGCAGCAACTGCACTGGAAGAATAGATAAGTAAAAAGCTTCTTTTTTTTTTTTTTAAACCAATTTTCACTTTGAATCTTAATATAAATATATATAAATTAGTCATTTTTAAAGAAGCTTTTTTGTGTCTGCAACAAGACTTGTGTTTGCCTTCACATGGTTATATGCTACGATTGTTGGACAGAATTAGAGAAAATAAATTAATATTGAAATGTTTTAGGGGTGTTGTTCGGAATGCTCTTTATTAGCAACAAAATAGCTGTGGCAAAATCATTAACCTGCATAATATGGAAAAAAAAAAGAATTTATAATATTTATTATAAAGGCAAACCTGTATTGCTGGTGTTACTGGGGATGGAAGATGAAGCCTGCTCCAGCTGATGAACTGGCCAAAGTTTTGGAGCCTCCGAGGTCAGACTAACACACACTGGGGCTGTAGTCTTATGCTGACACAAGAAGTCTTTAACAGCAGAGCTTAGAAAATGGGACTAAAACATATACATATAGTTAGAAAACAATTATATTGCTAGTGAAATATAAATACAGTGTTTTATTTATGCACGTCTACATATCTATTTATTTCTAGAAAAGAAAAAGAATATACATAAATCCTTAACATGAGAACTGAAAGTGAACAATCAGGATCCATATAATGTATTGAACATTATATGGATTTCAATTTTTACCAAAAATAAAGTCTTCAAAGTTAGATTTTTCTTTTAATTGGAGGGGGCGTCACATTCTAAATGCTCACCTTCTATTATTACCCCACTGATTTAGTGGCAGTTAAGATGTTCCATCAGCCTCGGGTACAAGGGAGTGAACGAGAGCAGAGTTACAAACCTGGGTCATAGCAATTGTTGGACTATGACCACAATAATACTCAGTCAACATATGGTCAAACCACAGCTGAGGCCTGGGTCTGACACCCTGCACAAGCTGCCCCTGTGCTCAGACCTCAGAAGCTGATACAACATACCAACTTCAACCAAATCAGGGAAGTAAATAAGCAGAGGGAAGGTAAGTGACTGATCATGCACCAAGATGGCTGGCTCCAGGAACAGAGACCACAAGCAACTGCACAGGCAAACAATGTTTTACTTACGGTGTATACGGGCAGGGAAAATATTTGCTGTTCATGTTCTAAACATTAACCGATTAAATAACGTATTCACTAAATCCGAGAATGCTAGATACTGAAAATATGACATCTTTGCGTCCAGGGATTTGTGAAAACACCCTTAAGTCACACATATTGCAACTAGGGCAGAGCAGAAATCAGTTCGGCTTATTGTGAAAAGATGGTGGATTCTGGGCACTGACATCACTAGGGGGCAGCACACTGATAAATGTGGAAAGATTGAAGTTAGAATGTAATGTTGTTCATTTTAAGAAACTCTAATTCAAAGAGGCACGTGACCCAATCAAGAACAAGCAAAGGCAAAAATGTAAGTGCATTACTGGGACAGCTTCTCCAGTAGCCATTAAAGATCTTTCAAACTGACTTTCACGCAGGATATGAATATTGCACAAGCCCAGAATAATCAAATGTGAATCGGTTTAATCCGGTAGTAGAATTGTTGGAGCTAGATAAACTGCCATACACAAAGATGGGACATGCATAGTCCCATTCAGTCCTTGATAATATGATGGTTAGCTGGCAGAAAGAAAAAGAAAGCTGTTTGGACAGGAAATTTAGTAATTAGTGTTGTATGACATGTGTTAGGCTGGCCAAGGTAAGAGAGCTACGAGCCAGCCTTCCAAAAATCCCAGGAAGATAAGAAATCCTAAACTTGCTCTGATGTTAAAGCTTTAAATGTCAGAATGGTGAACACAAAGTGTCGCTTGTGTCTCTGGCTAAATAAATAAAAACATTTACAGAAAGTATTAATTCATTAGGAGTTTTATTAGAGTGGCCTTTTGTAAAAGATGAACGAAAAAAAAATAAAAAAAAATTCGTGAAGCATCTGTCAAGCTAAATACTTCATCTTTAATGTTTATGAAATTACTTTCATGCCTCAAAATGGTCAGGAGGCTCTGGTTTCCTGATCGCACAAAACAAATTTAACTTAAAGTCATATAATCTTGTCTTGACTTGAACTTTAAGGCATATTGATCCTCTCTGTCTGCTGAGTATTGCTGCACTGCCTAATGGGAAAAGTAATTTGGCAAAAGAAGCCTTTAGCATGAACAATGATATTTTAAAATAAAAAAACAAACCAAAAAAGCTGTTATTTGAAAATTGAGAAAATAAACATATTAGTAGGTCCAAAAGAACCCAACAATGTTCAGGAGGAGTGGATGAGGTACCCTGATACCCGTTCTATTAAAGGGGGAGGCTGGAGAATGATTCCTACTATTCACACAGTGCTTATTCAATCCTGTATTATTGGCCAGAATGTGAGATAGAATTATTCTTTTTATGGTTCCACCAATAAATGCACAATGTGTGCAAAGCATTCTGGGATGCACACAGATCTCAAGGATCAAATCAGGAAGCAACCTCAAGGTAAGCATAACATTTAATTTAAATATCTGCTGATAGCTCTAGGAGAAGGCCTAGATGAAATAATACGTAGATAAATGAGTTCTTGTCATGCACAGATTTGTAGGTGAATCGTATACTTTAAAGGATAACTATAGGGTCAGGAACACAAACATGTATTCCTGACCCTATAGTGTTAAAACCACCATCTAGCCCTCATGCCTCCATAAATATAGCAAAATCTTACTGTATTCAAGACTGAAGCTGTAACTCTGCATGCTGTTTGCCTAAAAAAAAACCCCCCAAAAACAGGCAGTCTGCTGGCATCATTAGAAGTGGTAGCCTGATCCAATCACAATGCTTCCCCATAGGATTGGCTGAGACTGACAAGGAGGCAGATCAGGGGCAGAGCCAGCATGATTCAAACACAGCCCTGACCAATCAGCATCTCCTCATAGAGATGAATTGAATCAATGAATCTCTATGAGGAAAGTTCAGTGTCTGCATGCAGAGGGAGGAGACACTGAATGTTTGGATGCATTTTAGGCAGCCATGACCCAGGAAGGATCTCTAGCAGCCATCTGAGGAGTGGCCAGTGACGTTATCACTAGGCTGTAATGTAAACACTGCATTTTCTCTGAAAAGACAGTGTTTACAGCAAAAAGCCTGGAGGGTATGATTCTACTCACCAGAACAAATTTAATAAGCTGTAGTTGTTCTGGTGACTATAGTGTCCCTTTAAACACAGCGTGACGTCGGCCATTCACTATACTAGACAATAAAGTGTTGCACTAGTTACCTGCATGTCGATCTGCTGCTGTTGCAGTTTCTCCAGATGCTGAAGTCTCTGCTCTGTGAGTTTGGTCAGCTGATCCTCCAGCTGTGTCACTCGCTCACGGTACTGCATGTCCAGCGGCTGAGTTTGGACTTTGCTTTGCTGCTCGTTAAGACGTTGCAGGTGCCTATCTGCCTCTTGGAGTTTGTTAAGCAGCTGAGAAACGGAATTCACTTGGGCTTCCATATCACTACGAACCTAAACAGGGGCGGGCAAGATGGCATCAGAAATAGCAATATGAGGGGGAGGCAATCTCTATTTCTATATCATAATGAAGTCAACAATGCAGTAAATTACTGACTATATTATATTGTAACTTGGAGCATCAATACGTCTCCAGATTTCACAGACAGGGAGGAATGCCTTGTGTTTTGTTTTTTCCAACTGTCCACAGAGCTTTATTCCACAAGTTTAAAGGTTTAGACTTTTTAAGAAAATGTGATCATTCTTCAGTAGTTTGACAAAACCAGGGGTTGGGTACCCATAGCGTTCCCTCTCTCCAGCTGTGTTGGCAAGGCAAGAGTGATGTTTGCATTTTCAATATCTGTTCGGTCACTCTGGATGAGTGGCTGGTATTAATGGAGAAAGATTATTCCACAGTTAAGAGCCGATCACTGCGATCATGGTTGTACAGAATTAATATTGGTAATGCAGAAGTGTATATTCAGCATTCTAACTGTGACCGAAGAAAGGGGTGGGAAGACTGCAGTTTAAAGGTACAGACTGAGAATCTGAAGCTATTCTACCAGATTTCCTTCATCTTAGTTACTACATTATTAATTGTAACTATTTGTACCTGTAGTTTACTACTGTATAATTTTGTACTTGCAGCTACATGTAATTATTAATAATCTGGTAGTGTCCTGGTTAGCAAATATTGCAATTTTATTAGACAAATTGCAGGTCTGCTCAACCATTCCCCCTTACCCCTCCCCCCTTGCCACTCATAGCCATCAATTCCTTTAACCCCTTAAGGACACATGACATAAGTTTGGTACTCAAGGGGTTAAATAACTGTGTTTCTCTACTCTTTAGGGACAGTTTTACATCCACCTCTGCAAAAAGTCCATTTAATTTTACTCGGCTTAACTTCAATATAATATCATGTGATATTACCTTAAGTACAGGAACAGCGCTGGCAATGGCAGCAGCAGTGGCAGCTGCAATGGTTGTAGCGCAGTCAAACTCACTGTGGGATTCCTTTGCATCGGGTGTAGAGGTTTTCTGAGCAGCCTTAACATCTTCCAGCAGTTTCACTTTTACAGCTTTAGTTGCAGGTGCAGCTTGTGCTCTGAAATTAGGACAATGTACAAAAACAATACGTTAATATCTTAAATGGAATTCAATAATCATCATGAACAGGTCTTCATGCCAAAGGACTAGCAAGTAATAGTTATGGGTTAAAACAAGCTGGCAATCAGTAGGATTACAACATACATATTAAACATGTCGGGTTTCCAGTGGATTTGGAAAAGGTTTCTAACATTATTGAATCATTTGGAAACATTCCTAAATCAAGTCCTGTTATTGTCAATCATTCTATAATTTGTTATAATGTTAATAGCTCGGAACAATATAAGAATTATTAATATACACAGACACACAATATTACCTTTTATTTAAAGTGGTGAGGATAGTTTCTTTTTGACCTGAAGTAAACTGAGAAATCTTTACATCTCTGCCTGAGGAGAAAATAAATAAATGAAAAAAATATCACGTTGTATAATAAATCATACTGCAATGGTGCCTTCCAAAAGGTTCTAACAAGGTAACCACTGATACGCCACTCTAAGTATTCTGGGGATTGGTTAAAACCGTGAAGTGCCCTGTGTATAAACTAATGGTATGGCTACTATCAGTTTACTAGACACTTTCAGTCATCCTTTGTAATGAGTAAAACTGCTCCTGAGGGATAAACTACTTGTACCATAAACTTCTGCTGGACAGCCGAGGGTTTATCATGGACGTCCGAAATAAAGTGAATTGCAGGACAAACATTACTTAAAGGAACACTATGGGTCAGGAACACAAACATGTTTTCCTGACCTTATAGTCTTAAAACCACCATTTAGCCCTCCTGGCTTCCACTAGCCCTCCTAAATATAGTAAAATCTTACTTTTAATCCAGTAGAAGTTTGCGGGTGCTGGCTCTTCCTCTGATCTGCATGCTTGGCTGACATTATCAGAAATGTCTATCAGCCAATCACACTGATTTCACATAGGAAAGCATAGGATTGTCTGAGACTGTCAAGGTGGCAGATCAGGGGCAGAGCCAGCACACGTCAAACACTGCCCTGGCCAATCAGCATCTCCTCATAGAAATGTATTGAATCAATGTGTCTCTATGAGGAAAGTTCAGTGTCTCCATGCAGAGAGTGGAGACTCTGAATAGCTAATATATATATACATAAGAAAACAATGCATATGGCAAAAATCCTCAGTAACAAAAAGTTTTATAGAGATTCTACCACTTGTACATGTAAATCACACAGATAGTCATGCTTGTGGTCAAGTGGCAGCTACTGTCTAAGCATTTTCTGTTTGAACATATGTGATTTGGCTATGGCCCAATTGAGTGGATAAATGTATAATAATGGTCTCCCAAGCTTCAAGGCCAGTGCCGTAGTACAAGACACAATATCTGGAGTTATTTTTCCTTTAACGATAATTAATTGACGGGGATCACTGTGGACTTACTTTTACAGTTGCTGCTATCTTGTGTGTTTTTCATGACCGTTTTCTCCTGTGAACCATCTTGCATATGCTTTGTCAGACAAACCTTTTACCAGAGGAGGAAAACCACCCACATTATTACAAAATTAATGTTTGTTAAAGTGTCAGAGAGACAACTGTATCGCAAAATTCTAACAATTGTGTGCTTACTCACGTGCTTATTTTTTTTTAAATACAGTTATAGTTTTTCAAAGTTTTTTTTCATTTTAAAGAAAAAAAAGGGCCCCAAATTGATCCAAAATAGCAATTTGGATTTGCATCAATGCAATTCAGTTAGGAGTAATAATGTAAAAATGTGTTCATTTGGTTCAGAGTAATATGGGGTTGGGTATGCTCAAAAATGGTAGAAATGCCATATAAAGTGAAGTATGGCATTCACATAGTGCCTCAAAGCTGACAAGGTCAGAGCCATCTACACTAATTTAGTTTTGCATTTTTATTTACAGGGAATTGATCAAGCAGACCCCTCAGATATAATATTTACTCATCGACCTACAGCACATAGGATGAAGAACAGAGTGTGTGGGCTTTCAATGCTATTCACCTGTGCATGGTTGATGGGAACGAGATATCACTGAGAAGGACCCCCAGGCATCAGTAGGACCCATTTTAGATTGTAAGCAGGGCCCTCTTCACCTACTGTTCTTGTATGTCGAACATCCTTTGCTAGAATTTGTTTGGATGGTTTGTCTTACTTTATCTATAGTACAGCGCCACAGAATATGTTGGCTCTATACAAAAATTGTAATTGTAATCTTACATTATAACCCTCACTTACAAATCTCACTTATGGTGTAAATGTAAGGGTAGAACCATATTGCCAGGTGAGGATCAAAGTGTTTTTTTTGTTTTTTTTTTTACATTCTGTAGGATAGGAAATTCTGTAAACTACCTCTGAAATTGTATCTCCACAGATCCTAGAGTTATTAGAACATAGATATATATGGCCATTCAAATGCATCTTTGCAGAGCAACTGCTTTCTGATGGTAAAATTAGAAGAAATATAATGAAGTATTGCACAATGCACTGCACTAGCCAGTGGATTAAAAATAAGTGAAAAAAAAAAAAAAACATTTTAAAGGGTTCAGTTACTTATTCCATCATAAAATGAGCAGCAGTGTGTGGGTTAATAAATGTACATAGGGAACAGACAGGGCACTTTTTAAATCAACTCTCACACTGACACCCAAGGTAATGGGGGCTCCAATAATTAAGGGGTCTGGCATCCCAGGTTTCTACTGTCTTACTTATAATTTGAAAAAATGTTTTGTAAATTTTCTCTAAGCTGTTGTATTTACAGTATCAATACATTTTCTGAGTAACAGAACAGCAATATGTGATGACGATAAATAAAGCTCACCTTTATAGTGGATGGTTCTTTATGGGAAATCAAATGGTTCTGTATTGTAATAAGATGTGCAGAGTCTGAAAGGGCAAATGAATTGTACAAATGCAATTAATTTTAAAGAAAAGGTAACAGTGCTACATTTAGCTAGTAGCAAGGGGCACAACTCAATACAAGTTTTACATGTATTTTTACAATTCGGTTCCTATCACTGTGTAAATGGATGTGACCGCTAGAAAATCAGCGGTTCCAATTATCATTAGGTTGTATTTTCATTGTATATACTGTCCACCCTAGTGGGCTGTATTTAGGCATTTGACCATTAAAAACCAAATGGCAAAATTTGCCCAAAACAGCTGAGGATGAAAAGAAATCTACTCTACCATGTCATCCTAAAATTGCAATTAGGCTTTGAATTTACATTAGGATAAACAAAAACAAAACTAAACTACATTTTTTACAAAAAGTACCATAATTATATTTTTTTCTGAAAGCAACAAACCAATAGAACATTTAATTTGATTATTTCCCCGTGTTTACTTATATAAATGAAATAAATGTGAAATATTTAAAGACTATGATGTTCTTTGAAAACAATTTTGTTAAATCATCCATGGTAATAAGACAAAAAATAAAGCTGTGATTCAAACAGTTTTCTGAATTGCAGTGGAATATTGTATGCCATATATCCCGAAAGCATATCACAGGCCAAATTAAGGGGGAGAATTGTCAATGCAAAAAACATGCTATTCTATTCTAAATAAAGAGCAATCACCATGGGAACCAGCAGAATTTATCACAACACACAGAAAAGCATGTGTTCTGGCTTGAAGAATTTCCCACTAGAACGTTTATACGAAATACAGTTTGGTTATCCTTTTATTAAATTTCAAGGTACAACACATATGAAGTATGTCATATAAATATCTGCTTCACACAACAAATTATTGTAAACCAATAATGTCCCAGAATTTATGAAGCTATGATTATACCTGGTATTGTATCCCCAGAGTTGAAACGGACAGCTGGATACTTGTTAGCTGGTAAAACAGGAGGGATATAAGCAGGATCTTGGGTTTTTACAGCAAAGTCTGGAGGAGGAACAGGTATCTCTCTTAGCCTTTTCAGGGAGATCTGGACTGGATGACTTTCTTGGTGTCTGTTTGGGCTGGCTGACTGCATTCCACCAGTAGATGTGGGTACCCCAGAGAGGTGCCCTGTGATCCCTGCCACCCCAGTAGATGTGAATACCCCAGAGAGGAGCCCTGTGTCCCCTAGCTCCCTAGAGAGGTAACCTGTGCCCCCATTAGGTGTGGGTACCTCGGAGAGGTGCCCTGTGCCCCCTGTAGGTGTGGGTACCCCAGAGAGGTGCCCTGTGCCCCCTGTAGGTGTGGGTACCCCAGAGAGGTGCCCTTTGCCCCCTGTAGGTGTGGGTACCCCAGAGAGGTGCCCTGTGCCCCATGTAGGTGTGGGTACCCCAGAGAGGTGCCCTGTGCCCCCTGTAGGTGTGGGTACCCCAGAGAGGTGCCCTGTGCCCCCTGTAGGTGTGGGTACCCCAGAGAGGTGCCCTGTGCCCCCTGTAGGTGTGGGTACCCCAGAGAGGTGCCCTTTGCCCCCTGTAGGTGTGGGTACCCCAGAGAGGTGCCCTGTGCCCCCTGTAGGTGTGGGTACCCCAGAGAGGTGTCCTGTGCCCCCTGTAGGTGTGGGTACCCCAGAGAGGTGCCCTGTGCCCCCTGTAGGTGTGGGTACCCCAGAGAGGTGCCCTTTGCCCCCTGTAGGTGTGGGTACCCCAGAGAGGTGCCCTGTGCCCCCTGTAGGTGTGGGTACCCCAGAGAGGTGCCCTGTGCCCCCTGTAGGTGTGGGTACCCCAGAGAGGTGCCCATTGCCCCCTGTAGGTGTGGGTACCACAGAGAGGTGCCCTGTGCCCCCTGCCCTGTGAATGCTGGTAGATCTGATCAATACATCGCTGGCCGTACTGCTGGCCACAGAGTCCACACTTATATCAGAGGCTTCCTCCCACATGCTGTCACTGGCCCCGCTGGCACCTGCCCTGGGCTCCCAGCTAGCCCCCTGACAGCTGTTACCGGCTCCTTCCCGCTCCCCCAGGAGGAACAATAAAACCAGCCGGGGGGACAGTAAACACTGACGGACCAGCTGTTACTGGTTACCAACACAAACCAACGGCTGAACGGTCCGTCCGCAATAATCCTCCGTGCGGAAACAAACACTGAGTGCTGATCTGTACCTCATTCCCAGACTGCTACTGTCTGCATACATTATAACAGGGATTGCAATAAAAAATGCTCAAAATAATATAACAAACTTACTGAGGGGGTCACAGACACCATGGGGAGGAGGGGAGTCCCTGCTGTAAGGATAGTAACACTGTATCCAGGATATCATCCCTTCCATGGGGTACAATAGGATGGATTGATACTGTATCCAGGATATCATACCTTCCATGGGGTACAATAGGATGGATTGATACTGTATCCAGGATATCATACCTTCCATAGGGTACAATAGGATGGATTGATACTGTATCCAGGATATCATACCTTCCATGGGGTACAATAGGATGGATTGATACTGTATCCAGGATACAGGACTGTCATCATACCTTCCATGGGGTACAATAGGATGGATTGATACTGTATCCAGGATGCAGGACTGTCATCATCCCTTCCATGTTGTACAATAGGATGGATTGATACTGTATCCAGGATACAGGACTGTCATCATACCTTCCATGGGGTACAATAGGATGGATTGATACTGTATCCAGGATATCATCCCTTCCATGGGGTACAATAGGATGGATTGATACTGTATCCAGGATACAGGACTGTCATCATCCCTTCCATGGGGTACAATAGGATGGATTGATACTGTATCCAGGATATCATACCTTCCATAGGGTACAATAGGATGGATTGATACTGTATCCAGGATATCATACCTTCCATGGGGTACAATAGGATGGATTGATACTGTATCCAGGATACAGGACTGTCATCATACCTTCCATGGGGTACAGTAGGATGGATTGATACTGTATCCAGGATACAGGACTGTCATCATACCTTCCATGGGGTACAATAGGATGGATTGATACTGTATCCAGGATATCATCCCTTCCATGGGGTACAATAGGATGGATTGATACTGTATCCAGGATACAGGACTGTCATCATCCCTTCCATGGGGTACAATAGGATGGATTAATACTGTATCCAGGATATCATACCTTCCATGGGGTACAATAGGATGGATTGATACTGTATCCAGGATATCATACCTTCCATGGGGTACAATAGGATGGATTGATACTGCATCCAGGATACAGGACTGTCATCATACCTTCCATGGGGTACAATAGGATGGATTGATACTGTATCCAGGATGCAGGACTGTCATCATCCCTTCCATGTTGTACAATAGGATGGATTGATACTGTATCCAGGATACAGGACTGTCATCATACCTTCCATGGGGTACAATAGGATGGATTGATACTGTATCCAGGATATCATCCCTTCCATGGGGTACAATAGGATGGATTGATACTGTATCCAGGATACAGGACTGTCATCATCCCTTCCATGGGGTACAATAGGATGGATTGATACTGTATCCAGGATATCATACCTTCCATGGGGTACAATAGGATGGATTGATACTGTATCCAGGATATCATACCTTCCATGGGGTACAATAGGATGGATTGATACTGTATCCAGGATACAGGACTGTCATCATACCTTCCATGGGGTACAATAGGATGGATTGATACTGTATCCAGGATACAGGACTGCCATCATACCTTCCATGGGGTACAATAGGATGGATTGATACTGTATCCAGGATACAGGACTGTCATCATCCCTTCCATGGGGTACAATAGGATGGATTGATACTGTATCCAGGATGCAGGACTGTCATCATACCTTCCATGGGGTACAATAGGATGGATTGATACTGTATCCAGGATACAGGACTGTTATGCTAAAATGCTGGTCTGGAGATACAGTATGTTAAAATGCTGGTCTGGAGATACTGTATGCTAAAATGCTGGTCTGGAGATACAGTATGTTAAAATGCTGGTCTGGAGATACAGTATGTTAAAATGCTGGTCTGGAGAAACAGTATGCTAAAATGCTGGTCTGGAGATACAGAATGCTAAAATGCTGGTCTGGAGATACAGTATGTTAAAATGCTGGTCTGGAGATACAGTATGTTAAAATGCTGGTCTGGAGATACAGTATGTTAAAATGCTGGTCTGGAGATAAAGAATGCTAAAATGCTGGCCTGGAGATACAGAATGCTAAAATGCTGGTCTGGAGATACAGTATGTTAAAATGCTGGTCTGGAGATACAGAATGCTAAAATGCTGGCCTGGAGATACAGAATGCTAAAATGCTGGTCTGGAGATACAGTATGTTAAAATGCTGGTCTGGAGATACAGTATGCTAAAATGCTGGTCTGGAGATACAGAATGCTAAAATGCTGGTCTGGAGATACAGTATGCTAAAATGCTGGTCTGGAGATGCAGTATGTTAAAATGCTGGCCTGGAGATGCAGTATGTTAAAATGCTGCTCTGGAGATACAGTATGCTAAAATGCTGGTCTGGAGATACAGTATGTTAAAATGCTGGCCTGGAGATACAGTATGCTAAAATGCTGGTCTGGAGATACAGTATGTTAAAATGCTGGCCTGGAGATGCAGTATGTTAAAATGCTGGCCTGGAGATACAGTATGTTAAAATGCTGGCCTGGAGTTACAGTATGCTAAAATGCTGGCCTGGAGATACAGAATGCTAAAATGCTGGCCTGGAGATACAGAATGCTAAAATGCTGCTCTGGAGATACAGTATGCTAAAATGCTGCTCTGGAGATACAGTATGCTAAAATGCTGGTCTGGAGATACAGTATGTTAAAATGCTGGCCTGGAGATGCAGTATGTTAAAATGCTGGCCTGGAGATGCAGTATGTTAAAATGCTGGTCTGGAGATACAGAATGCTAAAATGCTGGCCTGGAGATACAGAATGCTAAAATGCTGGTCTGCTGTGATATTTTAGCCTGAATTTTTATTATTTGCATATTCACTCACTCCATTTTGGAAATCAGTGAATAACTCTGCTAGTTTAAGAGGTTTCCCTGATTTCAGTTCAGATTTTAGTGCATTACAGTGATTAACATGCAATTATTTATATATAGAAAGAAAAACACAAAACATGGTGCAGTCAATTAAAAGAGGAACTATATTTCGGAAGCCACGTTTCCGGGGGTGAGTATTGACAGAGAGAACAAGAAGTGCCTGGCAACATTAAGTAAATCTAGTCGAAAATTCTCAGCCACACTTTCCCATATAAAATAAAATAATAATTAAAAAATCCAACATTCTCTGGGGGTTGTCAGCATTCTAACTGCTCCATTCATTGCCTTAGAACACCCGTGATATTTTATTCTCCTACTTTGCCAGTTTAAGAGGGAGGATTGTGATGAAAGTGCGGCTGTGAATGTGGCGCTGAGTTCGCCCCGCCCACGTGTTCCTGTGTCAGTGTAAGGAGAGCAGAGTGTGGCTGTGTTGGACCTGTGAGTATGGAGTGAGGGGTTACAGGCCTTGCTCATGCTGTGTGAGTGCAGGCTCCCTCCCTGCCAGGGGACATTTTATGGAAATATAATATAATATTATTTAATATAATATAATGTAATGCAGGGTAGACAGTAAATGGCACAATTCTCAAAGAATGAATATTGACTGGTATAGAAGGTCATTCATTGTATCTGGGAATATTTCATTCAGTTCATTCCATGTAGTAACTAGCTGATGCACATACCAGGATCAAGGGAGATCTATAGAATTTTGATGATTTTTTAAAATTGTATTTAATTGGAAGGCAGATTTGGAAATCAAATTTTATTCATCTGCTAAGCATTTAATGCCCATTGTTACTTTTATATAAAGTATTCGTGTGATACATGTGTAGAATTTCCATGCTGTAGTATTTTGTAACAGTGTGTGAAACACTAATGACCTTGGTATTTTTTTGTTGTTGTTGTTTGTTTGTTTTCAAGGTCATAACAACCTAGCTGATTCACCATAAAGACAATTACTTTTCTTTGTTGAGAGGTTAGAATATTATCCACCTTTTACTATCGGTTACTGCTATCTTATTTATGTGAGATAGATGCTTGCAGGAAACGCTACCAAAAAAACCCCGAAACAACTGCAGTGAGATCGTATGAGAGTTTTACCACTGGATGAGTTGATGACTTTTGTGTCTTTCATTGAATGATTCCCCCCAAAAAATATATAGGCTTATTTTAAATTTAATTTTTTATTTATAAAGTGAACCTGTCATTTAAAAGTGGGGTGTTGTCAAGTAACTTTGAGGCAAAGTCACAGCATCCGCAGTCACTCTAGAGATGGTAGTGTTTATTACTATGCCAGGTTTCTAGATGAGCAGGATTAAACACATTTTTGGATGAAATATAATAAATGTGTTTTATGTCTCACATTTCTATGTCTGTGTGTCTCACGTGTGTATGAGACCTGTTCCCACTAATGTGCACAGAGAGGCAGGAATAGTGCAGCAAATAGTGATGTCACTCGCCCCATACACTATCTTCAAAATGGATGCATCAGTCATACTCTGAGAATCATTGCTGCTAGCTAATTGGACTTCAAGCCGCGTCCAGAAATGGATGCTGACTAAATGTTTCACTGGAACTGGTGGGCTAGCAATCTAGAAACTGTAGGTTTGGCAACTGCAAAACTTATTGTTTAAAGAGCTTCCAGATATTTGCTGTGGGTCACTTCCAATGACCTCTATAGTGAAGGGGTGGGGTGCTCAATTAATGTAGGACCCACCGATATTGGGGTACTGTGATGTAGTGGTGGACTTAAAACGATATGGCCATATGGTGTAACTGAATCCCCATATTTGTTTAAGATAGTTAATCAATGTAGTTCAGGTGGGCACACATTATCAATGTGGCTGAGATCAGGGTGAGCCATGGGTGCAGAGAAGAGCCCCATTGACTGCCTTGTGTGCTTGATGTAATGGCTTTCTACAAGTAGAATGATGAAACTTAAAACATTTCAAAGTTACATCAAGTCATATTGGGCATGAGCAGGGGTACGTTAAGTAGATGTGTGTGTGTGTGTGTGTGTGTGTGTGTCCAGTGGTCATATATTGATACCGTTTGGAACTGTTGTGTGATATCAACTCGACTGTGCAAAAAGTTCTGATATATGGGCAGGGCTTCCCATAAAAAAAAGCAATGGAAGATCCAGGATAGGCTGCCATGGTCTTCCTGCCAGTCCTCATTAACCACTGATGTTTCTGCTGCCAGGAGCCCACGTCAGAGTTGTACTGTTGCGCATGTGCGAGAATACAACACTGAGGAGACCGCGGGATCCTGAATAGACAATGCCCTTTTCCATAATAAATAACAAAACTTTAGGGCAGTAGTTCTGTCTTTTGTTGGGCTTTGCCAAGCTTAGGATATATATTAAAACAAAGTAGTCTCTACGTTGTCATATTTTATGAATGAGTTGTCATTTGAGCAATATCCCATCACAGTCAATGTAACTATTTCATAAGGAGGGGTAATGGGGGTGGTGACAAAGCCATTTTACGGCTAGAGAAGCTGAATGGAAAGCATAGCTGATTTAGAGAATTTGTCCAGTTTGGCTGTTCTCACCTTAGATTTGAAATTTCATTTAAATCTACCTTGAATTTGCAGTTTAATAAATTACCTTATTAGAGAATCTAATAATGTGCCTCATTTAGTGTGAGTGAGTAATGTTAAGCTGTATCTGGTGCCGAAGGTTTAAATGTGTGTGGTTTATTTACAGGTCCTTGCCTGAAATCCAAGATAAATTATGGCAGCCCAAGCCACTGAAGCTGATCAGATCAAACAGGTTAGTTCTTAATAGCCCATTATGATTTTAGAGTAGTATTGTGCTTTTGTAGTAATCTGAACGATAAAGTTGAGCACTTTTGAATTATAAACCAAGCTCCCGTGTATGCAATACAGTATTTACAATATACCCCTGTGTGAGGCAGGGCTGACCTTGCTATTGTGGAGCTACTTCTCTCAGTATGCATTAGCTCCCTTTTCTTTGGCAAAGCATCATGGTAGTTGTGGTTCTGCAACATGTAGAGAAGCTACGTTGGGGCAACTTACTGTCCCAGTGGCAAAGTGGAATGTTCCTCTAACCAATTAGTATCTAGTCCAGAATAGTGTTTATTCTGACTCTGAAGATGGATACGGTAACATTTCCATTGAAGGGTCAGTCTGTGCTTTGTTTACCAGTCATTGTTATTGCAGAGGTATTGCTTTAAAAGAACACTAACATTAGAAATACACTTCGAACACTAGTGCTCCTGTGCATCTTAACCCCTTAAGGACCAAACTTCTGGAATAAAATGGAATCATGACATGTCACACATGTCACGTGTCCTTAAGGGGTTAAAGGAACACAAATTTACTTTAGAGGCAATTCATAAAATTTACACCAGCACCCCAAACCTGATCCAGATGAGCTTTAAATTGGAGCTCATTTGAACCACGTATTCCCAAATTATTGCTAGATTTGTTACTTAATAAGTCTTTCCAAAGACATTAACCAAGAGGGACGTGGCGATATAATTGGAGTCCAATATATGACCTATGCCCGAGGGGTACCAGCTAAATATTTCCCCTGTTCTCTCCTGTCTATAGGGGGATTATTATGGCCCACAATCAGAAAAGTCTTCTGGGTATATTAATGCCAGCCCCACATTAATATCTTTAATGATGCCATATTGTGGTATATCCCTGGAATATTGCCAAATCTCTCACAGGAATGCACAGTCAGTGTCACTAATAAAATGACTCAGTCTCCCACTCCACCCCCCCTAAATATGTTAGTGTGTGTGTGTGTGTGTGTGTGTGGGGGGGGGGGGGTCCTGTTAATTTTTACTTGCTTCATTAATTGTTGGTAAAATGGCTGACCTGAAAATGCCTTTACAGCAGATAATTTCTACCTCTATTAGTAAGGCAATTGTGATTGCCATTTGGCATCAGCACCTTCAGTTTTTTTCTTAATCCTTCTTCATGTACACCCAAGTTGTCAGCTGTGTCTTTCCCTGCTGTCACATCTGCCTACTTATAAGTTGTTGAATGTAATCTTCAGGTCCCTTTCATCTCCCGTGTCATCCATAGCATTCCACTCAAAGTCTATGCAGTCATAGCGTTTTGTGTCCTAAATCCATAATTTTGCATACCTTAATATTACATTTTAGATCTTACATGCTTAACTATTCCTCTAATTAACTGTCTGCTGTGTCTACAGTTCAAAGAATTTCTTGGAACGTACAATAAACTCACAGAGAACTGCTTTCTGGACTGTGTGAAGGATTTCACAACACGAGAAGTCAAACCGGATGAGGTAAACTATGTTACCTATCATGGGTTTCTTTGATTTGTTTTCTGTTTAATGTGCTGCTTTCACCACTGGCATGGTCATTTTTAAAGGGGCAGTGTAGTGTAGAGACTTTGTTGGTAATACTTTGAATGGCATCTCCTGGATATTTGTTAAATTGTTGTGTGTGTGTGTGTGTGTTTTATATCTTTGAAATGTACAGCAGGAAAGTTTGTATATATAATTTTATTATTTATTACTTATAGATTACCTGCTCTGAGCACTGCCTGCAGAAGTATTTAAAAATGACACAGAGGATATCTATGAGATTCCAGGAATACCACATACAACAGAATGAAGCCTTGGCTGCCAAAGCTGGTCTCATCGGTCAGCCACGGTAATGAAGAATTGAGTGTGCTCCACAAGCTTCTACAGGTTCTTCAAAGGTTCTGCATTGCAAACCAAACATGTACCTGTGTTGTGGGGAGATCCACCCCTCTAGTGGGAACTAAGATACGTGCTGCCAGAACAAGGCATATCATGAGGATTCACATATTATGTTGAAGAGAACAATAATGGATTGGTCATCACAGAAAAACATTCACTCAGAGGTCAGAATGACACGCAACACACGTCTTCTCTGGGTCTTGAAACCTACCTTATAAAACTTTGGTTCTGAGAATTCTCTAATCCAATGTCAATAGACAAGAGTGGTGGAGACTGCAAAATTCCGTAACTGTTAACGCTGAAGACAGTCATCAAAGAAGCCGCTTGTCTCCAAAACCAGGAAAGTCAACAGATTTCTAACTAACTTCTTAATCTTATAAGAGCAAATGCGTGACCATAGGTACTTCTCTTTATCTTGCAGTAATTGTTTGACATCCAGTACAGCCAATGGGATTTTTTTTTTTAAATCACTCAAATATCCTGCTGTAAGTGCTCTAATCACTGTTAAACTAATAAATAGAGAGTTTTATTAAAAAGCGAGTATTGTGAGTAAAGCTCTTGAAGGATAGCCCACATACAATTTTGAACCAGAACAGGGCACACAATCTTGCCATAGCAATAAATACGAATACCTTAAACTGGGAATTAATGAATGAAGGGCAAGTTGTAAACCACAGTAGCCAAACTGGAAAAATCTTGACAACTGCATTTTTAAATGGATCCTAAAGTCCTGAAAAACAAAACTATTCCCACAGTCTTTGTGTTTAGAAATTAAAGTACACTAAATATTACATTGTTTCTGCCTCTGGGATGCCTCCAGCATGGCTATTGATGTCTACGCAATCTCCTCCAAATCCATTGCTTTCAATAGAGGAATGCATGCGCGCAGCCTAGCGCTGTGCTCTTCCTTTATTCAAAGACAGAGTTCTAGTCTGTCAGTGCAGAGATTGCTCCTCTAGTGGCAGTCAGTATGACCTTTTACTAGAAGTGGATTTAACCCTGCAATGTAAACATTGTAGTTTCTACAAAACAGAAAATGTATATATTGCAGGATTAAAAGTAAAGGACCACTGTACCCAGACCACTTCATTGAGATAAAGTGGTCTGGGTGCCTATGAAGTTCCTTTAATATCCATAATAGTTTGTAGCCATCAATAAGTAAAAGGTTATACAAATTTGAAACCACAGCATTTGTTTTCAGCTTCTGTAGCGAGATCTCAGAGTATGAAGTGAATCAGCCAATGTATGATGTTCACTTGACTTTATGTAGCACTGCTGAGCTTATCTCATAATCTGCGCTTTGTGGGAACAGTGCATTTCAGAGAGTTGTAGTTCTATTGTAGAAAACTAGCACTTAGTCCTAAGGGACAGATCAGTCAGGGAATCAAAGGCAAAGCGCTAAGTCTGCCATTTCCTACTGCTCTTGTAGCCATTGGGTAGAAACAATCTGGGCAGATAGTCAACTGGAGACAGAAATAGGACAAATGAAATCACGATGAAAAAGAGAGAGATGAAGGCGATAACATCAAAGGTGTGGAAATAGCAATTGATGAATCATGTAGGGTGCATAGAAAATCAGGTGTGTGAAAAATCGCAATGTTATATAAATTAGTTATAGAGGGTCTCTCAGTTCAGCTACTCTGACTGTAAATTTGAAATTCACTTTAATAACAATGTAAAAGAAAAATAATTACAATTAAATCTCCACTGCACAAACCCTGTCTTTACATTTATCTGACAAGTCATTGGTTACACTGCAATAAAAATAATTCTACCCACTCACTTTATTCCCCCCCCCCTCTCTTTCAGTGATATTTGAGTGCTAGTTAGATTATTGTTAATTGTTGCTGTATAATGCAAGCCATAAAATACATGTGATTGTTCGTTTGCAATAAATTTGAGTGTCTATGTCCTCCTTAGCCGGACTATGGCTGCGATTCTGGTCCTCGCTTTGTATCTCCCATAAACTGCTGGTTTCCTTTCTCTCATGCGAGCAATAATTCTAGAATTATTTAAATGAACAAGAAAACTAGGTCTATTGCACGTTTTCGTGGCAGATCCCTATATAATAATTGGAGAGAGATTGTTTCCCTATAACACCAGGCACGTCACATGCTGCATTATTAAATAAACTTGCATTTCAGATCTTGTGGTTACATTCTAATTTGCTTATGTGAGTATGTCCTGGGTCCACAAATCATTGCATTGTTACATTAGGGTACAATAAAATACAAAAACATTAATACACAAATACAAAATGTAACATAAAACAGGCAGGAAATATATAAATCAACCATGACAGGTGCATTCTATTTTGAGGAATGTAGAGAGGGATCTCTTAAAGGACTTTAGGCTTAGGGAAGATTTAAATTATGCGGGAGGTCATTCCACAATTGGGGTGCTCTGTAGGAAAAGGAGGATCGGGCTGCTTTCTTTTTGTATTGAGGTAGATTAAATAAAGTGTTGGTACTGGATCGGAGGTTATATGAAGTGGGAACAGTTGGGGGAAAGCATCTACTCCACTAACAGACATCCAACATACAGATACATTATTCTATCAGTGCACAAGATGGTAAATCTTAAATCTCAAACATCCGTAAGTTTTTGCTTATTTGAGGTTTTAACCTCTTCACGACAAGTGACTTGGCAAGACCAGGATATTCGTACTCCTTTAAGCATAAACAATAATTAAGGTCAATCACCTTGGAAGCTGGCTGTGCTGGAAAGAGAACATGTATAATAAGCTTTTTCTTTTATGTTGTCATTATTACGCTTACTAAAAGTCACTTTACATTCAATGCCCTTTGTGATGGCTGCCTCAGCAGTATGATATAGCACTCATCCCATACTTGTGGTAGAATATAGGGGTGTTGTATAAATACAACCACTCATTCATACAAGTAATTGCAGCATTCTAAACTCATGAGAGAAAGTACACTTTTTTTTTTTTTTTGGGGGGGGGGAGGAAATCCTCTATTAAAGTGACCAGTGTATTGGTATATAATTGACAAATGGCAATTTTGATTTCACACACACTGCGTTGGGAAAATTAAACCTGAAATTCAATGTCTACTAAAAGATATGAATTAAATGGTGATGCCATTTAAAGGGACACTCACTGCCCGAATAATACAAATCTAGTAGATATACCCCCAAAGAAACATGCATGCAATTAATTTTTTTTTTTTTTATTGGGGGTAGATCTCTTGTCTGGAGCCTTTACAAGCCCTCCCATTCTAACCCGCCTTTCTGGGACTGTCCAATTACAGACTTCCCAATGCTGCTTAATGACAAGTCTTTGCAAGACTGGTGCTGTTTGAATTCATAAAAAAGGGACAATTTATATTAACTCTACTTTGAAAAATGAAAACAAGGACACTTTTTTTCCCCCGCACATAAACCACTTCAATAAGCCAAAGTGCTTTAGGTGTTTAGAGTGTTCCTTTAACTTTAAAATGAGTCCAAACAATACTTGTGTTAAATGGTAAGGGATCCGTCGTCATAACAAGGTGGATATTTAATACAAGGTACATTGTCTGTCCTGATGTTTTCTGGTTAGATTGAAATGGGTCTTCAAAATTGACAAATGGAATTTCTCACCTTCACCTACTCACGCTGAATGTCCATCCATACGCCTCTTACTTCCTAAGTGAGGATTATATCGCTACACGCCGTTGGTTTTGAGCTAGTTAACTCATTATTTGTGACCACATTTGCCCTTTCCTTTGTATTAAATACACTAATTTTAAAACGACTACATTATCAGAGGCCAATTCTGTTTATTCTCGTTGCATATTCGATAGGCTGGCCTGTTGAGGATAACAGACTAGTACCAGAATTGCCCAACCTTTATTAAGTTTCATCTAATAACCAACTTTGGATTATTATAAATACTAAGGCAAAATATAATACATTCCTGGACTTTCCTTTTTTTGGATGTATATACGGTCAGTTTTGTACACTCTACTATTACTAGGTGCTACCTTTTTGGTTTCACAGTTGTACCTGTTTGCTGCCCCACAAGTTAGCGCTGTATCTATTCTCTCTATAAGAATCCTCACCAAATTATGCCTTCAGTCGGGTTTGTTCACCTACAGAATAAATACTGAGAAAATGAAAGCAACAGACATCTTGTGAAGTGGACCTCTGGAAACTCAAATACTGCTATCAAAATGTTCACCTCCAGTACTGTAGCAAGAGGGAATTAAAGCAATCCATACACCAGCTGACACTTTACACTAAATTTGATCAATGAATTACGAGATATACCTAATGTTGAATAGATAGATGTATTCTCTCTGGTACTTTAAGAAAAGGATCTGTGATTAAGCCTTCTTAATAAAATGCATAGGATTTAGTTTTTCTCACATAGTAGTGCATTGAGAAATTCTGGTTGAGACAAAGAAAGTGACCACCTTGTCAGCAGAAATTAGTCCAGTATTCAGTTTATCTGACAGAAGACTGGTCACTAAACAAAACACTCACTTTGTACCTCCATTCTGTTCTATAGGGAAACAGAATTATTTCTGTTTGGAAACCCTATGATATAGATGGTGTTATTTCTCCGAGGGTTTTATACCCCAATTTTCTGTCAAACATTTTGGAGCAATTTAACAGAAAACGGGGCTCTCATAGTCACTCCTAGCTTAATCCCTCAGAATCCACAGAAAGTACACATCAAACCGTGGATGGCTGATAGCCTGTCCGCACTGGGGGCTTCAAATTTAATGTCTGAATCTTTGAAAGCATGAAGTTAAAGCGGTAGGGCTTTGCATTGCTGGATTCCACATAAAAACAAGACACCAGTTGGATGTAGTAACTAGCAGTGCAGCCTGCATGCTTTGCACTGAAGCAGGGAGACATTCTGCTTAGAATTAAACAGCAAGCATCTTTAATTGTACACGCCATTTTATTCTTCAACAAGATACATATTTAAATGTTGCTTCTATTATAGAAATATTTTATTTCTCAATGCGGCTTAAGTCTCTTCAATTTGTATAAAATGTTTGGATGACACAAACTTGTAGGAATAAGCTCTGTTTAATGAATACATTCTGTTAAAAACGAACAAATAAAATAAATTGAAATAGCAAAAAATAGCTATGTTTAAACCATGGCCTTTATTGATGCTCTTTAATGAGCGCTGTTTACACACACAACTCTGCGTTGCTTTAGAAAGACAGAAAAAAGTGCATATTACAGGAGTGCTTTTTCTTTAACCCCTGTGGCAGCCAAGGAGTTAAATCTGTGCTGGAAGGAATCAGACTCACAAAACTTCACAATGCGGCAAAAAAGAAAATACATTGATTTTAGTAACGCTATCCATCGCTAGTGTTTAGCTCAAACTATCAGCTCTTGTGAACACAGTATTCGGATATACAATCTAGGGCGGTTTCTCACCCCTATTCTCTGCACACCCCAGCCAAACCGAAATGAACGAATAAAAACAACAAACGATAAACCCTTCACTGCTAAAAGTGCCCAGATTACTGACGGCACATCTAGCAGCAAAAGAAGGTTGCCGAAAATAGCCGAAGATTACAAAAACACATTTGTACTGATTTTATATGTGAATGTGCGGTTAAACTGGTTGTCCCCAAGACACAGCCTGATTGGGGCATCCCAAGGAGATGGTTGAGAAACACTGGTCTAGATAAGTCTACAGCATATTAAACACAGAAGAAGGGATAAAAAAACCCTTTTTAATGTACAAACATGAATAAAAATTGATAAAAAAATCACTTTTGTACATAATGTATATGTAAAAACTGTTTTAAATACAGGTTTCAGGAAGGATTATTTACAAAATGTATTGTCCTACAGAACAATCCATATTTCTTGTATACATAGGTGCTTTGCTGTAATGCTGCATCTCAACTTTAGGAGATAAATGAATTCGGCAGTAAAGCAAAATTAAAATTAAACTTGGAAGGGCCATTTGAATAACAAAAAGTCCTGCAAAGAAGTTCGGTTCAAGGACTGCCAAAGTTTCAGAAACATGGGATTAGCAATTCAGTGATGTAAAACAAAGCGCAGAAATCACCTTAAGAGCTACAGTTGGAAGAGAGAACTAAACCCTTTGCTTATCTTTCGTGTTTTTTTTGTTTTTTTTATTAATATTTTAAAAAATACATAAAAATACAACATCCAATGTCTGAATAAATATATTTAACAAGTTGCAAGATAATACCGTATTTTACAGAAAAAAAATAAAAAAAACATGAAAAAAGGAAACAAAAAATTTCAGCTTTAGAAATCTTGTTAAATAACTTCGCTGTTGTCATATATTTTCTTTTTGTTTTTTTGTAACAAAATAAAAACTCTGAAATTACATAGAAAAAGACAAAATATATTTGCCAAGGGAAAAGATAGTCAACTGAAAACGTACTCACAATTCCACTGTAAACATTAATAAACATTAAAATATTTGCATAATCATGTGCTCTAAACTCCTGTAAAAAGTGGAAGACGTTTTATAAATGTACTTTTCAGTCAACTACAGTCCCTTTCACAATTTATTTTGTCTTGCTTACAGCTTTAAAACTGGGCACTCTGCTGAACACAATGGACTTTGGCAGTTCTCTTAAGAGCAAGTGCTTCCCCGAAAAAAAAAGCCTTCTATATATCAGAAGCTAAAAAGCAGCCCTATTAAAAAAGTGCAGCTGCTATTAGAATTATCCTTGCTAGCACTCTAACGTTTGGTATATACACTTGCTTTTTTCCCCTTTTGTTAAGTGGGTATTTGATAGGTCTGCTGAAAAAATTACTCAGACATATGTCAATTCGCTAAAAAAAAAAAAGTCATACTTTTTGGACAAAAACAAGAAAACCATTGTGGCACACTGAATGTTAGTCTTCTACTTTCTAATCGTCTTATTTAATAAGAATATAATAATAATTAAATAAAAAAAAAGTATGAAAAAGGGAATTCATCAGAGGGAGATTTTAAAGAAAAAAAATACTTGGCAATGTAAAACCGGTTGAGTGCTTTGTGTGGTTGTATTACAGAGGGGACAATGAGTTTAAGTGTCCATGGCAGCAGAATGCTGGAAGGATGACAGGTTGAGTATCACCTACACTCCAAAGCAAGTGTGTTCTGTGGGGGTGAAGAAGAGGACGGGCTCATGCCTGTTTCTGAGGATGCTGAAGACATGGATGCTCCTGTATTGGACACTGTGAAAACAACATAAAAGAAAATCAGTTTCTAGAACACACGTTCCATTGTAGAAGGACACAGAAGGTGTAGGAATTGATGGACCATCCACAATTCCATGCCTATCATCACAATTCTCTGTCTAGCAAAGACACCCAGAGCCCATTCAAGGAACACTGAGCACCAAAATATCCCACCAGCCACTCTACATGTCCATCTCTTATCACTGCAATAGGTATCATGACATCACCACCTATATCTGTACAACAGTAAGTGACAGTATGGGCGCTCTTATAGCTCTTTATGCTAAAGTTCAGGGCTTATAATTTCAAGTCCTATGCCACTAGCCAGGCTTTAACAGTTACTAGCCACTGAAAGCCAGAAGGCTCCATGTCTCACCAGGAGCTACATTTTCACTCGCCAAAGGTCCTGCTAAAGTTCATACTGTTAAATATTCTATACACATACATATAATTTATGCACTATTACAAAACCATGCAAAAATACAAGGGCTCACTTTCTCGGTCTTTCTTTTTTAACCGTTTTCTCCTCCTGTCAATTGTAGCAACTTCAGACTTCAGAGACATGTAATATTTTCGGATTTCCTGCAGCTTGTCTTGGAGAAAGACGATCTTCTCTGTGCCACTCATGTTATCGAGTTCACCTAGAAACAAAAGGGGCACCAGGTCAGTTAAGCAAGGATTAACATTACAGAAGTAAAGGTCATCGTACAGTACGTGTCCTATAATGACATTACACCCACCCCATCTGCCTTTATATCACACACTTGTTACTGTGTGCATCTGGGACTACAGGGCTTTAATTATTTTTTTTGTAATTAACACTGCAAGTATAGTCAACACTTTGTACGACTAAAAAGTTTGAAAATAAATACTTACTAAGCTGTAATGTCCACTTGTACGCCCTAGGGGATGAGTGCTGATGTTTTTCTCGATGTTTGTCTTTTTCGCCATCTTTAATGTGTGGAGAAGTGATCCTTGCTGGAGACCTTGCGATCTTCTGTGGCTTAGCTATATTGATATGTTTAACTGGAGTACATTTATTCGAACTATCAAGCACAGAGAGGTCTTCACTGTCACTACTTTGTCCTGTGAACAGAAGGAAAAAAATAAAAAATTAAACATAAACAGAGCGTTCTGATTGATAGTCCAACAGTTACACATTGCAGGAAAAGATTACAAATCAAATACCGGGGAATACAAGGAAGAAATCAAACAAAAGATCATTTTAAGTATTACAGTAAAATAGCTGAATTTGTAAAAAAAATAGAAATTTTTAAAAATCCCCAAGTCAGGTGTGCTTTTAGTACGGCTATTTTGGGCAAAAATGTTATATTTACTTTGAATTACTGACAATCCACACATTACTGAATAACAAACAGCTTTCCGGCTTTTGCGCAGTCATTTTTAAACATAAATTGTGTATTTACTAACTGAACAACCAATTGTGGTTAAACAAAATAAAAAAAAATTAAAATATCTAACCACCGTGTACAGCTTACCTATTCCATTCTTTTCACTTTTCGATACAGCACTGAGTCGCTTTGGGGTCCGCTTTTGCTTCTTGGCTAGGGACCCAGCGTTGCTTTCACTCACCCGCTTATGACCTAGATGAAAGAAATGACAGAGTATAACATTCCAACCAATATAGCTTTAATCCAAACGCACCATGCTAAACATTAATAAAATGTTTAACTTCTGGTTAATCCAGGCAAGACATGTCTACTTACAAGGGATCAAATCTAAATTTTAGAGGGCTCAAATGCTTTGTAAGCACATTTTAAGGTCTTAAAAAGGAGCAGAACATAATGCAGGCTTACATAGAAACACCAATTCAAAATGGAGTACAGGATGCACCAAAAGCAAATAGTAAATACAATATATTAAAATACATTTAAAAGACACATACAGGTTTTGCTGCTTGCTGATAGGGGTCTTTAGAGGGAATCTCCCACTTTCAGGTGCTGCTGATACCATTTTTGTTCAGTTATATATATAGCGCTGCTCTATTTTTTTTTTAAATTTGTTACATGGAAACACTGATATATAAAACCAAAGTAGTAGGTGCGCAAAACAATATGAGAAATGACGACCAGGAATGGAAACATAGACAGAGTGTATAGATTCCTGGTCGCTATTTCTCATATTGTTTTGCGCACCTACTACTTTGGTTTTATATATTTGTATTTTGGGGGTTTCCTATATCTATACTCCTTGTAGGTTGCTGCAATATTTTAATACTCGTTTATAGTAATATTTTGTTTAGTTCCTGTTGCGCCAGCTTATTCTGTCTATATTTTTTTTTAACATGGAAACACTGACTGTGATGGATACAGAGAATACTAAAATGTGCAAGGCTGGAGTTATACATCAGATCCGGTAGGCGCAGAATTCCCAGCCCCCTACCCCTCTTCTCTGTTTCTTGCTTCAATTTGGGGGACATGCATGAGAAGATCTTTCACTTTCTCCACAAATGATGGGATACAATTACCATGTAGCAAAATGAAAGTGTATAAGGTATGCAAATGTAATTTGTAAGCAGGATAATTGCCCTAAGAGAGGCATGTTGAAGCAGCGTCTCTGCATACTAGAAATCTGGCTTTAGAAAAGTGTGAAAATGAAAGCACCATATAAAGATACACTCGGCAACCATTGCTCCCGTTACTCAGGCGAGTAACTAAATCACAAAGAAATCTTTACTGTTAGATGTACAAGTTAACATATAGCATTGCATCCAAAACACATTAAAACAAATTACACAGGGAATACCCATGTCAATCCTCCACAATGACCCGTTTATGGAATAAACACACACTGATCTTGCCACATGTATTCTGTGTGACAGCAATATGTATCCATGAAAACCTGTGCAAGCCATCATTTCCCCTAACAAGAAATATGATGTAAGTTTTCTATTGGCTGAATTTTATGACATGTATGTTTGCTGTGATGCTGCACCCTTATGGTTCCCACATACAGATCACCACTGTAGCGAGACAGTTTAGACTGAGTTCATGGAATCGGGGTCCTCACTGCCCCACATATTATCTCACTATAGACTAGGCCTCTACTAACTTAACAGGAGAAAGATTACAGGAATTCACACAGCTGGATGAACAATTGCTCTAGGGACAATTGGTATGCAACAACTTCAGTATTATATTAAAAAACAAAAACAGCACAACCCAATACGTTCAAAACGAAGAATTGTGTTAAATTACCTTTTTCACGCAGGTCAGCTTCCTGAACAGTTACACTGCAGTTGCTAGAAGTAGTGCTTGCTTCAAAACCATTTGCAGACTCGCTCTCACACAGGCCTTCCTGTGATTCTTCTGCAACACTGTCTACTTCAATGGTTATATCGCTCTCACTCTTTATACTGTGAGACTCGTCGTGACTAAGTGCAAGGGGAGAAGCCACAGAGTAATTCAGAGGCTGGACTGCAGGGGGCAGTGCAGGCGGATGAATAGTTTGTGGCTCAGGCTCAGGCTTCTCCATGACAACATCCTCTACTTTCTCCTTCTCATCAAAATCGTCCAAATCTACTTCATGGCAAACCAATGTCTCTGGACCAATCATTGGCATTACATCGTGTTCTTCCTCTTTGGAGGACAGGTTAGTGATTTCATTCAGTGGCGTTTCTGTTTCCCCAGTCCTAGTGGTGGCCACATGCTCCAGCTCAGCTATTAGAGAAGGCATTTCCTCATTTACATTCTGAAGCCGTTCTTCGCTGATGGTATTAAAGTGTTCCTGAGTCTCATTACTTTCAGCAGGTTGCTCTTCTGCCACAATAACGGGCAGTTCTGATGGGCATTCGGTGCGAACCTTCTTCTCTGGAGATGCTTGTTCCAGTGGCTTCCTCTTTAAACCTTTTTTCTCTTTTATCAGTGGCTCCATTGGAAGGTCTACTTCCTTAGTAGAGAACGACAAGTCCTTACTTTGTAGTGAAGGAAAGTCTAGTGTTTCAAGCTCCGGTTGTGGCTCCACAAATATATCTTCCTGAGTGACAGGCAAACTTTGTGTGTTCTCTTGAGGAGGGTCTTTTGTCTTGCTTCGCCTCCCTTTAGGCTTTGGCAGAATCTCTGGCTCCTGTTTTATTTCTTCGATTTGTTCAGTTTGTTTCCCATAAATCTGAACAATTTGTTCACTCTCCTCCACTTCTTGTTTTAAAGTTTCAGCTGGCTTTGTTGGGCTCATTTCTGGATCTTTTGAAATGCAAATGGGCTCGGGAGTTTCTTCCTCAAGGCTATTTTCAACCAGGTTGTCACTTTTCTCAGATTCTGTCTCAACCTTTGGCAGAAAAGTCTCTTTCACGGGTGACTTTTCAGTGATCTCCTCGGACTCGCTTTCAGATGTGCTTGACTCTAATTAAAGAAAGAAAAGAGGTTTGAACGTGAATCAAGTAGTATTTTGTAACAGATTTAGTGATTATTTGCCTTTTATTCCCAAAATACAAGTTCCATCTAAACAGAATATAATTCAAATATTAAAATGAACCGGATATGCAGGACATGCTATTACAGAACAACTCTGATGGGTGAAGATAGCCCAGGAGCAGAAAGTAAATGTGACTTAATAGCTCCATTTTAGTTTGTATCTCTTTACAATGCATGCATATATGCAGGGATGGGAGGGTATTGGATAACAAGAGCTCTCACATTTGGAATATCCAATCCAATATAAGACACTACAATTAGAGTTCAAAATAAACTGCAGATTTAATAAAATAAACAAAATATATCCAGGAATGGAATACCGGTGGTTCCCAATTTCAGTCATTTATGTAGCATCTCTTGTAGTTCGCATAACTTCCAATAATTCAGATGGCAAAAGTGGGATGCTGCGGTTTGATTAGGTTAATGGCTATAAAGATGTGGAAAATATTTTCAAATACTTTGCTGGCTTCACTTGCAGTTCTAACTTGGAGTTAAAGGACCACTATAGGCACCCAGACCATTTTAGCTCAATAAAGTGGTCTGGGTGCCAGGTCTATCTAGGGTTAACCCTGTCAGAGAAACTGCTATGTTTACATCCAGCCTCTAATGGCTGTCTCATTGACAGCCGCTAGAGGAGCCTCCGCACTTCTCACTGTGATTTTGACAGTGAGAAGACGCAAGCGTCCATAGGAAAGCATTGAGAATGCTTTCCTATGGTCTGACTGAATGTGCGCGCTCTTGCCGCGCATGTGCATTCGGTCGAAGAGGGAAGGGATTAACTCCTTCCTCCCCCTAGAGCCCGGCGGGAGTGGGACCCTGAGGATGGGGAGGACCTAAAGAACATATAGTGCCAGGAAAACGAGTTTGGTCCTTTAATGAGTGGTCCTTTAATGAGTAACTTCACTAAATTAGTCTATACCCGCGTACTCTACATGATTATCCCTACATACCAAACGGTCAGTTGTATTTAAAGTAAACCTGTAATAGAAAAAATGTGACTTGCCTTAAATCGCTTCCATATACATTGAATACACCATATATACAATGATACATAGCGCATTCAATGTAAAATAGAAAGATTTACACACTTTTCCTCTGTTCCTGCTCAGCTTCATGGATGTTACTCTTCGTGTAATACACCTCCTGGCTGTCTTCCACTCCGCCTCTGTTCTTTGATTTGCCTTGCATGAGACACATCCCCAAGCAGGGCAAATCTTGTCAGCGAAATTGGCACGCTGGCTTTATTGCTAGAAGTGCCAGCTAGGGAGTTTCCATAACAACTGCAGCACATGCGCTGCAGTTTCTATGGGAGGCGAGCAGAGGGGTGTCGTGTGGGAGGTCTTTTCTGCTCTCCCTTGTCAGTCAATGCCTTGGCACGCCGAGGCATTGATGGACAGCTTGGAGAAAAAACTATTCTCCGAATCTAGACATTTCCTAGCAAAACTGCTTGCACAATGTATAGATAAAACATAATGCGCAATTTAATGAACATACGTTTTTTGGGGGGCTTGACAGATGTCCTTTATAGCAGAAATGTAAGCACCATAACCAGTACAGCTCATTGTAATGGCTATGGTGTAAATGGTGTATGAGAGCACCAAAGAAGGAACAGGTTGGCAATACACATGGCATGAAACAATCAGCAAAAACTGGCTTTGTATAATTCATTTATGGGCAGTCCAGCAACTTAAGAGGACTAGTCACTCCCGACACCATTACATATAAACAGAACAAATATGACAACTCACCGTTTGAACCTCTATCAGAATCATACGCCCCTGAACTCCTTCTTGTCCTCCTCCGAAGTGCTCCTAATTTTAGTAAATTGAAATGAGAAAAAATTAAATAAAAATGATCTATGCTATTAATAGCACCAATTACCTGAATATAATCAAACAGAATTTGCAATTAATTAAAAAAGTTATTAACATTGTTAATTCTAAAACACGTACCTTCTAACCCATTTGACAAGGAAGTGTTTTCAGGCAAGCTGGTTCGCATGGGTTTTATGGAGCTTTTGCCTTCACTAATTAGAGATTTTGCTAGAGCGCAGGCCAGGTTGGACTGAAGCGTTGACTTTAAGGGAGGACGCCCACGTTTAGATTTCTGCTTTTCCTCCTCCTTTTCATTCTCATCTTTATTCTGTAAACACAATGAGATTAACCTGTATTAACATATGTAAATAGGGGAAGGTACTTTGAAAGCAATTCAATAAATTATCCTACTTTTATGCAAGCCTAGGAGCAGTTTTGGTTTTGCAATAAAAGAAACAAAGAACAGAAACACAAATATGCAAAAAAGTTTAGTCTTGATCCAGTCTAGTCGTCTAGTCTAGAAGGATTTCCTCCAAATGTATGGCTGCATTCATATTTTACTTCTCATACTGAACAGTATTTGCAGATCCTGCATGATGAATTATAAACAAAACAAAGTATAGTCCATAATCACCTTAGCTTTTTTCTTTTGTTTTCTTTTTGGTCCACCTTTGTCGGAAGGCCAGATGATTCGATCAGCTTTCACCCATTCATCATACCTGGAAGAGAGTGCATTACATTTTCTAGTGAAAACAGTGAAAATTATTTATATTAAATGGACACTATATTCACCAGAACAACTACAGCTTATTGAATTTGTTCTGGTGAGTAGAATCATTACCTTCAGGCTTTTTGCTGTAAACACTGTCTTTTCAGAGAAAATGCAGTGTTTACATTACAGCCTAGTGATAACTTCACTGGCCACTCCTCAGATGGCTGTTAGAGATCCTTCCTGGGTCATGGCTGCCTAAAATGCATCCAAACATTCAGTATCTCCTCCCTCTGCATGCAGACACTGAACTTTCCTCATAGAGATACATTGATTTAATTCATCTCTATGAGGAGATGCTGATTGGCCAGGGCTGTGTTTGAATCGTGCTGGCTCTGCCCCTGATCTGCTTCCTTGTCAGTCTCAGCCAATGCTATGGGAAAGCATTGTGATTGGATCAGGCTACCACTTCTAATGATGTCAGCAGGCAGTGGGCAGGTCAAAAGGAAACAGGGACAAAGCCAGCAGTTTCAGGCTTGAATACAAGTTTGTGTTCCTGACCCTATAGTGCTCCTTTAAAACAGTGCTCTATATTTGCAAACAGCTCTTAACCTCAGAATGAGAATCAAAAACGAGGTCTCCGTGCTCTTTTATTGGGCTCTCAGGGGGTGTTAGAATGAGCAACATATTCAAGACATTAGTCAGGCTCCAGATACCCGCTTCCTGTAAATGGTTTATTATGGCAGCATAGTCACCCCCAATATGATTGAGACCTCTTTATGCATTAAATAGTCTACTGACAGTGTTGTGCAGATCCTATTTTGTTACACATGACATATATCCCAAATGAAGAAATGGTTTACAGTTCATGAATTTAGGTGCTCAACAAGAAAAGGCTAGGCTGATTTATGAATAGAGGCATATTGGCACCTGTGTTGTGATTTCTGTCTTGGAGTACAAGCTTTATTAGTTTAATAATGTTATAAACAATGTAAACAATGTAAAAATGCATGTTTTTTTTCTTTACAGAACTTCGTTTAAAGGACCACTATAGGCATCCAGACCACTTCAGCTTAATGAAGTGGTCTGGGTGCCAGGTTCATCTAGGATTAACCCTTTCTACTGTAAACATAGTTTCAGGGAAACTGCTATGTTTATGTTAGGGTTAATCCAGCCTCTAGTGGCTGTCTCATTGACAGCCGCTAGAGGCGCTTCCCACTGTGATTTTCACAGTGAGAAGACGCCAGCGTCCATAGGAAAGCATTGAGAATGCTTTCCTATGGACTGGCTGAATGCGCGCGTGGCTCTTGCCACGCATGCGCCTTCAGCCGATGAGGGCGAAAAGGAGGAGGAGAGTTCCCAGCGCCGAGGGAGCCTGGCGGGGGAAAAGGTAAGGGATTAACCCCTTCTGCCCCCTAGAGCCCTGCGGGAGGAAGGTCCAGAGAGTGGGGGGGACCTAGAGACCCTGTAGTGCCAGGAAAACGAGTATGTTTTCCTGGCACTATAGTGGTCCTTTAATGACCAAAAGAAAACAGCAGTCAATTTCCAACCTCTACTCTTGGAGCGTAAAGGCTGGCTCGGTACGAAGAAAAATGGAATCCACAATATATTCAAGGTGAGGTTCAGCTAATCAGCTTATCGCAATGTTATGATGTGTAAAATGCCTGTTGGACACCACCAATGGAAATAGGCAGAATGCTAGGCTTTCGTTTTCAAAATGAGGGCATTATTGGGTTATATCAATTTATTACTTTATAATGTTACTTTTCCATTATTTTGATCCAAACCAAATAGGTTATTGGGCAGTTAAATGTGCTATTCCACCAACCATGTTAAATCCACCATACGCATTAAATTTATTTAAGCGAAGATCACAAACCATTAGATATGAATGGCCAAGCAAAAATCAGTTCACTACTATCCTATCCATTACTATCTGATTAAAGTGAGCTGGTAGTCTGGAATGCTATGAGATATTCAGGGGGCCCTAAATAGATATCGACAAGTCCATCCATTAAAAGATCAGTCCAAAAACTATAAATCACTACAACCCTTCCACAAGTGTCCTGGTGTTTTCCCATGATAACATCTGTCCTTTTCCTTCGCTCTGTTCTCTTCTTGTACTATTTTGAAACCTTATACTACTGAGGCCTCCCATGTTCTTTCACCTTGCTTCTCTGTTTTTTAGTCTCTTTTTGTTCTTTTTTAGTCTTCACTGCTCCTTGTGGTCTTGCGACACTCCCTTTTGTATTTGTTTCTGCTAATGTGCCTTGTACCCTCTCGATAGCAGCCCTGCTTATTAGCCATGCGTTAAAGAAAAGAATAATACTGGAGTTTTTGTTAATAACACCAGATACCAGCTTAACATGCCTGACCACTCACATAATGTATTTTCATGGTGGAACAGCACCTTCAACAGCTAGTGATCATGGAAAGGAAATCACTAGGTTCTATATGGAAAATGCAGACACACAATCATAATACACCCTGCCCGCTTACCTGACGTTCCAGCCGTAATAATGCACCAGGTATAACACATCTCCACCATCAGTTTCAGTGTTCTTAATATTTGCTTCATAGATTTTCTGGGTCTTCCCCCGCCCATATTTAACCTTTACTTTGGTGCCCGCTAGGCAGTCTCTCTCCTCTGAGTCCTCCTCCTCTTCAGTATCCCCTTTGTGTTCCATTTCTTCTCGTCTGGAAATTACAAAGGTCACAATGCTGACAGGTCCTTGGAAATCCGGTCTTCAAGTTGGCAACAGAGTTGCAAAATTTGGGCCAAAATAGGTTAGGTGAATTGGATTTTCCCCCCTAGTTTGGCAATTTTGGCCTAAATATTGCAACCCAGATGTCAACTTGCTGCTTAATTAATGAACCCTTAAAAGGTTATTTACTAAATTTAAAAGAATCCCCAATCACCAGCCCAACTGCAGTAACCTCATGAGGAATTGACCATCAACCTTACTCCCTCCAATAGCTGTTCCCTCCCCCAACAAAACTCAAAAAAACAAACAAACCTACTTTCTACTGGTGCCAAACTTACCACAATATAAACTGATTGTGTGTGCGCATTTATTATCAATATAAACAAACTTTGTGATTTGATCTACAATGCAAATTACAGTCATAGACTAGGAATCAGGTCTACATTTTAGATAGTCAATAGCCAATCGGAAGCAAATTTTGTTTTCCTGCTTCCATGCCATTGCATGGATGTGAATGAATATAATTTTCAGATAATACATTTTGGAATCACTTACCGAGGCTCCTAAAAAACAAAGGGGGTATCCAACAGGTTGCTTATCGGCTGTTGAACTACACCTCCCACAATGCCTTTGCCAAGAGCACTCCAGGTGTTGTGGAACTGTGCCTCTGGTGATGACTGGCAAAGCATCACTGGAGTTGTAGTTCCAAAACAGCTGGAAAAACCAAACAAAAACTACCTGTTGGCTGACGCTACTATAAAACCACACATGCATGTCTTAACTCACATGTCACTCTCTTTATCATCATCATCATCATCATCGGATTCCTGCTCAGACTCCTCCAGTTTCTGGTTTTTGCGTTCTGCTTTTGGTTTGCAGGGTAAGCTCCTTCGTCCTGGAGTGCTTTCATTTTCCTTTTTGTCCTCAGTTTGTTCAAGGTCTTCTTCGACATCTTTATTTTCCTTGTTGCTGTCTTGGCGCTTCTCGCTTTCTTCAGGATCATTTACCACAGGAACAGTAGTAATTGGTCTCCGCCTCCCCTGGGGGACACAGAAATTATTGTCAAAAGATTTTTGACTTACAGCTTTTAACGTGAAATTAAAATCAATTAAAATAAAAGAACACGTTATAAAAAGAAATATCATTTGTTTTTTAAAATTAATAATAATTGTTACCCACTTTATTTTTACAAAGAAGTCTTTATTTATTAGTAATCAGTGGTATGCTATTAATCTATTCTATTTAACCCATTTCTAATCAATGCCCTGGTTTTAATTCTAGAGTTCTGCTGTTTGATGTATCCAGCTAATCGCTAGATTGTTCAAACCATCTCTTCCTAATGCTCGTTTGATACTTCCCCGTAAATGTGCCAGACTTTTTGCAGCAATAACAGACAGAAGAAGACATTGCATAACTGCAGATAAGAAATCAATATTTTAAATAACTTAAGTCTCCTGAAAAGGGTTTAACACAAAGTGCAAACTATGGCAACTATACAGAGCTTTGATAATCACTATTCCGCTTTAGAGAAGATTAAACATATTTAGTTGTATCATTTGTAGTAATAAATAAACTTTATGGTTAATCTACACTTTTGTGTCAGTAAAACCATACCCTTGGTGTTTTAATCTCTGTGTCCTCTCTTCCATTTTCGCTGCTAGAATCGGTCTCATCATCTTCCTTCACGTCTACTACTGGAAGTGCTATGGCCTCTGTGTCAGTGTTCTCCATTGGTTTTACTTCTGGCTCACTCTCTTTTACTGGTTTAGGATCATTGTGATGAATTGTCCTAAACTGAATGTCCGCAGAACGGCAGTACTCCTCAAATCCATAAAGATACCTTGAAACAAGCACACGATGTGTAAAGAAATGACAAATCAGCCAGCTGTTAACAGTTCTGTAATGCCACTAGTAACCCATAATTAGCCAGTTATTTACTAAAACTGCACACGCACTTGAAACACTCCAAGTCACGGAGGATAAAAATGACTGACTTATCTGGAGCATGATTAGCTACCACAGAAATAGAACATTGAATTATTAGTACAAAAAATAAAAATAAATGAATAAGCAGTCAGTGTTCTCATTAACAGAATCTTGCCTTTAGTGTGGCCCATGATGCATACCAAACTTTTAAAGCGGCCCTTGACTTCCGAAGGGTTGAGCATGCCTCGTGTAGACTCTATAGGTTTCCATGTAAAGTGCTTCACAGAATTGACAATTAAAGATATGTCTCTCCCTACATGCCCCAGTGTGCACAACGCTGCTGAACCAGAAGTATTTTTTCAGCCTGGAGTCTCAATACAATTAGCACACACAAGAGGAATTCCAAGTTTGGCCCACTGTGATTACTTTGTGAATATACCCAGCCTGTAACATTTGATAATCACCTTTGGTAGCTATACACAATAAATATAGTTCAAATGCTTGCTTCCATTAATCTAAGCATCCCTGTAACATTTCTGTAAATGACATCTGTGGTTTATAAACACTGTCTAACCAACTCAATGTTTTGTTGGTGCTGCTCGAAATTTCCTTCACCCATTGCACAGTGAACAGGAATATTTGCTATAAAAATATTTGACACAGACATCTTATCCATCAATCACTACCCCCACCCCACCCTTTCCTTTGTATGCTTGTTTGAGGAGGGTCTTCTTCACCTCTTGTCTTTGTTAATTTTCTGTATGTAAATTACTTATCAAAAATACCCATCTAAAAATTGTAAAGCGCTGCAGAATGTTTGGTATAAAATGCTAATAATAATAATAAAATCAATGGTGTAGGGTGTTCTGTTTACCAATGTTAGTAATATGGTGTTGCAGGTAGAAATAGAAGCAATGGTGCACTTTTCTGAAAATTACCAAAATCAATATAGAACTTGACATTTCATTTTAGGATTATTTTTATCCTATCAAGAATTAACGATTGTGCTAAGAATCTGGTCCTTACAAACGCTATGTTTAATATTCAGTGATTGCAAGACTATAAAGAGCTGCTGATGCTAAATAAACAGAACATAAAATTCCGCCAGAAGTTTTTCAAAGAGAAGATTGTCGTAATTCCATTGAAAGCCATTAGCTCTTACGGGGTTCAGGTTATAAAGGTTTACAAAGTTTGTAACAGCCCCGATCCCCTGCCAGACATAGGATTACAGATACCATAACACCAACGTACCACTGTCTTCTCACCGCATCTATAGCACAGCAAGGGATACACTTTCCACTAGCTGGAAACTCCATGCAGCAAGAACAGCGACAAGTGTGGTCACAATTAGAACAGAAATGTTAATAGATATATGTGCCAAGCCTTATCGAACAGTATGTGGTTTAAAAAAATACATCGCTTCCAGTTACATAGTAATACTCACTTTTTGTATGCAGTTTTTACATTGTAGGATGCTGCTGAATTTAAAATTGGAATTCCAAGGTCCATATAAATTTGCTTCCAGACAGCCCCACTTTCAATCTGAAGTATGAAAAGAAAAAGAGAAATAAAAAAAGATTGCCATCTCTAAACATCAACATTTGTTAAAACACAAAAACAAATAAACCATCAACCTACATTGTCACAACCACCCTGAAGATACACGAGTCTAAAGAGTTTGAAGAGGTTCAGATCCTTGTAGCCCAATACAGGTGGCTTGTTGATTGGGGTTCCTAATGGACACAAAAGAAACCTGAGTGTTAATTAAACATCCAGAGAAAATATAAAGATAACTGTATTTTGCTATCACGGATGGAATGACACCAGCAGGGAGGCAGATATACCCAGTACACGTCATATGGCCAGTACCTCAGAGACCCAGCATGCGCACACCTTAAATAAAAGTCATTTTAAGATCTTAGTTGGTGGCTGACAAGGAGGTTGAAAAGAAAATATTTTAGCCACACTGAAAACATGGACAGTGAACAGGACGAATAATACAAATCTCTACTTATACCAGTAAAGTTTGTTCAAGGACATTAAATCCATGTAAAAGAAACACTAAAACCATGCTGTCTGTAGCTATGGTATGACCTTTGATTTTTGGAGGCAGCTGGAAGCATTCTTGCTCCTGTGGATGAGAAAAGCAGGATATGATACTCTCTAGAAATTGCAGCCAGCTGTTTTGTAAGGCTCCCGAAAAAAAAAAAAAAGAAAAGAAGGAGGAGGAGATCAGCCTAATAAAAGAAGCAGTTAAGGCAGGTAACTTGTATTACCCAAGGACGGATGTCTCCCTAAAATGATGAGGGTTATTGAAACCTTTAGGGCCCCCACACAGACCGACCAAACTTACAGAACAAGTCACAGCCTTGGGGAGGCGAGCACCCCCGTGGCATGGTCTCTTGGTCAGGTCGGTGGGTAGGGACAGCCTACAGTCTGATGTCTGGAGGCAGACACTGCAAAAATAGAAAAATCGAAATCAGGTTGATGAGAGATCTCCTAATCCACAGCTTCACAAAACACAACCACCAGGAGCCTTGATTACAGTTTTATCAAGTAAAAATTAATTCACTTTTAGTTCTAAAGGGCAGAATGAGATTTATGGTCAGTAACAGTAGACATCAGCAAGTGTTACAGATTCACTAAACTCTATGGGGGAAAAAAAAGGAAAAATTTAAGTTACGTAAATATTCTATAGATTACAATTTAAGGCCAAAAGGCCTGGTTAGGTTGTGCAGAATAGCAATACAGAATAAATGTATAATAAGTATATAGTAGAAAAATGTGCTTTAGTCTTGTAGAAACAATTCCCAATGTACAAACATATGCACTGGCCAGCAACACTTTCCATTTCAATAAGCAATGTTCAATAACATGAAAAGAATTTCAGAAATCCCACCTTGTAGAATGATTAATCATTTATTCTATATAAAGAAAAAATACAGATTACATTAGAACCCCAGGAGAGCTGTGTAACCCAGCATTGGATAGATCAGGTAAGAAGCTGCAGCACAAACGGAGTGATGTTATGATTGCTTTAATATACAGGTTGTATGAAAAGTGTTGGCACCTCGACAAAATAACGATTTTTTTAACTGGAGCCAAACATGTTAACACTCCTTTTGCAGTGGAAACAAAATGTCAAATCTGCATATATTTGGCTGCAATCTCAATCGTTATGCTTAGAAAGGTATTTTATTCAAATACGTATATATTTATAGATATTTTTTAAAATTTATCTCCAACTGTTAAGTAGGGGGTTACTCTAGTCTGCTTCGAGGTTGTGTGACACAGAACATAAGGTCAGAGTAGAAGGAAGAGTGGATTCTGATAAATATTAACAAACCCAAAGAACTAATAATGTTCCACAATCCTGGAAATCCTCAAGCTTAAAACGAGCTAAATATTCCACAAAACAATGATCCAGATCACATCTTAAATCAACATATACTATGTCAAAATATTAAGATTTTGAAATGGTCTTCGCAGTCCCCAGGCTTGAATAATATTAAACATGCCTGGGGTGACCTCAAACATACAGCGTGTGAGAAGCAGTTAAAATTATATTTCTTAACTAGTAGTATTCTGTAAGGTAGATTAGGCAAACACAAGTGTCTGGAGGCTGTGATTTCTGCACAGATCGTGTTAATGGTAACTACAGGGTGCACACATACGCTCTACATGTTAACTGTGTTTTCCCCAGTCAGTTTATAGAAATGGTGCATTAAAACGTATATATGTAGCAATTTAATTTTTTCGCTATCAAGCAAGTGTTAATGGCAATCAACAACAGATTATTTTGTCAAGGTGCCCAAATGTTTGCATACTAATGTAACATGTTGGGAAAAGGAGAATTCTAGAAATTGTTACAAAGAATGCTTTAATTATTCTATGAATATAACTATTTTCTCCACAAATAAGATAGTTTTAACCCCTTAAGGACACATGACATGTGACATGTCATGATTCCCTTTTATTCCAGAGGTTTGGTCCTTAAGGGGTTAAAAGCACGGTTTGAATCTGGCTGTAGGTCAAATAGGCTAAGTAATTAAACTATCCGGGGACTTAATACCCACAATGCAGCACACAAGGAGGAGGGCTCTTGGAAATATAAACAGGCTACTGTTTCATAGCACCCGAACTGGACATTCACACGGGTGTACAATAGGATTGTACTAAAACAGATTTATTATATAAACAATACACAACATAAGTGGCAAGAGGAGTCTGGGTGCTGGAGAAGAATCACAAAAGCTCAAACACAAAAAGCGAGTAAAGGTTTAAATCGGATTACATTTGGTTTTAACTTTTCAAAGTCTCTTAAAGTACCCTGATCTTGTAATCATGCATACCTAGGCACAAAAATGAACCCCAAAATGCAAATATCAGTGTTGTAACATACAGCAGATGAGAAGTTCATATATTAATACAGGGGTACACTGGTACATTCTACATGTCACCAGCAATGGATACTGCATTTATAACCAGCATCCTCTCCCCAAGACTAAAGGGACACACTCCAGATCTCTAAGGCACTTCAGCTTTATCTTCTCTTTTTCATTTTACAAAGTGCAGACTTTAATAGAAATTGAAACTTTTATATATGAACCTTGTTCCACCCCCATGCCTGTCAATCAGACAACTGGTCCCAGTCAGTGGAGCTAAACTCGAGAGGCAGCAATTGCCCCAGAGTAACGGACTTTCAAAGACCTCTCATTGAGCTGCATTGGGCAGTCTGTGATTGGACAGCCACAAAGTCTGGGCGGGGTTAGAAGGGGAGGGCTTGCAAAGGCTGCAGAGAAGAGATCTGCAGGTTTTACAAGCCATTTTTAGCTATATCCCAATGAAAAAAATGCATAATTAAATACATGGAAGTTTTCATTTGGGGTATATGTACTAAACAGTGATATTTATTTTGTGTTTTGGTAATCTTTTTAATGAATTGGAAGTACAATTATGTAGCTTTGTGTAGACTAGACACAGCTTTCAGATAGGAAAACTGTGACCAAGAGGGACATTTGCCATCAATGTTTCTTTGTTAAATAAAACCATTTACAGAAATATGACAAGATGAATGTAACAATGTTGTTTATTTAAAAAAAGACAGTTTTGTTTAACCGAGTAATTGGGTCACAGATTGTTTTAAAACTGCACCTAGATACATTGCCAACAACAAATAAAAAAAAAATCACAGAAATATGATCTGTTTGAAGTAGGAATTCATTCCACACATGAATAGCAGGATTTAAACACTGCATTATACTGTACCTCTGTCTTCCATAAACTTATAAAGCTGCTGAAGGAAGTTCTCTCTCTCCTCTGGGTCTGCCTCCTCTTCAGGCTGGAAGAACAAACAAAGATTGGAGCTTTACAATCCAACTTTTAAAGATAAGAACACTATTATTAAACATAGGCAAATAATGCGTCATCATCGAACAACTAGAATGTCTTACCATCAAGACAAATATTAAACCACATGGTAAACGAATGGGGAAAAAAGTGCCGGAAAAGGTATACGTCGCAAATACGTCCCATCCTGGGATTACATGATCGCATCCCACATACAGTTTGAACTGCTTAAGACTAATCATTTGTATAATGTGTGTGTGTGTGTGAAAATTACAATTATAATTAACAGTAATTGCACGCTTTCTACTTTGACTGGTAAAAAAAACCACAACTCACTTTTAGATGTATAAAGACTGGCTTTAGCGCATAATTTAAAACAAAACATTAGAACGATAGTTTTCTATAAACTCCCATCAAGTGCCATGGTGCGCCGTCGGCGCTCTATTAAAATCAGCGCGGTCAGCAACTTGTTTAATTCATACAAAACACTAATTTGCACAGGGCAAAACACAGATGAATCGAATGTGATTTCCCCCCCAAGCCAACGGTAAGCTGTATAGCTTTCAGTAAAAAGCAGCTACTCCCATAAACCTCTGTGCAGCAGAAGATGAACCTTCTTGCTTTTTTTTTTTTTCTTCTTCTGATGAACACACAACACAGACACAGCTCATTCGACGTTTCAGTCCTCTCACAGGCTTTAAAATTTTTTTTATTTTTTAGGAAAAAAAAAAAGTCAAGGGCAGGAGTCATGGACTGAACGGTCTGTATTATGGATTAATAGAAGGATCCCTTCACACAGCAAGAAAGTCCAGAAAGAGTACGTACACACACACACACATATAAATAATCATTATGGTGAGTGGAAAGGAAGATATATATGGAGGTATTTCAGTTTATGTATATAGTGTGCCCACATTTTTACTTTCTAGGTGTAATAAAGCCAGTACGTAGCTGCACACTACAACCTCTGTTATAGCCAGCCAATTGCTGCGAGAGCTGTGTGTTACAGGTGGTTGTGTGCCATAGGATATCTATACCCTTCCATGTTATCTACAGCTTCCATCCCAGTAATTCAACGTTCACAGCAAAGAGTGGTAGGGGAGAGTAACCCAGCCCCTACGTCCATAAGAAACAGCATGCTCACAGATAAACTGTAGAACGTAACAAGGAGAATAACAGGAAGGCGACAAAATATAACCGGCATGCCGGGTCCATACTGTAATACACGTAACACACAGGGACCCTGTGTACTGGCCCACAATATGAACAAGAAGGGTAAGGGACTGGGAAAGAATCAAACTCTCCCAAGTCTCCCTCCCCCCTTCAGTCACAATAACACACCAGACTGGCGATAAACCAATAAACCGCGGCCGTCAGGTCATGGGGGGCGATGATAACCTACTACGCTATGTTATGAAATGCTCAACAATATGTTATGGTATAATCTTACGCATCATATGTCAATGAAAGTGATATAAGATGTATTGTACACTACTTGCTATAATTTTGTGTCTCTTCTTTTCATCACAGCAGCTGATGAACCATAAGTTGTGTAACACTACCACAACTGTATCATAAGATACACAAACAAATGAGTCAACTCATGTTTAGGATACCAGCAGTCCTAAAACTCATCACTATTTATTTTCTCTACTTGGTTACATTTAGTAGAACAGTTAATATGTTATGTAAATCTCTCTCTCTCTGAACAGAGGAAAGGTAGACTTCTGAAATCTCCCAAAAACCAGCATCACGGGACTTCTCATGATATGGCTGCGGGTAAGGCACAGCAACGAAAAAGTGAGAGAGACATTTTGATAACTTGTAAAATGAAGGAGGCACACATTTTAATACAATTTCTTTATTATTGCAGATTTGATTGATGCAGCCCTTCAAATACATATGACAACAAATACAGAATAATATAACAAGATTCTTGCTTGCCATCTGTTGACTCCCAAAACAGGACGTTTTGGGAACTTGTTTGAAAGGCAATAGTTTTACCCGTCGGGGTATCTTGCTGCTCATCGACAGGTTCTTGGAACCCAAAGTCGTCCACTGTCGCAGTGCCACTGATTAAAATCAAGCTTCATTTCCCAGTGGAGTTAGAAAGATCAGGGGCACCATTTGTGATCACATAAACAGAAAGTACACTATGTGCGGGTGCTCTTGTCACAAAGATCTATGGGTTTGTGGATATTAACTTTTGACTCCATACATACCAACATTGCAATATAGTTTGCACTTTGCTGCATATGTTTCTTAGTTGCCTTGGGGCATTTAAAACATTTTTCTTTTAAGTGCTTCGACTTATTCTGATCAGAGAGGTTGACACTGCAGCAGTTTAAATATAAAAAACTAAAGAAGTATTTAACATAGTAAAGCTATATAAAATGTCTAGTCGCTCTAGTCCCTTTACCAATGCATGCTGCTTCACTACTGTGCAGCCATTGCAAAGCATTTGCATGAAATGCAGACTGCTGATTAGTAATAAGAGGAGACATTAATTGGCAAAGACAAGCACAATAGGAAGTACAATGATGCAGGAAAAATGGCTGGATACATAACATCCTAAGCCACTAACAGTAACTTCTACCCGCGTATCACAGCAAGAACAAGCTAAGACAAAAGCATGCATTTAAAAAGCCAATTAGGAAAGCCTTTCAATGCTTCCCATGTGTCTAATGCATAAATCAGTTCGGTGGAGGAAGCACATGAAAAAAACAGGGCAGTTTGTTCAGGAGAGTAAAACACAGAGGGTTACTCCAGCATGAAGGAAATACTGCATTCAGAATGCGAAAGATGAGCCCAGCGATTCATCTCTGAATAAATCACAAAGAAATATGAAAAATCCATGAAGGCGATGTTTAAAAGGCTGCAGCAAACAATGGATGGATCCTGTGTGCAGCCACTCTGTGTACACACACACTCACAAAGCCTCATGACCACATTGTATCAGACAGACAGAGAGAGACACACACACACACACACACACACACACACAGTATCAGACAAACAGCCTCATGGCTACATTGTATTAGAGAGAGACACACACACAGCTTCATGGCTACATTGTATCAGACACACACACACACAAACAGCCTCATGGCTACATTGTATCAGACACACAGCCTCATGGCTAGATTGTATCAGACACACACAGCCTCATGGCTACATTGTATCAGACACACACACACAGCCTCATGGCTACATTGTATCAGACACACACACACACACACACACACAGCCTCATGGCTACATTGTATCAGACACACACACACAGCCTCATGGCTACATTGTATGAGACACACAGCCTCATGGCTACATTGTATGAGACACACACACACACAGCCTCATGGCTACATTGTATGAGACATACACACACACAGCCTCATGGCTACATTGTATGAGACACACACAGCCTCATGGCTACATTGTATCAGACACACACAGCCTCATGTCTACATTGTATCAGACACACACAGCCTCATGGCTACATTGTATCAGAGTCAGACACACAGCCTCATGGCTACATTGTATCAGACACACACAGCCTCATGGCTACATTGTATCAGACACACACACACACAGCCTCATGGCTACATTGTATCAGACACACACAGCCTCATGGCTACATTGTATCAGACACACACAGCCTCATGGCTACATTGTATCAGAGTCAGACACACAGCCTCATGGCTACATTGTATGAGGATGGTTCTCTGCTGCCATCTAACTCCTCCATGGACTCACTGCCTGCCTTCCTTCCCATCATTGTGTGCTGCCTGCATGGCGAGCTGAGGGTGTGCAGCCAGGCCAGCTCGCCATTTACCGCCGGAGAGAGCCCGGCCAGTGTCGCTCTGTGCTATGGGCTGACAGCTTGTATTCCCATCTCGCTCTGTGGCGGCAGATCTCGCAGTATTTACATAGCATTACCGCCCAGCTCGCACACATCGCTTACCTACAGACAGATGTCGGCGGTGTGGGGGCAGAGTGCCTGGGGGCAGCGTGCCTGGGGGCCGTGCCCCGGACGGGAAGGATCAGACAGGAGATGAAGAAAGGAGAGAGCCAGCCCCATGTCCCAGCATCTGGCAGCCTCCCCTGGCAGCTCGCCAGCCTCCGCTCAGCCTTCCTGCCCGGCCGAGCATGCGCACTGCACCCAGCAGCCCGTCTCCATGGCAACGCTGTAGGCAGCCCCCCGGCAGGGGGAGAGAGCCCTGTGTTCTCACAGCCCACAAATAATAAAAAACAATCCCCATCACTGGCCATGTCACCCCTCTGTCAGACACAATGGGCCCCCTGCCTTCCTGGGGGGACACACACTGCCTCTCTGAGAGCCCACCACTGCCTTCCTGGGGGGACACACACTGCCTCTCTGAGAGCCCCCTGCCTTCCTGGGGGGACACACACTGCCTCTCTGAGAGCCCCCTGCCTTCCTGGGGGGGCACACACTGCCTCTCTGAGAGCCCCCTGCCTTCCTGGGGGGCACACACTGCCTCTCTGAGAGCCCCCTGCCTTCCTGGGGGGACACTGCCTCTCTGAGAGCCCCCTGCCTTCCTGGGGGACACACACTGCCTCTCTGAGAGCCCCCTGCCTTCCTGGGGGGACACACACTGCCTCTCTGAGAGACCCCTTCCTTCCTGGGGACACACACACTGCCTCTCTGAGAGCCCCCTGCCTTCCTGGGGGACACACACTGCCTCTCTGAGAGCCCCCTGCCTTCCTGGGGACACACACACTGCCTCTCTGAGAGCCCCCTTCCTTCCTGGGGACACACACACTGCCTCTCTGAGAGCCCCCCTGCCTTCCTGGGGGGACACACACTGCCTCTCTGAGAGCCCCCTGCCTTCCTGGGAGGATACACACTGCCTCTCTGAGAACCCCCTGCCTTCCTGGGAGGATACACACTGCCTCTCTGAGAGCCCTGCCTTCCTTGGGGACACTGCCTCTCTTAGAGCCTTCTTGGGGAGGGGGGGAGGGGCCACACACACTGCCTCTCTGAGAGCCCCCTGCCTTCCTGGGGCCAAACACACACACTGCCTATCTGAGAGCCACACAGTTATTTCACTAAACTGAAAAAAATATCAAATCATTCTACTTTTTTCTTCTTCTTCTGAATGGCAGCCAGGCCATGCAAGCTCTGGGCCCTCAAACAGTTAAAGATGATGGATCAGAACCTGGAACAACCCACAAAAGTAAAAACAACAACATGTTTTTGTATTTCTATAGCAAAGAATATCAAGATAAATGCCAAAACTTTAATATTAATCCACCTACAGCTGCCATAATCCGAAGAGCTGTGTTATCAATGTCCAGAATAAAGATATATTGACCACATGCAAGGCATGGACACCACTACTATAGGAACCATCTAATCTACAGGCACACTGGGGCAAATCTCAACTTAGAAGTAAGAGGCCAACCAAGTTTGACCCAGACTTCTAAGCCAACATCAAGTAATGTTTACCAAGCAAGAGAAGGTAGTCCACCCATTACTTCTTACTAGTCACATGCAAGTGGTCTAATAACCCGAACACAGGCCACCAAGTAACTATACACTTTGTTACAAAACCCACTGTTCCTAAATAAAGTACCCCAGTTACATATTTTCACTTGTAGCCCCCACACAAATCGAAGACGGAAACGTACTGAAATATCTAAAACGTCACATTCTACCAGGTCTGCGTTGGTAAAGCAGAGTAACTGAGCTCTTAAAAAACCTGTTTATTAACAGAGTTTCGGGTCTTTAAAAAAAAATAAATAAAATGATTTAGCGAATAAACATATTCTGCATTCAATGTCTTGGTGTTAGAGGATGCTACGTTGTGCTGAGCAGCAAACAAACACTGCTGGCTGCAAGAAGGACACACACACACACACACAGAGTTTTGAGGTCGAGGATTGCAGTTACCATTACTCTGACGATTTACCCAGTGTTAAAAACATATCGGTGTTCATGTAGGGTCTATAATCACTGTACACATTGCTTCCTAGTAGCATGAGCCAAAGTGTAATAGTCTGCCCCCCTGCTCTGTAACTAGATTGTTAGCAGAGGGTCAACAGATTCCCAATACTGACAACGATATACATGTAGATTAGCAAAAAATACATAGACTGCAATGTGGAAATACCATATATAATAAATATAAACATACAAACTACAAATACGAAAATGAATTTTCTTTATATATTTTGTTAGCAATCTTGCTAAAGCAAGACACAAATTAACTAGGGTAGCAGTCAGCAACCTATAGCCCCGCAGGCTTTATACGGTCCACCCTCTACAATTTTCTGGCACGCAAATGCCCATGAACTGGCTTAGAGAAGGGCAGGCGCGAGGTTAAAGTGGCCATCTTTGGACACCCCGGGAGTGCAACACAAAACTGGCTGTGCTCTGGGGACTGAGGTTAGACGATGGTAGGCTAGGGTAAAGGTAGCGGTGCTCTTTCTGCACAGCAACTCATGTGTGTTTGTGTGAATCTTTATGTATAGGTCTGTGAATGTACAGCTCTTTAATTTGGTATCCTTAAAAGGACACTATAGTCATCACTATAGGGCTGCATAAACAAAGTAACTTAACTCTTAAATGACAGAGACAGAAAATTAAGCAGTGAGACGTGCATGATCTATACACTAAACCAGCTTCATTAAGCTAAAGTTGTTTTGGTGACTTAAATATAGCAATCCCATGAGCTGTATAAATTATACTAATAATAACATATTAGGAAGTTATAAACTGATCTGCTTAAAGATCAAAATTAATAAAATGATTTTAAGCTATTTATTAGCTGGTTCACTAATTTGGTATCCTAATGTAGGATTGCCATATATAAGAATACCAAATTAGGGAGCTAACATTATCATGTTTGCTATTTAGAAGGCAGCCCTCCATTAATTTACAGATATCACATCCAGTACTCATATGGAAAATGGCTGGTGTCCCCCTAAGCTAGAGATTTAAAATGATCCCATTACAGTTTTTAGGTCATTCTTTTTGAACAGGTTTATGCAATGAAAGCAAAAGCTTATTTTAAATAATCCTTGACTTTTCAGCATTGACTGGATAACCCTGTGTGAGGAGACCGGCCTTGGTATCAGAGGGGTTACAATGCTTAGCACACCGCAGGGGGAACATCTTTAATAAAATGTGCATTCTACATGAAGTTAGCATACCTGTATCACTTTCAGTCCACAAGTCTGTTCAATGATTTAAAGGTAATTTTTAAGGAAATCTGTGTATTAACAGTTACGCTAGTGCCTTTCAGCTTGCTAGAGCTCCACACAGACAGGCTACCAGCTGAGCAGTTTGTCAGTTATTTTTCAGATATATACATTGCAAACAGTTTATCAGCACCCTGTGCTGGAGCAAGGCATGTCGCATATTATGTGAAATACCATTCAAAAGCAAAAAATTTTAAATCGCACTTAAAAGAACACTTTAGTCACCAGAACTACAGCTTAAATGTAGTTGTGCTGGTGTCTATAGTCAGTCGCTACAGGCCTTTTAATGTAAACACCGCCTTTTCAGACGGCCACTAGAGATGCTTCCAAGCTCAGTGCTGCACGGACGTTCAGCGTCCACATGCTCTGCAAGGAGGCATTCAACGTTTCCTATAGAGAGAGGTTTTAATTTAATGCATCTCTACGAGGAGATATGAATTGGTGCAGCATTGGATTGGCGGAGTCACCAAGATTGATCTCTGCCATTGTGGCGGGATCGGCTGCAGCGAGGGAGAAAAAGTAAGTTTTAAACCTTTTAACGTCCATGTAGCGGGGTGCCTGTGAATGAACATTAATTCCTGCACTATAGTGCAATGTGAGTAAACTCGGAAAAAATAACGAATGAGTCGCAATAATGGGTTTAGTGAATGAACCACAATGATGGTGAATGATCCTAATACAGTGTTTTCATGACAGAGAGGAGGTGAGACTCGTACACGTGTTGTATGAGTGGATCATACGTCAGCAGCAAAGTACTACAAATTCTGTGCGTATATGTGAAAACATTTCGAAGTAAAATCATTCCATTAATGTTCATATTTGAAGTTTGTTATCCAAGATATTCACTAAAGCATGAACTATCAGGAATTATTACTAATGTTCTTTATACACTATATACACAATTTTAGTGTATCTGTTTGGGATGTTTTTAACATATCTATACTCTTTTTTTTTTTTTTTTTTTAAATGCATGTTCATATGTTCACCCTAGAGACTGAAGATACATAAGACTAAGGTTTTAAATTGATGAATTTGTTACATTAGGTGTGTAATACAATGCCTTGGAATTGGTATAAAATATTTCAATGTTTGCTGATATGCCAATTTTTTATCCTACTCTCAGGGATGTATTTGATTGCCTTACTATTAGGTTTGCCGATATAGTATTATGCATTAGCAGGTATCTTTAATCATGTTTTTGACATATCAATTATAGTGTTTCAGAATACTTGTCAATTTTTAAGTTTTGTTTCAGAGACTAAAAATATGTTTTTGCTTCATGGACAGAGTGAATAAAGGGTGTAATTTGCACTTTTAAGACTTTTTTAATGTAGACTGTGATGCCAGAAAGGGCAGGACATTGTTACTCATCTGACAGCATATAAAGGATGGCCACAGGAGAACTCACCTTATGCTTGAGAAAGCCCAGAGAGGCGGGGCACACACTGTATCAGACACACAGCACAGCTAAACCCGGAAGTATCTGCACGTGTACAGTGAGATGGCAATCAGCTGGGGGAGACGGAACTCTGACGGTTTATCTACTAATTCCCAGGACTTTGATCTGCTGCAGTACAATGAGAACTATCCTTTTTACTTTTACATTTGTTTTTGTGTGAATAAAGTATTTTACTTCACATCTTCGGCTGATGGGGAGTTCGTCTGAATACCCACGTCTGGATCCAACGTACACAAGGGTCTGATCCTCCCTTTGCCTGATAGTTATCTTATATAGTACTATAAACACTCCACAATTGAGGGTTCAATTCTTACAGAGTGCCACATACCAGATTATATTTTGACAATATTGCACTAGGTCTGTGTTTTATTTTTTATATATTTTAAATCAGTGAGACCTACTAGTAAGGAAGAGTGCAAGTATATATTTGTGTGCCACATAATTTCATCTACTCTATCCCAGTGTGATTTGTACTCTGGTTGTACAGATCTCTTCCTTATAAGCCATTGGGCTCTTGTTGGTGGGCAATTTGCATATTTTAATGTTCTGATTGTCGCTTCTTCTACAGTGCTATCTTCAACATTGTTTGCACACCTACTATTTTTGTTTTTCTTTCTGCTTGTTCTGGGGATTTATATCAGAGCTCCTTGTAGGTTGCTACATGCCAAACTGGTTGACATTTGGTTTTTGGTGATAATATTTATTTAAAATATTTTGTTGCGCCATTTTTTCTTCTTCTTGTATATTTAATTCTTTATACAGCTCCATCATACATTGGAGAGCTGTACAAGAAGTGCACTAACAAACAAGTCAGGCTTAGACGAAGCTCCATAAAGTAACTAGCGTTCAGTTGATATTATAACCATATACATATACATGCTTAAAATGGACACTCTAGGCACCAATACAACTTTCATTTGATAGATTTTGGCCTCTTTAACATGCTGTATTTGTTTGCAAGCTCAAATTTACAGTTTTTGTGCAATAAATAAATACATAGTACTGCAGAATGTTTCACCACAATTCTGCCTCCTTAGCCATGCACCTCGTGTTAGAAAGACCTCCTTATCAAATGTATGTACACAACTCAGGCTCTACCGCATTGAGTGAGTGGCTTTTCATAACCTGGTTGCAGACAGTCACAGTCAGAGAAACTATAAACAGGTAAGGGTGTCCTTACTATATGCCTCCTGGGTGTCCTCTTCTTCTAATGGAAGTTGCTTTGTAGTTCAGATTGTTCAATACGGTCAGTGACTGAGCTGTTTGCATTAATTTGATAAGGAAGTCTTTTTCAGGAGTGGGAAGGCGTGACCAAAGAGGCCAGCTTATGCTGCGGCATTCTGCACAACTTTTAATGCAAAAACCAGAAAGATTTGTGCTATTGGTGCCCCAAGTGTCCTGTAAAGCTATACAATTTTGTTTACAACTAAAGGGACTCTACAGACACCCAAACCACGTCATCTCCACGTAGTGGTCTGGGTGCCATGTCTTTGTAACCTTGCAATTGAATGCCAGTGTTTGCACTACAGGGCCAACATGACTCTAGTGACTGTCAGGAAGCCAACCACTAGTGATCCTTCTGCAGTTGTAAACAAGTTACACTTTGTTATAGATGAAATGACTCTCCTAGAGAGCTTTTTTTTTTTTTGCAGGACGGCATTTTGCTGCAAATGAGCAATGGCCTTGAGATTGATGATGTCAGCCAGGCAGGCGAAGCGGCAACATGGAGACTGGTATAGCACGAAATGTGAGGAAAGTAAATGTTACCATAGGGGAACGACACCTACACAGGTAGATGAATAGTATAACGTTCGCAATAAATGTTTGTATTTCTAACGCTGCTTCTTTAAGGTTAGTAACCTATTTAACCCCTTAAGGACACATGACATGTGTGACATGTCATGATTCCCTTTTATTCCAGAAGTTTGGTCCTTAAGGGGTTAAAGATTTTGACATGAAGAATTAAAGAATAAATAAATTTTAAAAAAAACACTTTGTTAACATTTTTTTTTTAACAGCCTTTGGATATGCTAAAATGGCTGCATTGATACCTCTTCGCCAATGTGCTGGATTTAAAATGTACATAAACACTTCTCTGCAAGCCTGTACCTGCGAAGACTAGGAAGTGGCTCAATAGTAGTATTGTAGTTAGTATCTAGTAAATTTCTGCTGCACCGAGCCGCCAGACATATAAAGAGTTATACATGCCAATATGATGCCCCAGCTTAGCTCCCATTCACATTGTTTTTTATGAATGAGAAGAATCCAGGGGTGTAAGCTTACAGGTAGGCACAAGACGCATATTACCTGTACATTTCTAAAGCCAGGACTAAAAATGTAAAATCCTATGCTATTAGTCAGGCCTTAAAAGTTACTTGTCACTGCAAACCTGGAGAATCCATAACACAACATGGGAGAATTTCTGCTTGCCAATAGCTAGTGGAAATTCTGAGCCTTGTCCTAGATTGTCTTTTGTAAGAGTGAGATGGGACCCGGCTATGCTGTGCTTTCTGCATCTGCCATTCACTAAAAAGCCTGAATGATGTTTGCAAGATTTCCCTGTATCTCTATAAAAAGCTTTGACGTAATGTGTTTATAGAAGTGTTTAGTACGCACAATGCATATGTCAGCAACAGGTGTGCTCCAATGCAACCCAACGCATTGAGGCAAAACGTTAAAAAAAGGCATGTTTCTCTTTCTTTCAAAATAGGGCAGCTTAATAGACCATGTCTAATCACAGAATGTGATATGTACAAACACTCAGTGCAATAATATTAGATTGTGCATTTCAATGAGTACAGAGACAGGGAAAGTCCTCTAGGAGAGAGGCAAACACACACTGTACTTGCCACTAATCATTGACTTGAAAACAAGCTCCGTTGCCCGTGGCTAATCAAAGCCACAAGGCATGCACCATCCCAACATCTACTTCTGTCCCAGTCACTCCTTTTCCAATCTTATAAATGTCATAACTTGCAAATTCTAGCTGTCGGCATCTGGTCTCCCTGTGTAATCATGAAAGGGTAATCTCTGCTTGTCACAGCAGTGCAGGACAGTTCCCTCATTGCTGCTTTTGCCCTCTTTATTAATGAAATCACAGCTGAGAGCTGAACTATAGCACAGCACCGTTTGGTGTAGCAGCCTTACCTGTGAGCTGTGCGCTCAGTATACACTCACTGCTCTGTGTAAAAACACAATGCAAACTTATGTCGTACAAATATGTGCACAGCCAAAAGAGGACGTGTGGTTACTTGAAATGATGTGACCAGCCAGGGGCATGGAGTTGGCTAGACCAGTGGTTCCCAAACTTTTTAAGTTCAAGACGCCCTTAATATTTGAATATTTTTCCAAGGTGCCTCAAGTGAAAAAAAAATTCTAGGTTGTATGTATATATGTACAGCGCAGCGGCATATATATGTACAGCGCAGCAGCATATACTGGGCCCCTGTTCGGCAGAAATGCTTGCCGTTCAAGCACAGATCCAGAACCTATTCTTGGGAGGGGCAATGGTAGATTATTTAAAGAAACAATCCAGGCACAATAACCACTACAGCACTTTGTAGTGGTTATGGTGCCACTAGTTCCGTAGTGCAGAGTAAGTAGTAAAACTGTTTGGGATCTGCTGGGATAGGGGCTGTAGATGGGGATAAGGGCAGTAGTGTGTGAGAGATAGGCAGTAGTGTGTGTGTGCGTGTATGTGGGGCAGCTTGTGCATGAGGCAGGTTGTGTGATGGGCAGTGTGTGTGTGTGTGTATGTGTGTGTAAGAGAGGGGCAATTGTGTGTGTAATACTTTTCATATCCCTGCAAGCCCTGGTGGGCTCAGTGGTGAGCTATAGTTCCCTCTAGCGAGATTCTGAGCATTGCCGTGGTAACCGTGGCAACACTCCAAGCTTGCGAGAGGAGAACCCGCCAGGTTCTCTCTCCCTCCCATGCCAGCGGGCCGGCGAGGGAGATCTCTGATCTCCCCTCTGGTCATGCATTTAATAATAAATTACCTATATCATTGCAGGTCTTGATTGTGTTGTAAAATAGGTGCAACAGATTACAGTTTCATCATTTCTAATCAATCAGTTTACCAACCTCTGCTTCCTCCTCTTCCTCTTTGTTCGGCTCGCCATCATGAACGTCTGCCTCTCCATCCTCATCATCACTACTCGATGACTCCAGGATTTCGCTCATGTCCATTTTCCAACTCTCAGGGACAGTTCTCGAATTCAGGAAATGGATTGCCTCCTTTACACCTGGAGAAGAACAGTAGGAGTGCTTCCTTATCAATATACACCTGTGCAGTTATTAACTAGATTGTAAAACCATTTTATTCATAGTTATACACATGTAAAAAAAATTGAATATTCCCAGTAAATCTGATGGTGTGGTGATCGATGGGGTAACTTGAGCAACAGAGGTGGAACTTACTTTGAAGCTTGTAACTAAACTTGCTTCAGTTCATATTTGATCCAATGGGCACATAGAAACATAGAATGTGACGGCAGATAAGAACCATTCGGCCCATCTAGTCTGCCCAATTTTCTAAATACGTTCATTAGTCCCTGGCCTTATTTTATAGTTAGGATAGCCTTATGCCTATCCCACTCATGCTTAAACTCCTTTACTGTGTTAACCTCTACCACTTCAGCTGGAAGGCTATTCCATACACCCACTACCCTCTCAGTAAAGTAATACTTCCAGATATTTTTAAACCTTTGTCCCTCTAATGTAAGACTATGTCTTCTTGTTGTGGAAGTTTTTCTTCTTTTAAATATAGTCTCCTCCTTTACGGTGTTGATTCCCTTTATGTATTTAAATGTTTCTATCATATCCCCCCTGTCTCGTCTTTCCTCCATGCTATACATGTTAAGATCCTTTAACCTTTCCTGGTAAGTTTTATCCTGCAATCCATGAACCCTTTTAGTAGCCCTTCTCTGAACCCTCTCTAAGGTATCAATACCCTTCTGAAGATACGGTCTCCAGTACTCCTTACAATACTCCAAGTGAGGTCTCACCAGTGTTCTGTACAATGGCATGAGCACTTCCCTCTTTCTACATGTTGGCCTCTCCAGGGCTTAAGTGGCCCATGATAAAACTGGTATGTGTGCATGGTTTGGATCAACATACATCTCTGTGTGGACATTACTAACAGAGCCCACAGAGCGTGGATAGTGAAAACAGGCTTTAAAAAAAAAAAGACACACGCTTGGTACCAAAACCACTACAGTTTAAAGGGTTACTCCATTCACCATAACAACTTAATGGATTTGAAGTGGTCATGGTGGTAGGAGTCTGTATGCAGTGTTACTGCATGAAACATTGCACATCCAGAATTATTTAGAATTGTTCCACCCGAAGCACGTGACATTGGCAACCCACAATTCTGTTTCCGGCTGTCTAATGTCAGTTCGGTGCATATTTTACGTCTTGTCAGAGCGCACTGAATGCGGACAAAAGACGTTAAAAACTTCCCCATGCAGGAAGAGTGTTTGCAAGGAGAAGCTAGCTCTCCAAGTCCACAATGTCTCCCTTAGACACTCCCTCTGCTCTGAGCAGACAATTGGTCTAATCACAGGTTCCTCTATGAGAAGCCAGTGACCAGTCTTTGTGATGCGAGGACAGGGTGTGGAAGGCAGCTTCACCGGAGACTGATTTTTAATTTTTTCTTCTTCTTGGTTTTACAGCAAGGAAAGCCAGATAGGCCATTTTACACAGAAAAGGTCCCCCGCTCCGAAGGGTTAAGGTAATCCTTTAGTGTATTGTTCTGCAGAAAAGAGCCTGTTCCTGCAGGCTGAGCAGTGTAAATATTGCATTTTCTGAGAAAAGGCAGTGTTTACATTGTTGGAACCAAAAGGTGTTAAATTAATTCCATCCCAAATAAAATTAAATCCATATGCACATTTAAATAATTGGAGGGCTTTTTAGTATCACACCAACAGCCATTTAAGTGTAAGCTCACCTTCCACATCAAAGAAAAACCTTTAAAGTGAGTCCTACACTACCAAAAACCTCTAATGAGACAGAAAAGGGTACTTTTATGAACCAATATCGTACGATGCATTTAAGAGGTTTTGCCTTGACGTGGCAGATGAGCCAACACTTAAATGACCATTGGAGTGATGCTAAAAACTTCCTGCTCTTTAAATGAGGAATTTGGGATAGTGCGCAGGTAACTCTTTGGTTACCATGGAGTGCTGGGAGTTAAAGCATATGACTTCATTTTGTGTGTTAGTGTTTACATTGCTGCCTAGGGCCACCTCTAGTGGTTGTCACTTCCTGAATGCGGTTCTGCAAAGATTACAGCCGTTCAGAGTCTCCAAGGTTTGTATATAGACACAGAATGCTCCCCACTGACTAAGGTCTCCCAAGATGCCTGTAGACCTCTACTGTAAACCGTGCAAAGAATACTTTAATTATATTTAAAAAGCACACAACAAACAAACGCTTTTTTTTTTTTTTTTTTTAACTTGACTTGTGCCTTTTACTCTGGGCCAACCTTTTTTTAAAAAATAAAAATGGCACAACTATGTGTCGAATCAGATTCTTCCTACAGAGAAACATTGAGGGCACACAGTACATGCCTAGCAATCACAGTGATTAGCCAAACGGAAGAAAAATTGAAACCAATGTTTCACAGCATCAGGTATTAACATACTTTGCATATGGATGTTGGTCATTAAATAGATTTAATAACTAGATTATTTCATCCCGCGTCCACTATAAGCCGCCTGACAGAGACTAGTAGGCGTGAAAATTGCAAAATGTAAACAGTGTAGGCCGAAACGTTGCAGTTTCTATTCCTTATATGTCATCACTCCTGTAGACATTTGTAGTAATTATACTACAAGTCTATGCTTCGTGCTTGTCTGTGTGTATAAATTTTTCGTTAACATTAGTTTTAAAGACTAACTTTGGGACCAGTTGAAGTCCCTGCACCAGGTGAGCAGGGTACATAGGGGGAGTGTTGTTAACCCCTATACAAACAGTGTTACACTGTTGGAGTATATATGTGCTTTGTCTCCCAGATATCAATTGGGATCCAGTACAGATCAAGTGCACTGTAATAAGAAGTGCTGGAGAACCTAGAAGGGGCTACTACATTTATGGTGTGGACTATATGACCTTGGAATCATAAAAAGAGTGCTTCATATACATCAGGACAATACGCTTATCTGTATGAACATTCTGCAAATAAGTTCTTTTAACACTTTGCTCTTTAATTTGAGAGCTTCTACCAGTTTTGTGCGCTAACTCATTGTTTTAAAATATTGCGTTTCTTGATTTTTGTATATAGGGGAAAATTAGAGGATCGCAGCACGGGTCAGAAAAAGATTAAAGATACACTACCTTATATATATATATATTAAAACTTTAAAGGGAAAGCGCCTCAGATCGATATTAGTTTCAAAGACAAATTAAGGAAAATTTATAATCTAGTCAAACTTTATGGTTATGTAAAACACAGGTCTAACAACACATGTCATGTTTCTCCCTCCATTACCTTGCACTGCAGAATGTTCAGATTTCAGTGTATTAATGTCAATTTCAGCGAGATCTTTCCTTGCATTTGAATGGCTAGAGGTGGAAAATACACATAAAATTCATTACAAAAAAATAGTTCAACAATTTACCTTAAAGTGTAAAAAATAAAATGGAATATAATTTACAAACCTGCAAATTAAATCACGAGATGTTTTGCAAACATCAACAGATTAACTGATAAAATTACTTTTTTTTAATGAATATATGCAACACAACAGATTTTTATTATTGCCATTTTTATAGCACCAAGCGCTTTACAGCACTATAAAGGGAGAATTTAAATATTAATGAGAAAATTAATTATTTTTTAGGACAACAGGTTAAGGAGGACCATGCGCAAACATGCTTGGAAAGGTAGAGTTTTATTAAGATACAAAGCCAACGGGGGACTGGGATAACTCCTGATACAAGAATCAAATTTAGACTGATGCCCACATTATGCGCATGGCATTAACTTCATAAACCATGTTTCAACTGTAATTAAATGTGTATATGGTGATTCTCTCTCTCTCTCTCTCTCTCTCTCTCTCTCTCTCTATATCTATATATCTATATCTATCTCTATATACATACATACACCTATCTATCTCTCATACACACACAATATATATATGAGATCCAGTATTAATATTTTAATTTTTCACCCGTTTGTAAATACGTTTTGCTGAAATACTTTAAGATGGTCTTTTGGACAACCTGGTTAGATACAGGTATTAATATCCAGTGAAGTTAACAAAAAATAATTACCTATTTGCAAGCATTGCTTAGCTGATATCCCATTCCGTCTAGATCCAATTGGGCAGACGAGAGTCTAGTGTTTAGGAGATGCACTAGTCTGTATGTTAGCGTCCAACTGTATATTCTCAGAAGTTTGTATACTATAGGTTGTGCTAGTATATCTTTATTTAGAACCTCTTATATTTCTAGAGTTGATACACAGGTTGTTTTTAGTGATGTACTTTAATTTTGGATAGTATGTAGGTTCGTACAAGTTTGTGATGTAATCTCAGAGTTCATACTGATTTTTATAATACAATGTCTCCATATTGAGAAGTATACATTTTTATTTAATTTTGGGGGGCATTAGATCCCTTAACTATGCTTTGCTTGGCATTCGAATGGACAGCGTCCGTTTGTATAGTAGATAGCATTCACACGCTGGTTATGTATATGTCACGAATTACTGCCTACTCCTGTTTCTTTATTGAGATTCGCAGATACCATCTGGGCGGGGGTGATGATAGGAGTACCCGACTCCGGGGGTACTTTACCCAATTGTATATGTGGTGAACCTGGAACGTCAGCAGTTAAAGTCCCAGATGATGACAAGGGAAGGCTACGAGCGTCAATTTTATCTAGTCTATCGTTAACTATCCCCATGGAGGAAATCATGGCGTGGAGCTCAGAGTTGCTGGAGCCACTCGTTCCTTCTCCGGCCCCAGTATTGTCAGAATGTGCCGGCATGAGCCGAAATAGTTCCTCTTTCCTGGCCGCTGCTGGGAAAGGGATGTTGCGTTTACGAAGTTCCGCCGTGATGCGTGGAATTGTCCAAGACCTAATAGATGCAGGGCTACAGATATCGTCATTTTGAAAAGGAGAAATGGACCTGACTGGAGTACTGGGAATTGACAACTGACAACTCGTCCGTTTCATCAGGGATCTGAGACATACTGAAAGATATGTTAAACACCATTTAGAAAATGAGGTGTTTTACTGGATGGTTTACTAGTGCCAAGCGACAAAACAATTCACCAAGTTCGGTGACAGATGAGGGCCTACTACTTGCCAAGAGGCTAGAGAGGCTCTACCAATGATTTGGCACAAAGGGATTCGGGACCACTGCACTTGTGGTGGGGTGTTGGCCTCTCAGGGACAACTAAGCCCAAAGATAGTAGGGGAGTGACATGGGAGGCCCTCCCTATGCAATCGTGCAAGGCGGCGGACAATGGATTTGGCGTGAGGGGCGAATTTCACCTCTAGCGTGGAGGATGGGTGTTGGCCTCGCATGACCACTATAGACTCTAATAAGCCAGTAAAAACTAAAAGAAAATTGGGAGTCGCCTTTGGTAAACATACCAGAAGTCTATTCTTGGGTTTGTTAGGTCAGAAAGTAGTTGTAACCTATTGAAATTGAATGGTACAAATTGCAGCGTGGATACGGTAATAGGGGAAAAGCACACCAACCAAAAGGGAAGAATTTTTTTTATTTTTTATATATATATTATTTTTTATTATTATTATTATTATTATTATTATTATTATTATTATTATTATTATTATTATTATTATTAGGACACTCCAGGCACCCAGACCACTTCTGCCCTTCGGAGTGGTCTGGGTGCCAACTCTCACTACCCTTAACCCTGCAACTGTAATTATTGCAGTTTTTTTTTATAAACTGCAATAATTACCTTGCAGGGTTAACTCCACCTCTAGTGGCTGTCTACTAGACAGCCACTAGAGGGCACTTCCATGTCCCTAGCACAGGAAACCTGTGCTAGAACGTTGCTGGATGTCCTCACGCTGTGTGAGGACCTCCAGCGTCGCTCATCTCTCCATAGGAAAGCATTGAAAAGCATTTTCAATGCTTTCCTATGGGGAGCTCTAATGCGCATGCTCACCGGCCGACGCAATCACAGGGATGAGCGGCGGCGGAGGAAGAAGCAGCGACGTGGGACATTGTCGCTGCCTCTGGTAAGTGACTGAAGGGGTTTTTACCCCTTCAGCAACTGGGGATTGGGGTGTGAGAGGGAGAGGGGAACTCCAGTGCCAGGAAAACGGATTGTTTTCCTGGCACTGGAGTTTCCCCTTTAACTGACCTGTCACAGAATACTGAGTTTCCCACTAAAGGAGGTAGAGAGGGGAAGGAGAGGCCTATACCTAATAATAACAAAGATGAATATATAAATTAGTATGCATATACGCCAATGAAACACCTGAAATCGTACCCCTTAACAAGACCACCTACTTACAAGATATAGGAGTCGAGGTCTGAAGAGCAAATGCTGCTCTAAATCTTCACCTCGAGATCTGCAAATGATTGGCATGACACAAATACGTTAACATCAACCGTAACCCCATAGTATGTTTAAGGAACTATTACACAGAAAACAATGTAGAACCAAATACCATCCTAAATAAAGCGCTATGCGTATACTATGTACCTATAAATGTGCCAACTAGAAACCGCATCCAGACTGACCTGCTGAGCCCAACATTATAATATACAACCGATACAGAGGAGAAAATACAATCTGTCAACCTATAGTTTCCTAGTATGAAGGTCTCCTATGTACCTCTATACTACTGCAACATCAAGTTTTGACCACTAGAGGGCCGCCAGCCAAATCACCCTGAGCTAGGAAACTATAGCAACGTATGGAGAGTGTTTGCCAAGCTTTCGTGAGCACAGGCGTAAATGTTTGAGAATTGTTTAGCTACGGCTAGCCGAACTTAGGGAAATCTTACTAAGCGAATGAGTGGGAAAAGGACATAAAAGTTATGAGAGCCCACGAGTCCGTTTACCATGATTACGTGCGAACGCAGTCATGTACCTAAACAACGCTTCCGTCTGGTAAAGAGCCAAACAGGAGGGGGAACAAATAATAGACACGACCTGTTTGTATGAAAACGAGCCGAACGGATAAGTAGAAAAAGGACACAAATGCTTTTTGCGTCAATAGAGCCCACGTGTCCACAACACGTAATTGAAAAGAAAAGCCCAAACCGTGAAGACGCCAATGGAGGGCGCCAGTGCGACTGCTCGGTCCACGGGGTCGGAGGTCAGGCTGGAGCTTCCGGATTGGAAGTCCGTACGGGAGAAAGGCGGAACAAAGTGTAGCCACAGAGACCTGGGGTTCCAGACAGCAGGAGACAGCAGTTTTCACAGACAGGTAGTAGGTGAGAAAGCGGTCTGTATGCACTGGAAGTAGCAGCATGCAGATCGCCAGGGGGAGTCCCTTATATATGTCTATATGCACCTCTCACAACTCCACTAACACATATACACATGGGATTATTACCACTTGTGTTATGGGCAAATGCAAATCAATGGAACTATCAATAGAGATATACACCCCTCATTTTATGTATGGCATTTTGCTCCATTTTCTGGGCTTTGTATTTGGTACTATGACATCATCACTGGTAGACAGGTTGGTGAGGGCTGCAGGGGTTCAAACCTACCATGCATGTTCATGTATTGACACGCTGTTGTGTGTCATAAAAGAAAAATTGAAGGGATAAACCCATTAAAAGGAAAACGCAGTAAACAAATAAAATAATGCAGTTATGGCCATGAAGGGCTTCCCCCATCAGTTTCTCTTTTTCCTTGTGGCAGCTAAGAGTGCAGGAGTTGCATGCTTTGTATAGAGGCCATACTGATGCCGAGTATTGGCATCATGATACATAGATCATTACCCTGGACTGTAGCGCTGTGACACTGGATGCGTTATGATACCAACATGTCCCCTAATAATATTGATATGGAGTCCACTCCCAATTAGTTGGCAATAAGGCAGTTCCTTATGAAACACATGTACCCTTGGGCTGCCTCAGGCTGTAAAACCCTAAAGAACCAGTCGCCCAGTGCTGTTATTTTGAGGTTCTGCTGGGAGATCAGCGCTCTGCTCCCGCTTCCTTTGGAACCATACACCATTCTAGTTAACGTTTCCCACACGGCCTGACCTGACGGATTCTCAAGCCTTAGCTTGTCAATTTGACATTCATTCATCGACTCCCCTGATCTCTAGTTTTGCTTATCACGAGATGTTTAATAAATGCCCCTTTTATCAAAGTATTTGAGTTTGAATAAAATAAGTAAATACAATTTATAACATTAACACTTACAATTTGGAGTCCACAAATGATCGCACCAAACACTGGTCTTTCTTCACTCCAGCATCATCACTGCAGCTCGGGGACACAACCTAAAGGGGGGAAAAGCAATACATACATTTGTTAATCGCTAACCATCATTCAGTGCAAACATATCTACTCCAACTTGTAAATGTACAATAAATATGGGAGAGAAAGCAGATCACTGTCAAACACTGGTTATTCATTGATTAGGGTTTTTTCCCCCCTCTGGCAACATTTAGGCTTTGGGGGTGGAGGTGTCACCACAGTAATTTCTCTGCACTGTGCGGAGTTTTATCGGCCTGGTCTCACCACAATCTTTCTGGCACCTAGCTATATGTTTTGAGGGAGACGTCAACTCCCAGAGCAAAGCCAGCGCAGTGCTGACGAGACCCAGAGCAGAGCCAGCGCAGCACTGACGAGACCCAGAGCAGAGCCAGCGCAGCGCTGACGAGACCCAGAGCAGAGCCAGCGCAGCGCTGACGAGACCCAGAGCAGAGCCAGTGCAGCCGTGACGAGACCCAGAGCAGAGCCAGTGCAGCCGTGACGAGACCCAGAGCAGAGCCAGCGCAGCGCTGACGAGACCCAGAGCAGAGCCAGCGCAGCGCTGACGAGACCCAGAGCAGAGCCAGCGCAGCGCTGACGAGACCCAGAGCAGAGCCAGCGCAGTGCTGACGAGACCCAGAGCAGAGCCAGCGCAGCGCTGACGAGACCCAGAGCAGAGCCAGCGCAGTGCTGACGAGACCCAGAGCAGAGCCAGCGCAGTGCTGACGAGACCCACAAACTGTGCAGTACAGTACTGGTTCCATGTCAATGGTAATTTTAGATCCCCCTATGCTTTATTTTTAAAACAAGCTGTGTTTAAAACAGCATATATTGCTAAGGGTACCTGTGAAAAATGCAGAGTGAAGTCTGAAAGACATACACACACGTACATAGTACTCATACACTTTTGGTGACTTTAATATAAATTTTGCCTTTTTTTCCCCTCGCTCATGGCAGTAAATAACACTGGATCCACATTATATGTCCACTTTCCAAAGCCCAAAATGCAGCGGATGAAGTAATAGTAAAACTATTCCCATGGAGAATGCTCATTTCACGGCTACAATCCGCAGACAGCGTTTAATTTTACTAACTGGACTTCCTCAGACAATAGCATTAACTTTCTCACCCTCTACCAACACACAGAAAGAAAGCCAGTTGTGCTGAGATAGGGATTTAATATCCAACTCAACCTTGATAAATAGACTTTTTCCAGATGATTCATGACAAAAGAGAAATGGGCTGTCCCAGACAAAATGCCAGCTGAATTCTCTATGTGAAAGCCACAATGACAAGGATATGAGTGGCCAAATGCCAACTGAACATAGTAACTAGTGAGTAAATAAAGCTGCCCTGCTCACAGGCCCTTGTTTGGTTCATGCAGGTGGCACTAATAATACATGTTGGTAATGCATAAGTCTGGCTTTCCCCAAATATATTGCTAAAGTCTCATATACACAGTATATATTTAAAGAGACACTAACTGTATTGTTAATTTTAATACAAAGCTAAATGGATTCCCAGTAGCCCATCCCCTCTGATGCTTGACTGAGAGTGGCAGCTGACCTCTTTCAACCTATAACAAGCAATGCTGGTATAAATTGGTAGGACTTAAGAAATATGCCACCTCTACCGTAGCCATTTCTCTAATGGGGGCACCAGGCTGTGGGCATCCAGGGACCTTTAGTGTTAAACAGCTTGGAAAAGGCCCGTTTAATGAAGTGAATGACAGTGCCAAGAGGCAATTCATTGAGATGAAATGGCTACAGTGCCTCCTGTAGTGTCCCTTTAAAGAGAACCCAAAAAGAGCAGATATTCTGTGCAACAACATTATCAGCAATAACTCCTCCTAGGAAAGGAAGCTCATTTAGGGAACATGACTACCGGAACATTTCTTTCATTTAGCTAATCTAGTAATAATGTAGAATTTTAACTTTTATAGTCACTCAAATATTGTATGTATGATGGGCAAGTACAACTGCATGAAGATCTCAGTCAGAGGACAATCCACAGAATAGTTGTACATCGCTTTGTTAGACGTGGACAGAGATGCAATGAAGGGTGGGGCTCCCAAAATGGCTGCAAGTGAAGTTTATTTTATTTTTTTTTAAAGTTGGTGCTGTTCTATGGAATAAATTTTTAAGTTTACTACTTGTGTTGCACGGCTGATATTCTGCAAATTAACAGCAAAGCCAATTTTTTTGATTTTTCCTGTAACCTCTACCAACAATTAGTGATGTCCCGAACTGTTCACGGAACGGTTCGCGAACGGTTCACCGCAGACTCATTGAGTAAACTTTGACCCTGTACCTCACCGTCAGCAGACACATTCCAGCCAATCAGCAGCAGACCCTCCCTCCCAGATCCTCCCACCTCCTGGACAGCTCATTAAGAATGCAGCTTCACAATGGATGCTGTCCAGGAGGTGGGAGGGTCTGCTGCTGATTGGCTGGAATGTGTCTGCTGACTGTGAGGTACAGGGTCAAAGTTTACTCAATGATGAGTCCGCGGCAAACCGTTCGTGGCGAACAGTTCGCGAACCGTTCGGCGAACAGTTCGGGACATCACTACCAACAATGGAAAACTTAAAACAAACATGTATGTCTGCATACCCCACTTCAGGGATTCTCATACAGGATACCAAACTAAGCGGGGCTATAGAGGGACACGCCAGTGTATGGACAGTATTAACAGAGCGCTCCCAACAAATAACAGTCCTGTATCGGCTGCACTGAATAAAACCATCTTGCTTCCCCTGCAGGTGAGACCAGATACTACGTGAGTGCCCAGGGGACACAGAGATGTTGCTGAATGTATTCAGGACATAATCACGGCATTGGTTATATCAAAGTGTTATATGCACAGTGTTTGCAAACATGTCTACCCATTCATGACATGACGGTTTGCTGAAGTTATGCACTTATCTCAGATGCTTGCAAATTCTGAGTCTTTGTACTGACAGCATGATCACTTGATTTCCAAGCATAACACAAAAACAAACATTTAAACCGCGAACACAATAAAACTTGTGCAATACCATGAATACATGCCATGTGTCCACAACATTTTGCAACTGTTTTTTATTTTTTTTTTACTGTGCAGTAAGTCATACATGCAGCAAACTGACAACTTCAAAAAATTAATTGATCATTTAATTACGAGAAGCATATTGTGACTGGCACGCTGCAGGTCTGAACAAACAAATAGAACTACATAACCTGCACAGACACATTTCCCTTAATGGGGTCAAACTTGGCTCCAGCAATATTCCTGGAAAGCCTGGTGTAGAGGATAGTGATAGGTGGCACAGTTGTGACCATTGCAAAAGAAAGTACTCCCCTAAATGTTTTTGTTTATTTATGATGTTAACATTTAAAGAACTGTCATCACAAAACAATGTTTTTAATATAATTATCCATTCAGCAAATTTTAAAATGATTTTTTTTTAATAAAAAGGTATATGTAAAAATAAAAAATAATAAGGTTAAAAACTCATCCCTGCTTTTATCCATCAGCCATTTACTGGATCAGACAGTGTTTGAAAAGCAACAGTTAGTCTATATGAGCTTCCCTGCTTCCGTGTTGGGAATGTAGCAGGACTGATTTAAACACCGTCAGTCCCAAGGTGGAGGTATATGGCTGAAGGATTTGGTCATATACTAAGGGTAGGGACGAGTTTATCCTCTCTCTTTTTTACATATACTTTATTTAGAAACACATTTCCTTCCAAAGGTAAAAGGATTACTATATTAAAAAATAATAATAGTTTTGAGGTGACAGTTGTTCTTTAAGGCTATCTAACCTGGTAGATTAGCTAATTTTCTTTCCTTCAAAAGACAAGCCACTCACTCTAGATAGAATTTAAAAATAAACAGCTGGAAAATCAAGCCCCGGAGATATTTTTGTACATTGCAAATCACTTGCTAGTCCCCCCTATTCCCCCAAACTTTGAACGAAGTGTTGCAAACACCTATTAATTGATATCATCAATAATAAGTGGGAGAAGAATTCACCACAGTGAGAGTAATCTCTCCATTCATTTTAATCTTCAATTCACATGTAAAGTTATATTTAAAAATACATATCAAAATAGAACATTAAAATATTTTTCTAAATTATAAATCTTATTACTAGCTTATCCAAACATGAAAAACTGGCCGTTGAGTCTTACAGCAGTGATAATTACATTATCGGCATTGCAGTTTGCCTGCTCGGAGTGTAAGGGGGGCAGTCTGGACATATCGGTTATGTTGAAGATCGGTTCTTACCAGAGCTGGATACCATTCTTGGGAACTGCTAGATTTCACGCTGACTACTTTGCCAATTAGTTCATCCCCTAAGCGTTTCAGATCATCATCTTCCTCCTCACTGCTCTCCTCCTCTTTTTCATCTTCAGTCCTAAAAGGTAAGAAGAAAAAAAGAAAAATGAATGAAAGACTTTTAAGTAGTTACAAATGGAGGAGTACAAACCCCTTTTTGGGGATTTTACTTCATGGGTCGGATATATACATTTTACCAATAGAAACCTGGTCATTTGGCACACTATTCGTTACCGCACTGATACATCAAATTCCTTCTGCCAGAAATAAATCCCTGTGTAATCATAAAATGTTACAAATGTGCCCCAAATAGGTGTCAGGTATAGAGCCCATGTAGATCTTTATACAGATGGTATAGGTAACAACATGACCAGCAAAACCCTTCGTGTTAGAGATTGCACCATTACTCATTCAAAACACTTTTTTTGTGTGTTGAATTATTCCACTTTTTCCTTCATTGCAGCAATCTTCAAACTTCTATTAGATTCTGATTTCCCTTCTGTATGTTTAAAAATGCAAGAAAACAAAAATAGCTTTGTGGCTTTGGAGGAGAAATAAAAAAGCCCAAAAAAGTGAAATGACAGCACTTCTTGCTCAAAGGAACCAATTAGAAGGGTATCTGTAAATGCTTCTATAATTACTCCCAATATAATAGGTTACAGCAGACAGGGGAGTAATTGTCATGGTAACTGTAATTAAATAGTGGCTGGCACTGGTGTAAATGGTGCTTTGGACCTGCCTTTCTTCCATTCTCATACACTGCTCTCTGGGAGAACATTATAATAATAATAATAATATTTAATTATTAAATATAACCACAATATTTAACCCATACTTCACTTTTCTGTCACCGTGTTTTAAAACTTTTAAAATCAAACACAGGATTTGTAAGAGGACAGAGATGGTATTGCTAGGAAAAATGTTACATAAATCCATTTTTTAACACAATCCTCCAACCGTTCTAGACGGAGACAGATACTTTAAAACATTTCACCCCATTCTTAACAGCTAGGCCATCGTGAATGGGATCTGTTCACTTACATCCTGCCCAAATTTGGGGATCTGTCCTCCCTGCCAATACTCCACATCCTACACCCATGCTCCAACTTGGCTACAATCTGCAATTACTTAGTAAATAATTCATGATTAGCAGTTCAGTTAACCAACCTCAACTAAAAATTCCCATGTAATTCTTGTGCCAAGCAGAGGATGTATTGTTAAGGATAAAAGCCTCTCTTTCATCTCAAGGTTATTTGTCAGAGGTCATTAGCAACATGTGAAAAGAATACATAAACAAACACTTTGCCAATGGAGAATCATGTGGTAGCAGTGTTGTACTGACTAAGGGGTAATATGGCTAATGCCATATCAGTATGACAGGTAGACCAAAGAAAACATGACACGATGGGGTTACATTGATGTCATCATACTAGTAGCAAACAGAAGATTTCGGATTCTCTCTAGATCTTTTAATCTTTCCATCAGCAGGAAGTTATGCTGATATGGTGACTGGGTCACACAATCATATATGCATCAAGTGAATAAGTGACACTATAGTCACCAAAACAACAACTTTAGCTTATAGAAGCCGTTTTGGTGTATAGATCATGTCCCTGCAGTCTCACTGCTCAATTATCTGCCATTCAGGAGTTAAATCACTTTGTTTATGCAGCCCTAGACATACCTCCCGGCATGTGACTTGCACAACCTTCCCAAACACTTCCTGTAAAGAGCCATCTAATGTTTATACTTCCTTTATTGCAAATTCTGTTTAATTTATACTTTATTATTATCTCCTGCTCTGTAAATAGCTTGCTATACGCTGCATGAACCTCATGTGTGTGATTAAAGTTAAATATACATAGCAAGAGATAACGCACCCCCACCACTCAGACGATGGGTGGAGGAGGTGGAGAACATCCGGAAATTTGAAGACTTGAATGCAACCACAGCGAAGGCAAAAGAAAAATACACGAAGAAATGGTTCTAATGGCTGAGATATGTCACCTCAGATGACTTTGTGTGCCTCCTGAATGCACCAGAACTTAGAGAGGAGCAGACAAGGGACTCTCTCTTCTAACCCCCTTCCACATCCCTCTCTTCCCCGCTCTTTTCTGTTTTCCACCCCCTCCCTTTTCCCGAATGCCTGACCCTCACACACACACACGAACACACCCAAAATGGGACACACACACAGACACCCAGACATTAGAATCTGAACCGAGCTCTCTGACAAATATGGTCCATATGATTGAGGCACGCACACAGACCCACATAAAACACACACTAAGACGCTAGGAACCGCAACAGACGTTTCCGACATCGCAACCCATGACCACACCCGATGGGGGACGCACACCACGATACACACAGAACCTACAGAGATCTATAGCCATTCAACTACCACATTATACGTTATCCAACACCAACAACACAGAGAAACATACACCCAACACGACCCGATTATACACAGAGGGGCCACCCACACAACATTATGCAATTGCATAAACGTCTCACCAGCTTAGCCGCCTACACAGAGGTGGACAACAGACAGAACACGGAAAACATAAACCTGGTCAATATGTAGGCACTCGCACACCACACGCTAAGTAACATGCCCAGCCTCTACACAACCAATTGCGCACCATCAGTAACCGAACAATCCAAGCAACACCAAACAAGATACATATATCTTAATTAACAAATATCCTACGCCGGCTACACCAGGTAGCCTGTAATGCAAACGCCCAGATCAGAACCCATATGCACATGACATATTGTGATACAATACCAGGCCTCTGCGAAGGTACTTACTAGTTTATCATAAATTGGCATACTAAACCTCTGGGTGGGCAAGGTTTACTATATGTCAGTACTATTGTTACAAACAGAATCAAAGCCTATTTAAAACAAAGCAAGAGATAAAAACATTTGGAGTTCATTACATCTGATTGAAAGTGAAACCATTTTATTTTCCATGCAGGATGTGTCAGTCAAAGCCAGGGGAGGTGTGGCTAGGGCTGCATGAACAAAAACAAATGTAATTTAACACCTAAATGGCAGATAACAGAGCAGTAAAACGCCAATGGCATGGTTTATACCCCACAACTGCTTTATTAATCTAAAGTCGTTATGGTGACTATAGTGTCCCTTAATTAAACCGCATTAATAGTTCAGCTATATATTTAAAGTGGATTCAAGTAAGCTTCCTCTCTCACCTGTCCAGATAAGGTACCATAGCAAGTCTATCTTCATCTTAAATTTCTAATCTGTTTAAACCCTTTCTACTTGCTTCTTTTAATATTATAAAGAAAGAAAGACAGCATTTAGTTAAAATTATTTTTCTACAATTTTGCACTTTGTGTCATGGAATTCAACATAAGTTATGCTCCTTGATCAGGGAATGGCAGTAGGAGGTTCCTTGTCTCTTTCTTGCTGCAAAAATTGGCCGATAACTGCAGCGGTATAAGTCATGTGTCCTTAAGGGGTTAATGCCTTGAGACACTTCTGCTCATCCAAATATTTGCACAGCACTCAAGCTATACAATTTAGTTGTCAGACTCCTTCACAGCTTTTACTGAAGGAGCCTGAAATAGTTTCGTATGACAGCTCAACTCACAAAACGGAGATGGGGTTGTCGACAAACCCATTGCATCTGCAATCAGCTTAGGCAACAATTCCACTGAACACATGCAATCAAGGAATCACTGCAGAGTGTCATCATATTCCATACATCCCTGCTGTGTTCTGTTAACAGGAAGAGGTTTCTTATTTGACAAACTCAATGCAAAAGCAGGACACTCAACAAATGCAACCCGACAAAAGAGGATTAGGGTTTTTAATTATTTTGCACATTTTTAACAGATCTACAAAGATAGGAGTGCGTTTCAGCCTGGAGTGCATTTTGATTAGCTCTTATTAGCGCCTAGACAAAGAATTATTTTGTGAGTTCATTTTCTATTTCATCCTTCCCACTGTTTTGATGCATCCTCCTGCACTATTCTAATCTGTGTTATTTTCCCTACGATTCCCTTTTTGTCACTCAAACCCTCCATCTCATCCTCGTATTGTCACCCTCTCTCTCTCTCTCCATAAGTCCTTTCACTTACCCTTACCTACAAGGCTCTCCATAACTGTGTCCCTGCTTATATCTCCTTCTTCGTTAGCAGATACGGTCAAGTCCGGCCTCTTCATTCAGCTGAAGAACTGTTACTGTCCCGTTCTTGTACTCGCTCCCCAGACTCTTGCCTGCAGGACGTCTACAGGACTGCTCGCTCCTTACGGAATGCCCTTCCGCACCACACGAGACTCCCCACGTCTCTGCAGACTTTGAAAAATTCTTTGAAACGCTCTTCTTTAGAAAAGCCCATCAGCTCGCCCCAAACTCCTCATGACTCTACATTCTCCCACCCAATGTGCTCCTTCCTCCCAAACAGCCCTCCCCTCTTTCAGGTATATACAGATCATCTGATTCCCCCACTTCCTTCTGCGTATGCCCTTCGTCCATTTAGACTGTAAGCTTGTTTGGGCAGGGCCCTTTTCACAGCTGTTCTCATATGTTAAATGTGTTTTGTTGGAATTATTTGTCTTTGTTAAGGCATGACAGCCTGAAAAAAAACCCAAGTGAATAATATATTCTCCATGATATGGGAGTAAAATACAGTTAGCATTATATATGTAATCTATTACTTACATTGGGAGAGATGATCTCCTTCCTCGGTTTGATTTCTTTCCAATAACTGGGGTGCCAAAATGCTCAGGGTTTGTTAGTGGGAGTTGATCCAATGTCTACGTGAAAAGAAAAATCAGAGCCGATGTCTTGACTTAATGCCAACTTACAGTAGATTTTAGAAGTCATATAGTATAAATAATTACCTCGCTTTCTGCAAAATGCCTTTCCCCTTTCAAACACAGCGATGTCCGCCTTAAAGTCCTTTCATCGCCATCATCAAAAACTGCAATAACCCAAAATATTTCATATTAATAAAAGCACAAGCGATAATGTCTAATATTTCAAATGAGTGACTTCTGGAAAGTGCAGAAATGTCGCATGGGTATACAAAGGCTTTCATCGTTTTGGAAATAAAAAATATCTTAAAATAATCTTAACTTCCAATGCAAGAGGAGGATTAAACTGCAAGTGTTTAAAAATAACCTGAAAACAGCAAGAACAGAAAAGGAAACAATTATTAAAATTCACATGGTGAACTGGTAGGATTCCTTGCAATAAACTTTATTAGCTAGATTAATATCTAAGTAGTTGTTTCTTTCAATTACAAAAATACTATCTATAGAAGCAAAGTAAAAAACAAACTTTAAACACCATAACCAGGTAAGGGTTATTGTGCAGAGAAGTCCAGCGCTCACCAACCATAGCTACTACCAACTATTGACAGATAAGGTGGATGATCAATTTAGCGGATTACAAGTGAACGCAGAGGGAGGGCAGGTCTGTTTTGCTGTCAAACAGCATGAGGAAGGGGAAGCATCCAAAGACTATAGTATAAACACTACAATGAGTTGTACTGGTTATCGTGCTTCGAGTTTCTATTTACAGAAAGAAAGAAGGAGGGGGGAGAACAAAAAACCTTCACACAAACTCGTCCATGGCACAATTTGCCCATAGAAAATGCATAATCCTTCAAAGGTTTGTGTAACATACTCAATGTAATAAAGGTTATTAAACTGCACACTCTCTTGATAAGTAATATTTGTGACACCCACTGGGGGCCTCTCACATGAAAATCCAAAAATAAACTCGCACATAATCTGGAGGATTTTTCATTCTGTGCCACTCAGCAATAATCACACTACACTGTATTTTTCATAATTTATGTTTTTAAGTTGAACATTTGAGGACATAGAATTTTCCACATATCTACAGGATTCTTTTCAATTTGGAGAGATGAGCTTGAGAGAGCATACTGTACCAAGAAAAAAAAAAAAAAAAGACATGTCTTGTCCCAATTGCGTGTTATGTTTTGTTTACCCTCTGTACAACAATGTGGACTATGTTTGAGCTTTATTAATAATGATTTGGACATTATATACGTACACCCTTCCTAGGTTAGCAGAATCATGTGGCTCAGCAGGTGCAAGAATCCATCTACTTCTATCTATACCTTTACAAGTAACTCTCCGAAGGTAAAATTTTACAAACAAACTATCTTTGAAAGAAAATTGTCTTTAGAAAACAAACACGCAGATTGCTGCAACTAATGTCACAGAAGTGAAAATTAATGTGCACAAACACTCCGCCTTACTTTTAAGTTAGCGGCTGGTATTATTTGAAGAGGCAGTCTGAGCACCATAGCCATTGTGGTTATGGTACTAGTGAGCTACTGACATGATTTCTTGGTTCTGTGCAAACCGTTAAAAAGTTTGATACAAGCAAACACAAGTTTGACACATCCTGGCACGTCACCCATTTACTTGTCCACATTAGCAATGATAATTTTGGCCATATTCAGATGACACTCATTAGCTAAGGGTATCAGAGCATGTAAGCGGTGCTTATGAGATTATCATACACACACACACACACATTTCACCTGTCAAGAAATTAAAGCCAAAAACAACAATTATGGAGCATCCATGCAATTAATCTCAAGTATATAGTCAAGGAACGCGCTAGCAACAAAATCCCAACCGTGGCATAAATGTAGTGACCCTAACGGTTCTTTAAATCCAAACATCATATAAGAAATTTCCTCAAAATACTAAAATGCTTATACACCACGACAAATGCCATCAGATTCACGTGATTTGCTCTGGAAGAGGGGTTGAGCTACAAAAATATATTCTTTAAAATGAAACACAAAAATGTTATCTAAACTTCAAGAACACCAGTGCGCAAGTTCCCTAAACAAAAGAAGAAGAGAATCTGGACTATTTCAAAAAGCAGGAAAAATTGATTCAGTCAATTTACTGCAGATACATATTTAACCTGAGGGGTCCCAGGGTCAACCAATGCTCGACTTCAATGACATGAATGAATGACAGCAAGGAGATGCCTTTTAATAGGTGCCTTGTTTTGGGCCTATTTTACATATAGCGGCAGCAATATAAACAGCCAGGCTATGGTTAATAATGCATGCCCAAGGGACACATGAATCATAACAAGTAATATAAAGACAAGTTTTTATTAATTTACAAACAAGTAAAAATCTTACCCCCAAAAAATAAAAAAATACAGCAGACCAGAGGGGGAAAAATAAGGAGAAACTAAACACCCTAACTTCCAGTCTGTACTTAAAGCTGCTCTGTCTGCCACTACTTCATGCTGATAAAGCACCCATTTTGACAGTGCTGGAATTTCACTAAAATTTCAACACAATAAACAGATACAAAACGAAGTAGCGGTTACTTAGCCTTATGGGTAAAGCCAAAGGTGACACCAGGTGGAGCTTCCTCAGTAAACTTTAGTTAATTTCCACCAGCTGTTGTTGGTGACAACTGTGGCCAAGTAGTTCTATAGAGGATCTTGTGGTCTCAAGGGATCTTCCATAAAACTGTGTTGTAATCTAAAGCAGGTGGAAGATGCTGAAGTTCCCACTGAGGATAATCTCCAGTTAGCTGCTGCCATGTGATGCCGCACATCAAACGGGCATGTCAGCGTTGCAGGTTTTTTCAAAACATGTAAAGCATCCCAAAATGGCAGAACTGCTTTAATATAAAGATATATATAAAAAAATAAATAAAAAAAATAGAAATAGTATGTGCAATAAATAAATCTGCACATACAAACTAGCTATACTTAGACATGCCTAATCCCCAGCTGTGTAACAGTCAAACCCACTTAATGTTTGAGAGCATCATCCAGCCTCTACCAGGGGGACTGCTCCAAACAGCCACGTGTGGATGTACAGCTGTCCGTTGCTCCCCCACGAGGTTTGCTCCATTTTTAGACGTCTCACTGTTAAAGCCAGCAATCCATTCTATCTGGCTATTGGTAAACTTGCATTAGATCTACACTGCACATTCTGCTGTCAGTAAAGCAACAAGTTTTATTAAAAGATTGCTACTCACCCACAGTGTACCAGCTCGCATCAGTCAGTTTACTTATAATTGCTTCCTGCGGAGACCCATCGGGTGCTTTCATTTCAACTGTTGCTCCAACCTATAAACACCCAAAGACAATTCAGATACACATCCAGGAGTTTCCACTAATCCATTACCCCCAAAACTTTCAATGTTTAAAGACTTTGTCACAATAATCTACCACTTTCCATTAAAACTATTTTACAAATAAAATACCCGTAACCATAACACTCTGAAATTAATCAGTTTTTTATTTATTTTTTTAGGAAATCACAGCTTTATATCAAACCATATTGCATTTGCTACTATAATTAATGCAGACAGAAATAATCAAGTTAAAAAGGTCAAGTAGTGCCTAGTCTGTGCTGATAAACCAGCTTTACTTATTACAGAACACTGTGGCATTTGCAAAATATAATACCCAAATATCCATTCACCAATCAGGAAATGTATTGAGAATCGTGATAAACAATTTTATGGAATGACCGCAGTGTCATATGTCAGTACTAGCAGACTTGGTGTCAAATTGAGAAGGTTGGCAGTGTTCTGAAGCATTAGATATAACAACAGTTCCATTAAATGGATTTTGTTTCACTCACGCAAACATTAGTAGGGCTCTCACCATTTAAATAAAAGTAAAAAAAATAACAGTAAAATATTAACTTCAAAAAAATGGAACTCAAATCACCACAATACAAGCTTTATCACTGTATAGCGGTTTGAGATATTCAGAGGATTAAAACTCAGAATTGTGGAGATATACCTATATACACCCAACTAGATTTCATTCACAAGTTATGAGCATTCATAGGATTCTATATAAACAGAAAACCAGCAGTGACTATTTTAGGAGTGATGTTTTCCTGGCTCCAAGGTTTTGTCAAGCCAATGATTATAAAAATGAAAGTGTTTGTAATATTTCCAAATGTGTAGGAGTTACCATGTGCTGAAAAGCTTTTTAAAACCTCGCCAGACGACGTGACGTATGTTTAGAAATGACGTACATCTGTCATATTTATGAACTACACTGTATACATGAAGGGTTAATAAGTGTTCGGCTTCCTTCATTTACCCTATGACACAGCTAAGGGAAAGATACGGGGACACTATAGGAGCAGGACTACTTGCGAAAGTTACACATTAAACCAAGTTGTAATTGAGGCTTTCTTTAAAAATAAAAGGTCAATAAATCTAATTCTGCATTTTGCTCTAAATGCCAGCTATAAGCATTTCTTTTATTCTCGCTCCCCATGAGAGCAGTAGCTGATAGTTGGGTGTACAGGAGTGGGTGATGCTGTGTGTGACTCACAGACTTCATCTTAAATGAGCGTATTCCACTTAGTGTATGTCAGAAGAAAGAGACTACAAAAGGACTGTACCGATACATTGCTTCTATGTCAAAGAATAAACAATCCTTACTATCGATATCTCTCACCGCATTCTGCTACCCATAACAGAGACAGGATGCCAAAGGACAATAACACAGTCCATGTAAATCTATCAAAGTTATGGATAATTCTTGATACTCCCTCTATACTGGGCCCTGTTGCTTTGGCAAGCTAAGCCATAGTTCCAGAGTACCAAAGGTTAGCTATCACTGACCTATCTCAATTTCCCAAAAAAACGCACACTTACCCTTAATGGCCCTTTGACCTGGTCATCTTGCAGCAACTGCGTAGAGTTATCCTGCTTCAAGGTAACCTGCAAACAATCACATGTACAAATTAGCTGCCTTTCAATTGGTAAACTGCTGAACACAAGGAGCATGTAAAACAAAAATGACTTTGGAAAAACAAAACAAAAAAAACAACACACTAACAGGCATCGAAAGACTGGTCTGCAAACTACCAGCAGTGGTGTTTTAGGAAAAGACAAGTATCATTAAATTTACCATAGTTTAATTAAGAAATGATTTGAGTATTACCGCTATACCAATCAAAACCAGGTGAAGGTTCCTTTCCTTCCAAATGTGCATAATAATGTTAAGCAACAGTTTCTATAAAGTGGTACCAGTACTTGTGGTGCATTTTTTGGGAAAATAAAATCCTAAGTGACATATTCACTTAAATGTTAGAGCCTGGACCAAGGGGGAGAAAGAGAAATTTACCTAAAACTCTCCTCCTAGCGTGCCCCCACCTTCCAGTTCCTATAAGAGGCGACCACGTACAGGGGTTCATGGAAAATTATATATATATATGCAGATATCCATTGTGCAAAAAGATACTTCCTCTCTCTGGCCTTCACTGGAAAGCCTGTCTTTATCCCATAAACTTCCGGCGTTCAGCAGCAGTAGAAAGACAGATTGTGGAACCATTTGTAAGTAATGGGTATTTTCATGAACTGACTATATAAACCCTATGGGACAGGTTTTTGTTTTCCATTAATCCCTATATATAGATCACAAGAAAATCACAGTAAAATCAGTCCAAATTTGCCCTCTCTCATTAAATGTCCCCTTACATCTTCACATAAGCAAATACTATTAGAACTTATAAGAAAGTTGGTTATGTTTTAGAACAAGTTTCTAGATTTTAGGCTAAGATTTTACTCCAACCAAAAAAAACTTTTTTTAATAAAAAAAAAAACACAGTTTTTTTTACGGTTAGAATCAAACTTGCTGCTGCTGTGCCCTCCCCCCAAATCTTAAAAAAAAAAAAAACCGCGCCGGTATTTTATACAGAGTTTTTTCATTATCAGATTTGTGGACTTACAAATCTGGCAGCGTCGTCTGATATCTGTGTGTGTGGCTTTTCAAACCGAAACATTGCACATACAGATGGTTTGCGCCACAACCACTTCAAATCAATGATGTGGTCAGAGAGCTTACATTAAGTCCTAAAGTAGCAAATTTGGTTAGAAGGATCACAATACTGGGCATATATAGTCTAAAGGGCCAATTTAAGCAGAAATGCACTTTGCCTTATAGCAGCAATGGTTTGCCAAACTGATTGCCACTAAAGATAGCCCACCAGGATTGGCAATCAAGCAGTCCACTTTGTTCTTGGGTGCCTGGATTAATTTTGCCACTATATATGCATATGAGGCTTTCTCTCCATGTGTGTGCCATATGTGGTTCACTAAACAGTGAACTGAGCTCCCCATATATTTTTCAACCTGCAAAGCCCTAAACTGGCTTGCCATTGAATCAACCCCATTTAAACTCTATCTATGTGTACAAAGCCCTCCATGACTCTGTGCCTTTCTACATCCCTGCCCTTATCCAGTTACCATCTATAAGGCTTTATATTTCTCTTACTCTGACCAAAATCCCTAGAATGTACTACCATGGGACTGCTGGACTCCCGCCTGCACCATCTTCAAAATACCCCCAAGGAATCCATTTCAATCCAATCCACAAGAGACTTGCATGTCTATCCACTAATGCAAACAAGCACCACAACAGGCACATTCTGGTACACACCATATTATATCAAACAGTAACACACCATATTATATGGAGTGTACCAGAATGAATGTTTTGATCAGATTGTGGCTGTTGTGGTGTTCCACACAGCTTGATATGAGTAAAGGGCATAGAAAAGTATATCAACTTTTTATAGGTAGAAAATTAATGTTTTGAACTAAGTTTATACTTGACGGTATAAACCTGGTGACAGGAAGTTCAAAACATTAATTTTCTACCTATAAAAAGTAGATATACTTTTCTATGCCCTTTAGTCATACCAAGCTATGTGGAATATACTGTGCTATATCAAACAGTAACAAGCCTATTGACTATTGGTGGAAGGTTTAAGAGGAACAAGCGAGACACTAACAGAATTCATTCTAGATTGATGCAAAATACTCCATGTACAAAAAAACAGGCCCTGTGCTCAAACTCCCACTACTCTTGGGCGGCAGCAACGACCACAGTGCACATCAGCCCCAATACATACAGTAAAAAAAAAACTCCATGTACCTTGACTTTCACCAGCCGCTTCACGGTCTTGATCTTTGCCTCACAGAAGGCTCCCCGGTACTTGGCGCTCACATCGGTTCCCACTGTTAGGTAGGCAGGCTCATCCGCTGCCTAAAGAGACAATCAGGAGACCGTTAATAGCACAGCAAGAGAAAACGAAAGAGATAATTAAAAATATTCCGCCTGCATTGTTTGATTATATATATATTATATATACACATACATATACACACACATACATACATACTTTTCTTTGTATATTTAACCAATCTATGCAGGTAGTAAATTGTGCACCCATACCAACATAATATTTTGGAAGAATAAAGAAGGTGGGGAGACGTTAGTGACTGGTCATAATACAAACATATGACGACTGGGATAGGGAGATAGGAGTGGGTGTCAGCTGTACCACTATCAGGTCTATCAAGTCGTAGCTCAGCAAACAGGAAGATATACAATGTAAGAACTAGGAATAAGAAACCCTCTATCACAAAATGATGAGCTTAACAATGTGCTGTATGACATTAACTTAAATAGCAAGCATTGCAAAATCCAGTAGATCACCTCAACACTGGCACTGCGGAAATATTAAAATTGTGATTCAGGTAGATGGTAATGTGCGGTCCCAAACAGCAACCACGAAGGAATTTATATACAGATAGTGAGCAGAGTTTGCAGTGCATTAATACACGTTCCCAGTCTTTACATTTTGGACGAATTTAAAAATTCTCAATTTAGTGATAAATGAGTTTGAGCATAAAAATTTCAGTAACTTTTTTTGCGCATGAATTTTCTCAAGTACATGCTGTGTACCATTATATATCTAATATTGCAGTTTTTTTATAATCAAGGTAAGGAGTAGGTTTAAAGTAATTTAAGGCTCCCAGCTAGGATTGTCCAATATGCCTGATTTGACAGAAATTACACTGCCTGGTAGCAAATGCTGCGTTTGGCTGCTTGTTCTCAGATCAGATCTTTTTTCCCCTTAAATAATATGCCTGGATAAGACCCGGAAAGACGGTCTCTGAAGAAGCATACCAGTTTCAGGTGAGGGACAAAATAACTTGTGGCAGCTGCAAATAGAAGCTGCTGCCATGCAGTATTACTCCCATTAATATCAGGCAAACTAGGACATGCAAGTCCGGATGCTGTTCAGAGATAAGAGAACTCAGCACTATGCAGTTATCAGCTGCGCTGTCAAAAGGAATTTCAAATTTTAGACCAAAGTAGCTGAATCAGAGGCACAGCTGGCTTAGAGATTCCCCCCCCCCAATTCAGCTAGTTCGAGCTTAAATCTGAAATTCACTTTGTCTTGTTAGTAATCCCTGACAGTGTAACACGGGATCGGACATATGATCTGACTTACAGACACGAACATACATATGTGGTCTACAAGGCATATTTCCAGATAAGAGGAAGCAGAAACAAACCAAAATAAACAAAGTGATGTAGCAGCATGTCGCACGAATATATGTAACGTACAAAGCGTACAACAGAGGAGAATACCTCCACACTATATAATAAGAACCCTCATATCGGAGTCATATTGAGATTGTATATGTTTAACCATGATGCTTTTCACAAACAGATTAGTATGTATGTCCTTATTAAACCATTCAGGTCGTGTACCAAACACATGCACAGATTATGGAGTAACAAAGAGGCTGTTTATTTCCTAACAGAACCAAGCAGAGGATGTTAATAAAGTCTTAAAGAAAGAATGGCCCAACTAGCACAAAAAAAACAACAACACACATCCGTGCTATTTAAACAGCGCCGTATTATACTCAACGTACAGCCACAGCTCATTTTAACCTACTCGAGAAAATAAAATTAAAAAAAAAGTTTTGCAGTCTAGAAGATTTTTAGCAGCTAAACCTTTCCTTATCGGTCCTTACACTCATTATGCTACGTGCAATATTTTAACACATTTAAGTCGCCTTCTATACGATTTCCTAAAGACTGAAGTAATGAAATATGTTGTAAATTAAAAACATCCAAATTGAGGAGTCAAGCAGAACTAGGAGGAAACGAACAGGAAGGCAATAAATCTGCAAACACGTCATTAAAGCTGCCTTAAAATATGACTGGGCCCTTTAAAACACAACTATATACGCTTTTCATGCCTATAGATAGGTGGTTATTGCGACACATGTTAACCTAACTGCACGGGTACAGATAGAATTTAGTGTAAGAATGGCACAAACACAATAATTCTGCAAATGCGGTTATCAAAGTGTATAATGTTATACTAGATAGGTTTTTCAGAATTTAGCAATTTTCTAGCCCGGTGTATACTATACTTACAAATGCATGAGTGGAAATTCTAAATAAATAGTGGGCATTGTTAGATTTGAGAAGTAAAGTACTTGAAATGAAACTGACTAAAACAAAATGCAAAGCTTTGACATTTAATCACTTTGCTGCATGCATAGCACATGTAAGATAATGCACTGACAAATTAGGCATTAAGGGAGGAGTGCAACGTAAACTGTCCTAGCTCGAAAACCCATTATAAAAAGAATACATGTGCAGGTTAATATGAATGACACGCCAATACGCTTGGACGTGACAAACACTGATTGCGTTAAAAAGAGAAAAGACTAGCTGTCAAGTTTTCTTGTTTGTGGCAAATAAAAAACAAACAGAGAAGACTTGTGTGTGTCGGAGATACAAACATGAATACGTTTTACAAGCAAAGCATACCAGCCGATAAAACACAGACATCTGCAGTGTAACATGGCACAATGCTACGATTACTTTACCAAAATGCACACAATAAGGAAAATGTTCGAAAGCATCTCGTATTAAAACACTTACCTTCATCTTCGAAGGTTATTTGAGGGATTCCAGCGCGAAGATTTGTCTTCACAGCAACTATATTCACCAAAGGCAGGAAAAAACAAAATATATAGAAATAAGGATCGGAGCAGAACTGCAGCCCACACTGAATTACATATCAATATGGAATTATTTTAGTACATATCTCTGCCCCAACAGATAAACCACATCAATGTATCGCCTGCCAGACTTGCTAATTCAGGCGGCATTGCATTATTCTGCGTGGAGTCATTTTAAAGAATAAAAGCACGATATAAAGACACAGATCAGTATGGAGTTAGGGAGTCACTGCTTATACCGTTCTATGATTTAGAAACCTCTAGCACTCCCACCATTGTTGACAGACAGGGTGAACGGTTGGGGAATGTAAAGTGCAGTTCAAATTTTAGGCCAAAATAGTCAAACTGGGAAAAATATCCAGCTATGTTTTCAGTTTGTCTCTTTTGACCTACATTTCGAAACTCACTTTGAATCCATGACAATTGTGATGCTCAGTCAGCCTTTCTTAGTCAACAAAAGCTGGTGGTGCAGAGTCAGCTAACACACAGCACTACAAGGCAGCCATTGGATGGAGGTAGTCAGCTAACACACAGCACTACAAGGCAGCCATGGGATGAGATGGGGGGGGAGTCAGCTAACACCCAGCACTACAAGGCAGCCATTGGATGGGGATAGTCAGCTAACACACAGCACTACAAGGCAGCCATGGGATGAGATGGGGGCGGGGGGAGTCAGCTAACACCCAGCACTACAAGGCTGCCATGGGATAGGATGGGGTGAGTCAGCGAACACACATCACTACAAGGCAGCCATGGGATGGGGTGAGTCAGCTAACACACATCACTACAAGGCAGCCATGGGATGGGGTGAGTCAGCTAACACACAGCACTACAAGGCAGCCATGGGATGGGGATAGTCAGCTAACACACAGCACTACAAGGCAGCCATGGGATGGAGATAGTCAGCTAACACACAGCACTACAAGGCAGCCATGGGATGGAGATAGTCAGCTAACACACAGCACTACAAGGCTGCCATGGGATGGGGGAGTCAGCTTACACCCAGCACTACAAGGCTGCCATGGGATAGGATGGAGTCAGCTAACACACAGCACTACAAGGCAGCCATGGGATGGGGGGAGTCTGTTAACACCAGCACTACAAGGCAGCCATGGGGGCCTGAGATCCCCAGTAACAAGCCATGAGGGTGCTGGCAGAGGGGCCCCCGGCCCTGCAGTATTGGGGTGACTTGCTGTAAGGCCCAGGCAGGGAGGATGTCATGATGCCGGGCTGAGCAGCCAGGAAGGGACAGGCAGACACAGCTCCCGCTTGGAAAGCCCCATCCAGGCAGGCGGTATGTCACGTCGCCATTGCTGTCCTCTGTGTGTCTCCATGTCAGACCGGGGCAAAGCTCCATCCACTGCAGGGCTCCCAGAGCTCCCTCCATGCAGCTTCACAGAGCTTCCCTCCCTCCAGTCAGTCACAGAGCTCCCTCCCTCCCTGCAGTCAGTCACAGAGCTCCCTCCAGTCAGTCACAGAGCTCCCTCCCTCCCTCCATGCAGTCAGTCACAGAGCTCCCTCCCTCCCTCCATGCAGTCAGTCACAGAGCTCCCTCCAGTCACAGAGAGCAGTCACCTCCCAGTCAGTCAGTCACAGAGCTCCCTCCCTCCATGCAGTCACAGAGCTCCCTCCATGCAGTCAGTCACAGAGCTCCCTCCAGTCACAGAGCTCCCTCCATGCAGTCAGTCACAGAGCTCCCTCCAGTCACAGAGCTCCCTCCATGCAGTCAGTCACAGAGCTCCCTCCCCCCATGCAGTCAGTCACAGAGCTCCCTCCAGTCACAGAGCTCCCTCCAGTCAGTCAGTCACAGAGCTCCCTCCCTCCATGCAGTCAGTCACAGAGCTCCCTCCCTCCATGCAGTCAGTCACAGAGCTCCCTCCAGTCACAGAGCTCCCTCCATGCAGTCAGTCACAGAGCTCCCTCCAGTCACAGAGCTCCCTCCCTCCATGCAGTCAGTCACAGAGCTCCCTCCAGTCAGTCAGTCACAGAGCTCCCTCCCCCCATGGTGTCTGTGGTGTGAGTTGCTGAGTCCGTCCAGTGATGGGGTCCGTCCAGTGATGGGGTCCCCCCGTGCCCTCCCCCCTCCCCGGGGCCCCAGAGAGCGCTGCCCGGGCCTGCAGCCCGCTGTGAGGAGCTCGGAGAGCCGCGGCCCCCGGACCCCGGGCTGCCCAGTCCGCCCCCCGCGCACAGCCCGGCCGCGATCCGGTAAAAGTTTCACTCACACAGAGCTCCAACTCCCAGCAGCACGGAACTGCGAGCGATCAACGAAATAACAAGCTGTTGAGCAGAACCAATCCTTCTCGGACACCGATTGGCCCGTCGTCATGCCATGGAGCGAATCTGCCACAGCCTATTGGCGGAGGAGAACCGCTCGCTGATTGGCCGCGCTCTGCTCGATTCTGATTGGTCAGACCGGATGCAGGTAAGACGGACACGGCACGCGATTGGTCCGATTCCGCTGTCAATGTCAATTGGGCAACCCAGGCTGAAGGCAGCCCTTGGCTGCGAGCGATTAGACGCAGGAGATCCGGATGGAGGACGCGAGCCGCTGATTGGCTGGACGGGGGTCCCGCCTCCGCCACCTGATTGGTCGCTCTGTTTCCTGGAAACGGAACTAAAGCCGAGTTTAGAGCGAACTGAAAGGGCTGCGCAGGGGGCGGGGCCCGGCGCGCGCTCCGCGACTCTGCGCATGCGCTCGCCAAAAGCTCCAGCGCCATTTTGTGGAGGATATTTACCATTTTATGACCGGGGGAGGCGAGAAACGTCACCGGCTCAGGCCTTCTGTGTCAGCGGGGCGGGAGGCGCTCCATCCGCCGCCCATGATCCCCCATCTCGGCCCCTCGGTGCGATCCCAATACGGCCGGGGCTCCGCTGCAGCAGCCATTTTGGCGAAGACAGGTGCGTGAGGCTTAGTGAATGGCGGGCTCCGGGAAAATGGCGGCGGGAGTAACGCTGTGTGCGGGGCCTGGCGGGGTCTGCTCGGGCCGGGGAGCGATGGCCGGGCTCGCGGTAACCGAGGGCGGGTCAAGGTCGTGCGGAGAGGCGGGGCCGCTGCCGGCTGCGGAATCCATGTTCTCCGATAACAACATCCACGGGCTCGGTCTGCGGGGGATACAGCGCCATCTTGGTGAATTACCGAGTCCCTGCAACCTGGCTGACAGACAGACAGACAGACAGACAGACAGCACCCTGGCTGACAGACAGACAGACAGCACCCTGGCTGACAGACAGACAGACAGCACCCTGGCTGACAGACGGAGCAGACAGACCAGCACCCTGGCTGACAGACAGACAGACAGACAGCACCCTGGCTGACAGACAGACAGACAGCACCCTGGCTGACAGACAGACAGACAGACAGACAGCACCCTGGCTGGCAGACAGACAGACAGCACCCTGGCTGACAGACAGGCAGACAGACAGACAGCACCCTGGCTGACAGACAGGCAGACAGACAGACAGCACCCTGGCAGACAGACAGGCAGACAGCACCCTGGCTGACAGACAGACAGCACCCTGGCTGACAGACAGACAGACTGCACCCTCACAGACTGGCTGGCAGTCACAGAGACGGCCCCCTCACAGACACTGTCCCCTCGCAGGCAGACACAACAGTATAACAACTCTATAACACAGAGACAGCCACACAAAACATGAACTCTATAACAGCAACACAAAACAATATAACAACTCTATAACACAGAGACAGCCACACAAAACAAGAACTCTATAACAGCAACACAAAACAATATAACAACTCTATAACACAGAGCTCACAGACAGCAACACAAAACAAGAATAACTATATTTTATAACGGCAACACACAGAGAGCTCAGAGACAGCCACTCTAAACAACAACTCTATAACGACGACACAAAACAATATAATAACTCTGTATAACACACCCACACAAAACAATAACTCTATAACGGCGACACAAAACAATATAATTGTATAACACAGAGCTCAGAGACAGCAACACAAAACAAAAAAACTCTGTATAACAGCAACTCTGTATAACGGCAGCACAGAGCTCAGACAGAAACAAAGAGCTCAGAGACAGCGACACAAAACAATAACGCTATAACAGCAACTCTGTATAACGGCAGCACAGAGCTCAGAGACAGCGACACAAAACAATAACGCTATAACAGCGACACAGAGCTCAGACAGCGACACAAAACAAAATAACTCTGTATAACAGCAACTCTGTATAACGGCAGCACAGAGCTCAGACAGAAACAAAGAGCTCAGAGACAGCGACACAAAACAATAACGCTATAACAGCAACACATAGCTCAGCGACACAAAACTAACTCTATAACAGCAACGCTGTATAACGACAACACAGCTCAAACAGCGACACAAAACAATATAATTCTTTATAACAGCGACACAGATCAAAGACAGCGACAAAACAAGAACTGTATAACAGCAACACAGAGCTCAGAGACAGCAACACAAAACAATAACTGTATTACAGCAACACAGAGCTCAGAGACAGCAACACAAAACAATAACTGTATTACAGCCACACAGAGCTCAGAGACAGCAACACAAAACAATAACTGTATTACAGCCACACAGAGCTCAGAGACAGCGACACAAAACAATATAATTCTTTATAACAGCGACACAAAACAAGAACTGTATAACAGCAACACAGAGCTTAGAGACAGCAAAACAAAATAACTGTATTACAGCAACACAGAGCTCAGACAGTGAATAACTCTATAACAGCAACTCTGTATAACAGCGACACAAAACAATAACGCTGTATAACTGCAACACTGAGCTCATCGACTGCAACTCTGTATAACAGCAACACGGAGCTCAGCGACCTCAACTTTGTATAAGGGCAACACAGAGCTCCCTGACAGGAGTATTCACCTCAGAAGCCACAATACATTATAGCAAAACAGGAGAACTCAGAGCTTCCTGACCAGGAGTATTCCCTTCAGAGTGAACGAAACAGCGCTCCCTGACATTATAACTAAACCCGGAAAACACAGCGCTCCCTAAAGGGGATATTCACCTCAGTGTCCGCAACCCATACTATAACTGGAGATGGGTAGAAAACAATCTCCAAGCCAGCCATGTGTGGGCTTTTTAAGATTTATTGTTAAAGGACTACTATAGTCCCTCAGACCACTTCAGCTCAATGGAGTGGTCTGGGTGCCAGGTCCCACAGGTTTTAACCCTTCAGATTTAAACATAGCAGTTTCAGAGAATCCAGCCTCTCTTGGCTGTCTTCCTGACAGCCGCTAGAGGCGCTTCTGCGATGCTGAATGCAGAAATCACATTCAGCCATACAGAACGTCCATAGGAAAGCATTGAGATGCTTTCCTTTGTGTATTTCTAATGTGCGCGCGGCTCTGGCCGCGCATGCGCATTCCGCTTCATTAAAGTAAGTGGAGGGGTTTTAACCTCTTCAGCCCAGCGGGAAGGGGGCCCCTTTCTAATGACACTAAAGTAAGCTTCCTTGCCAATGTTATGGGCGGAAGAAAATAAAGTAGCAAGTAATAAACTAGGAATTAAGATGATTTGACAAGTAAAATGCAGATGTGTAGGTGAAAATATTAATCTTCACCTCCTTATCTAATTGCACATAAAGTTTGTATTCTTCTTAATAGCTTTTCACCTTTCCTGGACTGTAAACTCTATATATACAGGGTTATTCACTCGTGTCAGAATTCAAGGTGAATTTCAAATTTTAAGGTTAAAAAAAAACATAGCCAGAAAAAAATCAGCACTCCCAGGAATTTTGCAAAAAATCCAAACACTTATCTTTAATCCAGTAGTCAACGTTTCAGTTCCACTGGGGAATTGAAACGTTGACTACTGGAATAAAAATAAGTGTTTGGATTTTTTCCAAAATTCCTGGGAGTGCTGATTTTTTTCTGGCTCTATCTATTTAGTGCAATCAAGCACCGGGTTTATTTAAATGTACATGGGAGTGCAAGGTTTTTTTTTTTATTTTTTTATATTTTTTATATATATATATATATATATATATATATATATATATATATATATATATTATAAATAATGTTCTCCCCCATATTCTAGTAGCGTATAGGTTGTAGTAGTGCGTCAGCATTTGGGGCTGGCTATTTGTGAACTTCATGACACATGCGTCTAGTTATTTGGATTACTACAATGTGTTTTTCTTACCCTCTAGGTTTATCTAAAGAAAACCATGACTGTGTGTGCAGCATCTGGTTGCAAGAACCGTTTGTCCAAAGGATGCGGGAAACATTTTTTCAGGTAGTTATTATTCTTGGTCTGTTATCAAGGACATAGCATGAAGAATGGTGTTGATAAATGCCTTTATTGTGTAAACGTGGCTTATAAAATTATGTTTACGAATGCATTTATGAAGGACTTTATTTCCAATTTGTTACTTATGTTACAAGTGACCTGATCGTAAACTTTCATTTTTAGGCCAGTTTGCTTTTCTGTAAGCAGCTAAGTTACATCAAAATCCACAGATACATTTAGGGCATAATACATTGTGTGGTTAAAGCAGGGTTTGACAATTGGCGACATGGGATTTGTCAAACCCTGCTTTAACCACACAATGTATTATACCCTAAATGTATCCGTGGATTTTGATGTAACTTAGCTGCTTATAGAAAAGCCCCCAAGGCAGGTGTCAGTGTGGAATAGAGCCAGGTGACGGGGAGCTGTAATTTTCTTGCTCTTTCACGTCCTCTTGTGATGCTGGAAGCCAGAATATGACGTCACTCCAGCATCGCTAAACTGTGTGAGGGAGCAGAGCAGGAAGATTACAGCAGCCACACTGGATCCCAGGGAAAGGATAAACTCCAGCTCTCCCAAAGATAGGGAGGCTGGATGTCATAAATTGAAATAAAACAAATAATATTAATTTGTGAGTAAATCTGTCAGTGTGTGTCTATGTGAATGGTCCCCCTCCAATCACATGGGAAAGGTTCGTATTCCCCTTTTTTCCTACACAGCTTGCCCAATCTGAGATTAATAATTTTAATCATCTTGGTCAATCCAATGCTTTCCTGTAGGAAAGCATTGGGAGGCTATTGCGCATGCACAGCAAATTGCTGTGCCAATCAGCATATTCTCTTAGAGATTAATTGACTCTAACACTGCTTTAGTGACAGTCACTCAGACTTAAAGGACCACAATTGGCACCCAGACCACTACAGCTCAATGAAGTGGTCTGGGTGCCAGATCCCCCCCTAGTTTTAAAACATAGCAGTTTCAGGGAAACTGCTATGTTTAAATTGCAGGGTTAATCCAGCCTCTAGTGGCAGTCTCCCTGACAGGGTGCTTCCGCGATTTACACTGAGTATTTTGCACTTATTTGATGCTGGATGTCCTCACGGATGTCCAGCGTCAAATAAGATCCCAATGGGAAAGCACTGAGTAATGCTTTCCTATGGGCGAGTTTGAATGTGCATTCGGCTCCACTCAGGACCTAACGTCGGCCAAGGGAGCCCGACTCTGGATTAAGGAAAGTGGCTGAATGGGTTTTAACCCCTTCAGCGCCGATGGGGGGCATCCCAAGACCCTATCGTGTATTGTTTTCCTGGCACTATAGGATCCCTTTAATTTTGTCGACAAACCATTTTAAATTGCATTTTAGTCAAGACTAAAACTAAATTGAAATTTAGTTTGTCATAGCCTGCCAAAATTAACACTGCACAAAGGGGCTGTGGAACGGACAAGAGACAGACCAGGGCTTGGGAGAGAGACAAGTAGAGAGGCTAGGAGGACATAGAGGCAGAGGGGCTGGGGAGGGGGCAAAAGAGACAGGTTTTTTTTTTTTTGTTTGTTTAAACCCATTAGACTAAAATCTTCTGGAGATTTAATTGACTGAAACTAAAACAATTCAAATTACTAAAATATGACTAAACTAAAATGGGTTGTTGTGTTTTTGTTTTTTTTTTTGTCAAAAGACTGACTAAAACTAAATTGAAATTTGCCACCAAAATGAACACTGCACCAGAGGTGTTACTAGCTGTCGTGATTCTGGTGACTATATAGTGTCCCTTTAAGAATTGTATTTTTGTCTTTGAAAATAAAGCTTAAATAAACCTTGGCTCTGCAGATGCTTTAATTTCATTGCCATACATTTTTAGTCACAGAATGTTCTGTGAGCCACCTTCCTAATTTTTCTCTTTTACTCATACATTGTGATTATCAAAGCTAAAGTAACACTTTCTAATGAGAAAAAAAACTTCTCTCACAGTTGAACATTTTGCTACAGCCTGATCCCCCTCTGAATTAATCCGTTCTGATTACTTTTGTCTACTTGAGGAACACTCTGGACACATGGCGTGTGTGTTAACTGCAATATGCCAATTGGTAAAGCACAATTCAATTGCACACAACATCTGCTGTTGACATACTTTGCTGGCACAAGACCTCAAATAGATTATTAAGCCTGTTTGGGTTAGAAGCTCCTAGTGGCTGTCTGATAACCACAAGTAGGCATCGGCCGGAATTGAGAGTCCTTGTCACAGTTGTACTTTAATGCATGTATGAGAGCACAACAATGAGATCTGTGAGGGACACTGGGGACGCTAATATAATTTCTCATGTGAAAGGTGCTTATTTTCCATATACACCTCTAGTAACAGCTGTGGAAACTGACAGATATTGGGCAGGTTACCTCGATCCTTTGGTCAACCTCTGACCATGAGCCAATATAATCTTATGACATTGTTTGATTGCATTTGACGTTTCAACACTGTTAATATGAATATTTTATAAAAATTGTATGTGAAATAATCAGAAGTAACAGAACAGTTTTAAAGTTTTATAATACAGACCAAACTGAAACGAGTTGTAAAATTGAAATATATGCTCCCAGACTTCCCAGCCGTGCAGCTACATATGGGATAAACCCACACCATCCATGGAAGGTATGAATCATTCTGCTTATCAAAGTTATTTCCGTGGCTTGAGCAGAGTTTTACTGCTAAAGCTGCAAAGCCTGTGAATTTACAGAAAATACAGTAACTTCAGATTTGAGTATTTTTTTTTTTAACCGTATAGGTTTTAATGCTTAAAGGGACACTATAGTCACCAGAACAACTACAGATCATTTCCTGCAGGCTTTTTACTGTAAACACGGTCTTTTCAGAGAAAATGCAGTGTTTACATTACAGCCTAGTGATAACTCCACTGGCCACTCCTCAGATGGTTGCTAGAGCTGCTTCCTATGCCAGTCTTGCCTAGTGTGCATCACAACATTCAGTATCTCCTCCCTCTGCATCCAGACACTGAACTTTCCTTGTAGAGATTAATTGATTCAATTCATCTCTATGAGGAGATGCTGATTGGCCAGGGCTGTGTTTGAATCATGCTGACTCTGCCCCTGATCTGCCTCCTTGACAGTCTCAGCCAATCCTATGGGGAAGCACTCTGATTAGCTCAGAACATCACTTCTGATGATGTCAGCAGACCGTTTCAGGTTTGAATACATGTAAGATTTTACTATATTTAGGGTGGCAAGATAGGGTCAGGGGGCTAGATGGTGGCTTTTAACACTATAGGATCAAAAATATGTTTGTGTTCCTGGCCCTATAGTGTTCCTTTAAACTCAACTGCAGCCTGGGGTTTTAGTTTTAAATGTAAAACTAAAATATACACACATCAAAAAGGATCCTCAACACTTGGGAGTGTTAACACATTACTAAGTTTGTAAATCATGGCCATACCATTACCTTATATTGGTAGGTCCAGATTGTGACAACTCCCTCCCCCAGTACCTCTGGTCACCCTGTTGTGAAGAGGCTATGTGTGGATTGTGAAATGCCGCTAGCCTTGCAAACTATAGTGCCAACAGAGAACCTAAAACAACTGTTACCTATTCATAAAAATAGAATCTGTGTGAAAATATTATGCTCTGCTTTTTAGAAAAAAGGCAAAGCCTCAACTGATTTGAGCTGTCTCATTTTGCAATTTGCACATACAAGTGTGTACACTCACTGGGGGTAGGGGGTGGCATGATAGCTTTTCTTACAGTGCTACCACTAATGATTGCCCATGAGGCAAATCAGAGAAAGCTGTTACAATGACACATAAAGAAAGTGCTCTTTTCTAGCATGGGAATCTGATCGTATTTTGTTTTTATTTATTTTTTTGATGGCAGGAAGGGAAATTATTGGTGCTGGTGTCAATTTCTGTGTCAGATTAGCACAGTGATTATTACCCTTCCTTCCTGCATTCGTGGACTTTCTCTATTAGCGAGGGTTTTTTTTTTCAAAAAACTTTCTAGTACTAATTTCTATATATATTTTTTTTATAAAAAAATTTTTAATCTTTGGTAGGTTTCCCCTCAAGAATCCTGAAAAGCTTGCAAAATGGATTGCAGCTGTTCGCCGGGAAAAGTGGACTCCTACAATTTACAGCAGGCTTTGCAGCGATCATTTTACAGAACAGGATTACATGCTACGCCCTGGAGCATCAAGCCCTTACCTGCGTACAGATGCAGTGCCATCTATTTTTCCTGGTTTATCTCCACCTTTGAAAAAAAACAAGAAAATTAAAACGGAGAGAGCATTTAACATTGATCCATTGCCTGCAGTCGCTGAACCCATCATTCCAGAACCATCCATTCCAGAACAAAAACTGGTGGACCAGAAGGTGGCATCTGCTGACCATACGTACTCTTCAGTGTCTAATGATAAAGAAAACGATGCCCCTCCTGCAATTGTAAATTCTGCAACCGTTAAAATGAGGAAAAAAATAAAAAGGTTACAAAAACAAGTACTTAGACAAAGGAATAAAATAAGAAGCATGAAGTTACTATTAACAGAACTGAAAAGACATCTTGCTAATAATGTGCAGCCCATATATTATCTGATCACTTCAGCAGATGATGACTAGGTATGTCTAGAAGCCAGTCAGTCTTGAAGCACTAGTCCAGTATTGGCATAGCATATTTTTGCTATAATTTTACTTGTTTCTGAAAGTCTAAACTTTGCAAGTAACTATTGTTTACCTCATGCAGTGTCTCCTCAGACATGCTGCGCCCTTGTGGTTGCTAATTGGAGCAGTCCCTGCCCCAATTAAATGATACGTGGTCTGCTTAAACAGCTTTTTGTTGAGTTATCACCTGCTTGAGACACTAGCAGGCTGTGTGCTATTGTTGCCCTTTATTAAACTTGGCATAAGATGATCACTAACTTTGAAAGATCACCATGCTGCAGTTTGCCTGTCTAGTTCTCTAGAGTGTACCTGACAGGTCTAACACTGACTTGTGTTATTTAGACTTGTCAAACGTGTCTAAACAGACTTGAAAGTCTGTAGGCTAACTAGAGCCCTCTAATGGAGGTCTTATGGGAAGAATGCATTCTTCCTTTCTTAACAAAGCAGAGGTGGTTGGTTTTTTATTTTTATTTTTTTTCCCTCTATGTAAGACAGTCGACTTGTTTGTGTGTTTGTTTTGTTTGTTTTTTGTTGTCACTTTTTTGTTAACTTTTATTTTTTTTATTTTTTGTCTGTAATGGTTTCAGAAACATCTTTATATTTCTTGCATGGCATGTACGCCAGTTTGTACCAGCTATGTGGAATCCTTGGGCAATGCTAACTTTATATGTAATTAGTCATTTTGACTTTCATTTTTATAACATTCTCTTGGACTTTATATGTATTTTTAGTAAAACTGCCATACATTCACACATTTACTGCCATGGCTAAAATATTCAAAAGCTAATGCTGCAAACCTTCCTTTCTAGGCAGATAGAGGAACTAACATTTACACTTCTGCTCTTATAATGGGGGTAAATTTTGAGATTTGAATTGGCTGACATTTTGTATATATCATTGGAGTGATGAAGCTTTTTTTTTTATTTTTTATTTTTTTCCCTCCCTTGAAAATTGCAACTGTGTAAACTTCTCGGTCTCTGGATTCTCAATGAATATTTTCTCTAATGCTAATTGTATTAAAGGTTTAATACTCAATTTGTAGGAGTAGTGTGTATCCAGGGGATTTAATAAAATAAAATCTTTTCATTGTATTCTACAGCCTGCCTCCTTGTAATGCTAAAGTATTTTCTGGCAAATAAATATCTTTTGAAATGTAATTGTGTCAGATTGTCGATCCGGTCTTTGTCTTGTCTCCATGTTTCTGTTACTTGCTGCAAAACCACTTACTTTGTTTATAAACTTTATTATATTGGATACAGCTGTAGTTCCTGGCAAAGTTGAATTCTTTTGGTTTTAGATTAACAGCAATGTGTTGTCTCTTGTATTTGCTCTCCTAAGTCCTGATGGGGTGTGTGTGTGGGCGGGTTTGTTTGTGTTTTGAGGGATTAGAGTCACTCCTAAAGCATGTTTGTAAATGTTATGGTGCAGAGTACCCATTATCCTGCTGAGTGCAGCAGTGTGAAAGTGCCACAGCTATGAACTTCTCTCCTGGCTTGAAGGAGCAGTTCTTGTCCTTTTTTTACTTTGTGAAATATATGTGCATGTTAAACAAACCTGTCTCTTCATTCCAAAGAAAGACTCAACTGCAGCTCTATGAATTCAGCATGGCAATTATCCACTCTTTGAGTTGTTCAACTCAGCCTATGTTATGAGTGAGGCTTGTCTACATGTTCCATAAATGTCTGCTGTTTAACTTTTTTTTTTTTTTGTAGACTATTAAACTAGTGTGACTACTGTAGATCGATTTTTGCCCTTGTAACAGTGTCAAAGCTGTGCCTTCTTGAACATTGCTCCTAGTTCAGTAAAGCTCTTCATTTTTACTGTTGTGTTCTGTTTGTTGTTCCTATCTTTTGTCTACTACATGGGACAGAGGGTACATTATAAAGTCCTTTGGCATGAATACCAAGCTGGAAAGTACAAATATGGCTTTAATGGAAGAGGAAAATTTTATTTTGGGAACAGGAATTCTGCATGTATGCTTACACATTTTAAATGAAGGTAAATACATTTTTCTAAATGATTTATTTTGTGTTAATATAAGATGTTTTGTATTGGAGAATCTGTGCATACACGGTTATGCTCACATAAGTAAATTCACCAGTTCAGTGCATCGCATTGCCGTCTAAGTTGTCTTTTGTCAGAAGCACAGTTTATCTGACTAGTGTCAGTGGAAGTGTTGCTTCAAAGAGAACTTAAAGGTGGTGTCCTTTTGCCATTTAGGAGATATCATTTTTTTTTTTTTTTTAATTCTTTTATTTGTGCATGGATTGACATTGATCATGCAGAGCTATGACAGCTGCTGAAAGCATTTGCATAGCATCACATAACGTGGCAGATTAAACAGCACAGTTTTTTCTTTTTTCATCATGAAAGTAACAAGCTATAAAACATTTTGTGATTTGTGATAAACCTGCTGGACAAAGTGTGTACATAGTAAAGTTGTTCTCGCTCGGTGTTACAGTGAGGTATGTTGCCTTGCTTTGGCTGCAGATAAGAGAAAAGTATAAATTTCCAAGGCATTCTGTCACTTCAGGACCACAGGGGCAGCAGTGCGTTGGCATGCACTACTAATTAGTCCGGTTCTGATGTTAAAGGTAAGTGCAGAGAGATAAACGATAATAATTTTAGCTTATCTGAGAGCAAGTTAGATATAGGGAGGTTACATGCCTACCACTAAGCCCAATATAAATGCCTTGCCTCCGTCAAAAAAAAATATTCCTGTTGGTGGCTCAGCATTTATCTCTGCTCCAGTATACATAAACCTCATTGTATTAAGTATTCCCTCAGTCAAATGACAATTTGTTTAATCTCTTAAAGGACCACTATAGTGCCAGGAAAACATACTCGTTTTCCTGGCACTATAGTGCCCTCACACTCAGGGTCCCACTCCCGTGGCGCTGAGGGGGGAGGAAGGGGTTAAACTTACCTCTTTCTCCAGCGCCGGGCGGAGAGTTCTCCGCCTCCTCACCTCCTCTTCAGCTGAAGGCGCGGCAAGAGGTGTGCGCGCGCATTCAGCCAGTCTCATAGGAAAGCATTTACAATACTTTCCTATGGATGCTGGCGTCTTCTCACTGTGATTTTCACAGTGAGAAGCACGCAAGCGCCTCTAGCGGCTGGCAAGAGACCGCCACTAGAGGCTGGATTAACCCTAACATAAACCATAGTTTCTCTGAAACTATGTTTATATATAAAAAATAAAAATAAAAAAAAGGGGGGGGGTTAACCCTAGCTGGACCTTGCACCCAGACCACTTCATTAAGCTGAATTTAGTGTTTCCTAGAGATGAGTGACTGGATATTGGCAATGCAGCTACTGTCCTGTGTTGCTTTGATTATTAAAGCCTTGAGTGTACTGGCATAATGTACTCTACAATTGCTGGTGGGCCAAAACCTTAAACTGTGTAATACAACAAGCTATAGTGGTTATGGTGCTTAGTGTGATATTTTATTTACTGTTACTTTTTGCCCTTATCTTTAAGGATCTCTGATATTGGTACTGGTACTGATATTGGTACCTGGAAACAGATCGAGCATATGTTATGTGACTTGCTGAACAGTTTTTGGTTTGGAGTGATTTTAACTGATAGTGACAGTGCTGAGGTACAAATTGCTTCTGATGTCTTATTGGTGCAATTTATTACACCTTCCTACTTATCCATGTTGTGGAATTACCAATGTTCCCTTACTTCTCGTTCCCAAGAGAGGGATGCATGTATTGTGGTCGCTATAGTAACTCCCTAACTGATGCTGCAAGCTTTGACTAGAGCGTATAGGAACTAGTGACTCATGTCACTCCATTCCGACACGGACAATAAAACCAGCTTGTTAGAGTCACACTAGTGCTTTTCCTGCTTGGGGAAGCATCCCTGAGCAGATCAAGTAAATTAAGACTTCTGGGGGAGCGAAAGCGAACCTGAACTAAGTGCAATAGAAATGTAACACCAACCTCTGTAAGGACAATGGAGCATGGGACCCGCGGTTAAGGTAACGACCTGACAGATTCCCTTTAAAGAGACACTAAACACCAGTCATTACAGTGAGATATAGTTATCTTCATGCCTAGATGCTGTCCCTGTAATCTGACAGATATAAGTATTGTGGTTTCTGAGAAAATAGCAATGTTTGTTTGTCAGTCAGTGTGCCTCTAGTGCCTGTCAAGCAGATGGCCACTAGAGGTACTAATGTCAGTGTAATTAGTGAAGACTCCCCATAGAATAGTATTCGTAATATTCCGGTATTAGGAGACTACTATTGGTGCAGTAGGGCTCTCGGTGCTATTCTGAGGAGAAGCTTTGGCTTGGCCCAGGATCATACTAGTGCAACTGTCATTAGTCTAATACTGTCCTTACCTTTTGTGTCACTATACTCCACTCCCTCTAGCATGTAAGCTCACTGAGCAGGACCTCAATCCCTCTGTTACTGTGTCACTATACCCCACTCCCTCTAACATGTAAACTCATTGAGCAGGGCCCTCAATCCCTCTGTTACTGTGTCACTATACCCCACTTCCTCTAGCATGTAAACTCACTGAGCAGGCCCTCAATCCTTCTGTTACTGTGTCACTATACCCCACTCCCTCTAACATGTAAACTCACTGAGCAGGCACTCAATCCCTCTGTTCCTGTGTGTCCAACTTGTCTGGTTACAACTGTTTGTTCGTCCACCCACTGTAAAGCGCTGCGGAATAACGTAATAGTGATTACCCCAGTAGAAGGCAGAGGTGATGTCTGCTGCTAGTTGGAAAATGTACTTAACTTAATTTTACTTTGTAAGGGGTTGGGCAATATCCAGCATTCTAAGTGCATGTTTCTTTAATCCCAAGGTGACATCTTGTACACGTTTGTGCCGGGGTCAGTGAGAAATGAGAACATTTCTTCTGGCTCTGTGCACTGAGTTCTCTTGGCATATGAAGCTTTTTGTTTATTACATCAATATCATGCTTTGTTTTGGGGGAGGAGCGATGAAATATTCTAGCTGACTAATAACCAATTAAGTTGTCTGCATCTGCTCATTCTTCTTAATTCGAGTTGTGGTTCAGGCCCTGGGTGGGAAAGCTTATAATAATAAAGTACAAGGTTTGTTTACATTGTGAATACTTCTAATACCAAAGAGAAATGTTTCCCTGTAAGGCCCACGTGTGCACAAGCCATTCCTGAGCTATTGTTTTAAACTGATATCACTGAGGCGGTTGGTATGTAGTCTGGCCAGCAGAAACTTACAGCTCAGTCTGCTCCAGGTCATATCACGCCTTCAAGGAATGAATCGGAAACTCTTGCAGCAATTAAGCTGCTATAAAAGGCTATCCCACAGCACAGTCACATAGACCTGTACCTACCGGAATAACGAGTGGGAGACAGACCAAGCCTTTAAATTCAAGGCTAATTATCCAATTTACTCATGTTGTGAGATATATGGACAATTCATACCGTGTGAATAATGCTGACAGGTGCTCTGGATTTGTTATTGTAGGTTCAAAAAATATTTAGAAATATATCTTACATTACTGGGGGGTTATTTGTGTGTTGTCTTGGCCTACTGGAGAGTAGGTCTATGATTTCCATTATTCTCCCATTACTGATATGCTGAGATGGACACCAGGTGATTCTCTCGCTCTCCCCCAGTTCCTTTTTTGGCATGTGATTAAAGGGTCACTTGTGGGTGGTTTTTTCTTTTTCTCCTTACACAGGTAGATTCTTTATGAAACTCACAACTGTAAAAAAAGTTCTGATGGAATAAAGTGGGATACACTACTACACAGAGTGGTGACTACCTTTGATCTAGGATCTGACCTTTTGGTAAAATGTGCAAATGGCTGGTTCTTCCACCTCTACATCTTGTAATTTCCCTGCATGATGCAAAAACATGCCTATTCGATCTCATTACATATGGGAGGAGGGGGTCTGCTTTTTGTCACTGATCTGGTGTGGATTGGCTCTTGTATGTCATAGCACTACCACAAGATTGGAATTCTAACTCTAACAAAAATAAAATCTATCCTATTCTATAAGATCAATAACTTAAAAAAAGGGTTGCATATACATTCATTAACTGCTTACCCTTTTATTTTTCTTGGTATTTATTAGGTCTCCAGACGTGCGCAAATTCTTTTCAGCTTGTAAAAAGGAATCAAATGCATTTTTAAAATCTATTTACCACTGGAGTGATATTGTGTAAATGCAGGAGTGATCGATCCGTTTGAACACAGATTAAAACGCATTTGATTAGTTTGTAGCAGCTAAAACTGATTTTTGAACAAGTCTGCTCTTTAGTGTGTTTATATTGTTACTCTAAGATTTCAAAGTGAGATTAACCAGTATGCTTAAATAGTCCAATTTAGTGAATATATTTGTGCAGTTATAACAACTCAGGTTTGTTTTTCCTCCTTGAATGAATACAATGCTTTTAAGTCAAACCACGGGTTTATAATGTATTAGAGGCACAGCAGTTTCAATATGTGTGTACTACAAACTCCTAGAACTATGAATGTGCACTGGTAGTGCAGGTTTTACTGCAGCTGAGAGAGAATGCCTGGTGACTTGTGTAATGGCTGTAATGTGACACTAGAAGCCTGTGGGTTTTGCTTGCAGGGAGGGTGTGTCACTGGTTGTAGTCTGTGTGTTTAGAAACTGGTTTAGGCAGCGTGGTGCAGATAGTACATGCTTTGTGATTACAGCAGCTGTTGTGTATTATGACACTCAGAATGCTGATCCAGCCTTCTGCTTGTGCTCAGAATAGAGATGGGAAAGCAAAGTATTAAACATGGTTATTGCAGCACGTCTTTCCTGAATGCTGACTTTTAACTAATATCATGACACTAAACCAACCTGTCAGCTGCTTGATTACACTTCCTAAGTTCTCTGCTAGCTAAATGCTGAAGGCCAAATGTTGAACAAACACCTGTTTTTTTTTTTTAAAGGACCACTTAACACAACTCATTCCTGAAGTGCTTTTTGTTCGGAGCATCTCCTGTTAACTTCAGTTAATAAAAGCCACTGATTTCTATATGAAATCTGCATTTCTATAATTTACAGAAACTACACGTTGGCTGTGCTGAAGCTGTGGAGTTTTTCTTCCTGCTGGCGTTGGTTCCACAAAGCGAATGGAAGTAGCAGACTGCACCCGCCCCCCTCCCTCCAAGCCTCAATGTGTCTGTATGCACATCCACAGGACTTGTGTTTTGACATCCCTGGTTCCTTGTGCCCTCCATAGCAAGCTCGTGGGGGGCAGAAATCCGTTTATGTTCAGCATCTTTTTCGTTATCTGCATCAGTCTTGTGTTTACTGATATTACATATAACATGCTCACTTCTCCCAGTCACCAAGTGCCGTCATTCTTATCCAGAAACTCCAGCCAATGAGGCGTCAGGTCACATCCTGACCCCTCCATATCCGTTGCCGCATGCAGATCTCTGAAGTCAGGTAGGCAAGATCGTGAATCTATTCATGTACTGGCTGACTTAGAATGGTAGCTGTCAGCAATCACTGATCCCAGAATGTATTGGCTGCCTCACTGACAGTTTGGTTGCTTTCAGCATGTTCAGTTAATGCCAGATTTGTGTAAAAAGTGTTGCCTTTTTGAAACTTTAAATGTACAGAATATTGGCACCAGTTATCAGCTCAAAAGGTGACTAATCTGTATCGGCATCAGCTCTGGAATATTTCCAAACTTTGCATTAGAACCTTGGAGTGTTGTTCAGCTAAGTCACATTTATTGCAGCAATGCAGAGTTTTGTTATATGCTATTGCTAACAGCAGCACAGACTATTTAAGAAAAACAACCTTACATAATCCTAAAATCATTAGCGCAGCCCAATTTAAAAACCGAAATATGACATGACAGTGTGACGCCTAAATGCGTTTCCTGGTGTATAACTCAGACTGTAAGCTTGTTTGAGCAGGGTCCTCATCAACCAATTGTTCCTGTCTTATTTGTTAAATTTCCTCCAATATTGTAAAGAGCTACAAAATAAGTTGTTGCTATATAAATGCCACAAATAGTAATTCTCAGTGCACAAAGAGCAACACCATACTGCATGTGGGTTTATGGCAGGAGCACACAGAGGACACACACAATTACAGTAATAACAGAGAAAGATGATACAAGGACAGCATGTAAAGTATATAAATTAACACAGAGTAATTTGCCTACATGTTTTGGGTTCTGTGATCTTTAACCCCCCTTAAGGACCGTGAGCGTGCTATGCCATCCTTGGCGACCCGGCTCTAAACGCCAGTGGGCTGCATAGCACATCCCTGGCGTGGGGGGATGACTTACCTGCCATGCCAGGGAGTCCCCCTGCTGCTGTTCCGGCCCTCCTGGGCCATGTGATCGCGAGGACCTCACAATTACAAGGACAGCATAACCGTCCACAGCATTGACAGCAGGGGGAGTGCCTGGAATGACAGGTACTCCCCCTGCTGCCTGTAATAAATTAAACGTCCATTAAAGATGGACATTTGCCCCTACCTAAGCCCTTAGTGGCAAGGGCTGTATCAGCTTCTAATGTCCTGACTAAGCCGTCTGGGTACGGCGAAACGCTGAGACGTGACATCATCACGCACAGAGGTGGGCAGAGCCAAACACAGCCGGGAAGTACAAACGGCGGCCATACAGCTAGATTTTGGAACTCCACCATAGCGCGCATTGACGGATTTAATCTCTACCTGGGAGACCCTCAGTGTGGAAAAGCGTGCCTGTGAGTAAACGGGCAAACATACAGTTATACCCACCATTTATTCCTGTAAGCAGCAATCTGGTTGCTTTTATCTTTTTAATATTTTACTCTGTTTAAGTGACTTGTTTGAGAATAAATTATTTTTTACCATCAATGCTAATGAGCATAATGAACGTGTTTATGGTAAGTTTGATATAAGTGTAACAAATCATTTATACAGATCTGCACTTTTTTTTTTTTTTATGTATCATACTGCCAACTACAGGGAGTATAAGTATATTTGCTACCTGTTCTCATTTTATATGCATGTGGTATGGGGCTTGTTACCTAAATATCACTACACTTTTTTTTTTTTTTTTAAGTTGTATTTTAGATGTGGTTCAAAACCGTAAAATGTATTACGATGATAAAGTGAATTTTTTTTTTCATTTTTCACACACAAATGGCACTTACATTGACGATATAATTGTTGTGATACGTTTTACTGTTTTGAAACACTGTGTTCAGTAAAGTCTCCCGAATATAACATCATCCCCCATGTACAGGTTTTATGGAGTTTTCAAAAGTTATAGTCAAATATAAGGCTTGTGTTTCAGTTTTCTCATTGAGATTTGCCAGATTGGTTACGTTGAGACCATATTGTAGCCCAGGAATGAGAATTACCCTCATGATGGCATACCATTTGCAATAGTAGACAACCCAAGGTATTGCAAATGGGGTATCTCCAGTCTTTTTTAGAAGCCCATTAGTCACAAACACTAGCCAAAATTGGGGTTTAAACTAGTTTTTTTGCATTTTTCACACAAATATTAACACTAACTTTGGCTACTAAAAAAGACTGGACATACCCCATTTGCAATACCTTGGGTTGTCTATTATTGCAAATGGTATGCTATCATGGGGGCAATTCTCATTTCTGGGCTACCATATGGTCTCCAAGGCAACGTAACCAATCTGGCGAATCTCAATGTGAAAAACATGTAACGTGCTATATTTGACCCTGTAACTTACCAAAACACCATAAAACCTGTTCGTTAGGGGGTACTGTTTTACACGTGAGACATCACTGAATACAAATGTGTATTTTATTGCAGTAAAAGCAAACTCTATTATGACATTGACAGTTAAAATGTGATGTAAAACTAAAATTATCCCTTTAAATATTTTATTCATATTAAATATTTGATAAATGAAAGCCCTGTTTCCCGTGAATAAAATATGTAATAGGTGTGGGTGCACTTCATATGAAAGAGGTGAATGATTGAACAGACAGTCAAATTCCAGATTGTTTACATTTGGCCCAGTCCTTAAGGGGGTTAAATGATGTGACTACAGTCTGTAGTTCTATCCTTTCACAGACCAATTTCCCTCTAGTAGTCTTAATTGTAAAGTAGTGACCTCTTCGTCACTTCCTCCCCCACTCTTTGTAAAACAAACAGCAACAATGGAATAGATACTCCTTGTGACAGGGTAGCTTCCACACAGACTGCTGCCTGGTCAAGTCTCTACTGCCATCTACTGGCTGCACAACTGCTGACACGTGCAGCACGTCAAAGCAATACAATGTGGAATGTTTATGGTAGAAGCCTCTGAATAGATGCATTGTCATAGATGCAGTCCCATTTCTTTTCCATGATCGCATTCCTAAGTGGGGGAGTGAGTGTACATGCATTATAAATAATCTCCCACCTCTGTTTCCAGTAGCAGCTACAGTTTGCTATATATAGCTCTGATCTAGGAATGTAGTCTTCTGCATCTAGCTGTGGGTGCATTGATACCACAAAGAGCTCCATATTGGTAAAGTCATCTAAAAAACGAATTCTAGCACCAATGACTTATGAGCTATCAAAATATCACCACATAATGTGCCCTGACATTGATTTAAAAAAAATGCCACAGGTAAATGTATATCCATCTTCCTGCCTATTTAGATTTCTATCATTAGCCAGGGTTAAAGGAACACTTGTCGCCTACAAAAAACAAAACAGCCTGCATGGAAACAAAATGGTTTCCATTTCAATCAGATGTTACTTTTAAAAAGTTTCTCTTGCTCTCTAAATTTAACTTTAAAGGACCACTATAGGCACCCAGACCACTTCAGCTCAATGAAGTGGTCTGGGTGCCAGGTCCATCTACGGTTAACCCTGCAGCTGTAAACATAGTTTCAGAGAAACTGCTATGTTTACATATGGGTTAATCCAGCCTTCTAGTGGCTGTCTCACTGTGAAACAGAAGTTGTTGACGTCCATAGGAAAGCATTGAGAGATGCGTTCCTATGGACTGATTGAATGCGCGCGCGGACGTCGGAAGAGGGAGGAGAGTTTCCCAGCACCGAGGGAGCCTGACGCTTGAGAAAGGTAAGAGTTTAACCCCCTTGGGACCCTGAGGGTGGGGGGGAGGGGATGAGTTTGTTTTCCTGGCACTAGCGTAGTCCTTTAATTACATACAGGAGGCTTACTAGATCAAGTGATAAGGGGGGAGAAATCAAAATTAAACAATTTGCGATAAAGTGTAAACACTCTTTCAAGGAAGTGTTTTTAGGGAGACTGTATAAGACACATGCAGGGAGGTGTGGCTATGGTTGTATTAAAAACAAATAAAGTGATTTAACTCCTAATGCCAGTAAACTGAGCAGTGAGACTGTAGGGGCATGATCTATACACCAGAACTGCTTCATTAAGAAAGTTATTTTGGTGACTACAGTGTCCCTTTAAGTTTCATACTGGTAATTTGTTTTGAACTGTAGAGCCTGCTCATTAGAGGTGAGAGGGCTGATTTCCTAAAATTAAAACATATCATTGCAGGTGTGAAAGGAATCTGAGATCAGCTACTTTCTCGAATATTGAAATGAAAACCAAATTGCGACATTTAGGTTAAAATAAATCTGACTTTTTTCTAAAATGTTGCAGTTTTGTTTTCCAATTCACTAGTTTTGTTTCTAAACTAACCGGAGAACAGCTATGCCTCACATGTAATATACATTTAGCAATAGAAGTTTCAAAAAGGAATGAGCAGACCACACTTATATTAGAAGAAACACTCCAAGCACCATAGCCACTTCCATCCCACTGCAGTGGTTATGGTGTCAGGAATACCATAATATGTCTAATCATTTAGAATGGTTTAGATTTTGCAAAGGTCCTGGGAGAAAGTTATGCTGCACTCAGTCTTCTTGAGCAGCAGAATTAGTCACACCTGTGACTGCTTCGGGGAATTGGCTCCATTCTCCATAGACTTCAATGCTATACATTACATATGGGCGTGCAGTGATGCCTGCTTCAGCGCCAGGAGATGTGGGGGACCTGGTAAGATAGGTATAGATCACCTTTACCTCCCAACTCCTGATGTCACTGTCAGGGGTCTTTGCAAATTTAACAGAGCTCTTAGACTGTGATAGTGGCCTGCACTTTACATAGTCAGATGATTCCATATACTGGGCAGCCCTTTACTTTCATATTGCTCTAACAGCTACCTTAAAGTTACAGCTCATACCCTCTTTCACATAGTAGTGTTAACGGGAACTTTGACATCAAAGTTATGTAGAAACTGTTGGAGAATATTTTAGTAACTGTGTACGTATTTGCATGAGGCACACATCCAAAACCACTGCAGCTAGCCAAAAGCTCTCTTCACCAAGTAGCTGTGCAGAGCCTTGAGCTGTAGTGCCTAGCCTAGTGCCAGCTGTGGCGGATATCGGGTAAGTAGTAAAAAAAAAAAAAAAAAAAAACCTAGACCATTTACAATAGTTTGGGTGGCACTAGGGCACTATGCGGTTATGGTGCTTGGAGTTTTCCGTTAATATACAAAAGTAGAGTAAATTAGTTAACTAGTTAAATATTGAAGTTCTTATATTCTTATCGTTAAAAGTACAGTGTAAACACCCAAAACACTTTGCATTATACCATCCTCAGAACGCTTTCATTACAGAGAGTTGTCTGTGGCAGCACGTGTACTCTCCATGCAAAAATGGGAAAGATCCCTTACAGAAGACCGATGTACACAAACTGTGCATAAACAGGATGGTGTCAGTTATAACTTAAATTGTTAGTATTTTAAATGCTCTTTAAAGGGACTCTCCAGGCAAACAGTTTTACTCACCTGGTTCCAGCGCCGGGAGCCTCGTGAAGCTGCGCCCCCCCATTTACATTTGGAAGCGTCATTGCTCCCTTGTGCGCATGTGCGGCATTCATGCCGCCCTCTGAAGTCCTGAGCGCACTAACGTGCATGCGTGCGGCCGCGAGCTGACCGACAGCTCAGCTTGCGGTCTTTGCCCGCCCCCCTCCTCTGCTGACAGGCAGAAGAGAGAAGGCGCGCACACATCAGACGTATTTTAATACGTCTGACATGTACAAGGCCCTTTTAGGGCCCTGCGTAATAGGAAGTCCCTCTGGTGGCTGTCTGAGTGATGGCCACTGGAGGTATTCCTATCAATGTAAACACTGTATTTTCTCTGAAAATACAGTGTTTACATTAGATTGCCTGCAGGGAGCTATAGATCATACCTGAACAAATACATTAAGCTGTAGTTGTTCAGGAGACTATAGTGTCCCTTTAAGTTTAAACTTAATCATTCCATAATCCGTGCTGAGTGAGTGGTCTGGCTGCAGTGACCCAAAGGACACTTAATATTGCATCGATTTTTGACAGCCCATTTAATAATTTCAGACAACACAGGAAATGTAAACAGTGCCGTTTTACTGTTAGCATCCTACGGTTTAATTACACATTAAAAAAAAAAAAAAAAACTGTATTCTGAGTATCAATGACGCTGTTACATATTGTCATCATCTGAATCATCCTCTTCTTCTAAAGATTCCTATATAAAAAGAAGGGAGCACTTAGTACCAGCCAGCAAGCATTGAAGTTGGAGTTAAATTGATAAAAATCGATAGAAAAATTTACCTTTGCATATTTTTCTGCCTCTTCTCTTAGATCTTTTGGAACAACTTCATGCTTTCCTTTTGTTACTGTTTGGGAAAAATCACATTGTCACTTAGTGAACATAACTTTTATTAATCAAGGGTGGAGCTACATTTGTGTTAATCTGCCCAAGGTAATTGTAATAGTTAGATTTTTGGACAAAAACAAATGTATTTAGTTTTTTAAAACTTTCAATACAAATAATATGACAGAGCTCTCAGAATAATACCATGTCAGTAAGAGAGAACATTTTAAAACATACTTACTTTCTCCTACCCAGCTTAGTTCAAGCTCAAACGATTTATCCTTGACTTCATCATGGACGATATATATTCTTAAAAAGAGAAAAGGGATCAACATGCATCAGAGGGCTAAGGGAAAAATCTAGTTTGGAACAGTTTGATTTTGTTAAGATTCTAAAAGGGGAAAAAAACAATAGTCAACAGATCAGTAATGTCTGTTTCATGACAACAGGTGATATCTATAAAAACACAATAGGGAAAGTAAGTGCATGCACCAGAATGCACTGTGTGTGCAGGTTTAATGCTGACAAGAATACATTTACATTTGCTATAGCTGCACTGCTGTTGCAGTACCAGTTAGATCCCACTTAACAGAGTCAAATGAGTTTGGTAATGTATTGCATCAGGAATAGCTCACTGTGTAAATTTGAATACTAGGACAGCAAGCCTATGGAAAGTATGTAATTTGGATCACTTTAAAAAATAGGTTAAAGAACGATTACTTCTCTATTAACTCTTCACTGTTTTATCACTGCTCCTTCTCCATACAAATACTGAATAGAATTTGTTCATGTTTTCCCTGCCTCTCAATTTAGTATTTTGTTCAACCTGTCAGAGTTATTCAGTAAAGTGTGAATAGTTGGCATGCAAGTACTTGTACTATAACTGAACCACTGATTATGTCCCTATGTGGTTTTTCAGATCAAAGTTTGTCATCGCCATGGTTACCGCTTTATTTCATGGTCTTTGTATACCTCTGTTCCAGGTTTCCTTTCTAGAATGGTCTGGTGTGTGTTTTCTGTATAGCCTTATGTGAGGTTTTCTTGAAAAATAATTCAAGATCTGAAATGCTGTATTGCTTAAAAAATGTGAGCATAAAAATCAATGCATCTCTGAGGAAAGTTTAGTGTCTCCACACAGTGTGGAAATATTGAATCTCAGTCGCACTGCCCCAGGAAGCACCTCTAGTGAGCCATCTGAGGAGGGACCAGTGGAGGTATCACTAGACTATACATACATGTGGTTACAGAAATATATAAATAGGATACACTATATAGAAAATTGACCTAGCAGCTGAAAGTGAAACTGAATACGTACATTTTCGCTACCTCTTTGACTGCTTCCCGACAGGTCATGTCTTTCAACTGAAAATAAAAGCAGTTTAAAATGTATTACTTAAAATAGCTACCAGAATGTGATTTGCCTATTTGCTAAGCCATCACTATTGTAAAGCATACCCAAAATACAAAATAAATACAAACCTTAATGCATAGCTTTTAATCTATGCATTGCACTGTGTTCATGATTGAGTCAAGCTTCTACCACTGAAGCATCCGTAGACTAAGCTACATCTCTGTCCATCACGGAGATGCATATATGACCCAATATTGCATTCACTTTAATTTATCAGTACAATCAAGGGAACCAAGCAGCCACAGTCCTGTATGGGTAAACCAAAGGTATACTCTCCAACTTCCATGCGCTGCTGTAAAAACTGGAAAATTGCTTCGTAACAATATACTACATAAACTGCCATTTACATTGCTGCATTACAGTCAAGGAATAGGTGGGACACAAGTAATCAGCAATCCTTGATTATAGCTGGAATCAGCTGACTGAGGAAGCTCCACAGTAAGGAGTGAAATGCGTATTGGCTATTTTAAAGGACTTTTTACCATTGTTTTTATTTGTTTTATATTTGAATAAATTCACAATTTGTACTTAAGATCCTTCTTAAGTCCTTTTTTGGAAACCTCAAGAATATCTTCCCAGGGGTAGTGCCATCCCCATTCAAATTGGCGCAATACCTATATACCTAGAGCTGGGACCAGGTGAGCACACCACTTATTTCTATAATATTGTGTTTTCACAAACACTATCTACACATTGGTCTGCTTTTCCTGTTTTTGTCTTTGAGAAATATCCCATACCGAAGGAGACGGGCGATGCTACCCTAAAAAGCACATAAGCCAAAATACGGAGCCAGTGTTCTCACATACAGGCTCCCAGAAATGTGAGTGTTCAATTTATCAAGACATCACCTTAATTTTATTATTATTTTAAATACCGTCTGCACTATATCGTATTTCTTGTATTTTTTTCCTCAACATGCACCTTATACTTTACCATTGAATGAGACACCATTTGGTAAGCTATATATGTGTTAGAGCGCTCCACTTACTGGTATAAGGCTTTTGTTACTTACACCCCACTAATAGCTGGAATCAGTTCAGCTTTACACAAATTTATTAATTTTTGCTCCCTCCAATTCTACATTTACTAACTGAACAACCAAGAGAGACTCGGGTATTTACATAAATTCATGACTTGTTTTTGGGCAGTTCTCTATGAAGATTTACTGAATGTTCAGTTACTTAGTTGTACAATCAATCTGTGCTACAATGTTTGGGAGGAGTTGCTTTTTCCTTTTAAAACTGTAAATATACCCTGTATGTGAATGAACATTCAGCTATTCTTTAGAAGACATTTAGCCAGATGAGAATTTCGCTCTATCCTAAGACAGTCAACTATTATAAAGTTCTTCAAGCTATTTATTCACTTTACCTGCAGCTTTTCAATCTCTGTCTTTGCCGCTTGCTTGGCTTTTCCAATTGAGCACCCCCAATAACCCTGGAATACAGAAATCACATTGAAACATGAGTTATGTTTAGAAAGTCTAGAATTTAAAATTTACAGCCACCAATAAAAACTGATAAAAGAAAAACAATATTTAAAACGGTTTTTAACATCTGCAAGTAAACTATATTAAAAAGCAATCACATATAGATATTCGATAAAAACAGAGGGTCACTGGAAACCCCCTAAAACAATTCAGCTTACTGAAATAAATTACACACTGCATTAACATTGTGTATAAGAACACAATTGAAAAAAATTCAAATATTGATTTGCAAGTGCCATTTACACATAAAACGAAATCTCTGATTCCAGGGCATCCAATTTATGCTTTCAGGGAAATCTTTTTTTTTATGTTCTATTAATTTGCTTTGAATTCAACACTGTACAGATAGCAAACTTTACCAGGAAACAGTTTAAAATAATTCTCCAAAAACCAAGACTTACATAAGATATACCTGACGGGTCAACCATATACAACTGTGGGCCATCATCCTCGTTATAAGATCCTAGCATGAAACTGGAAATAAAAAAAAATATAGGTAAATAAGCACCGTCACGGTGCACTTGTCATTTCGGTTAGGCCATAATGCAAATCTGCATTACATAAAGAAACTGAAGCTTCAGTGTTATTTGCAAGGTAAGGCAAAGAGGACACCTCACAGAAGGAAAGGGGAGTATGTGCCCCCATATAGTCAACAGCTACAATAATCGTTTAGTCTTCGTCAGCATGTCTAGCTGATAACCTTCCAGAGACATTTATGGTTATGTATAAAGAACAACTCTGCGGGAAACATTCAAGAACATTCTGTTTCCGCAAACCTCTTTATACATAACCCCACACTGGGCTTTTTAAAATACAGTTTCCCTCCAGATTAGTGTCAGTGCACAACTAGGATATCCTCTGTCTGGACAGGAAAAGGCAGGCATCTAGAATTGTAAAAGTTATACTCCTCTTATAAAACAGCAATCTGCTCACATATCCCTAGAAAATACACAAGCCAATGGATGAACTGCAAAAATATATTAACTAAGGAGGGAAATACCTGCACTGCCTCTAATCCTCCAGATTAGCAGCAGTGCACAACAACTGGGACAGACAAGCAATCCCCTCAGGGCAGGAAGAGATCATTTCACCACAACCTGTAACATCGTATGCCCAAAAACAGTATAATCACAGGTCTGTATATCTAACATATAATGTTTGGGGAATGTGTGAAATGACCAGGTAGCTTGTTTGCAAAACTGAGAAGGAGTAGCCAGCTCTGATTATCCATGAGGCAGCTAATAGGGGAATGGGGGGAGCATTTATGGCAAGAAAACTAGATCTTTTGGTTGGTTCTTTAATGCAGTGAATTTAAAATAAACTGGCTAATTAAAAATAGTGTGTATCTGCAAGGAGACCAGCTCCAGATGGGAATACATTCAGACAACAGTATTAAAACAAAGGGCTAATTAAAAATACTTGTCTTGTTGCAAAGATCTGTCTGTTATTCCACCTATTGAACAGTGCTGCGGAATTTGTTGGCAATTATACATTTTAATAATAAATAATAATAATAATAATAACTATTCTACTAAAGTTAGCAAGATGTACAAAAGATAAAAAAAAAAAAAAAAAATCCAACACATTTCTATGCAGTTTTTACATATAGAATCACAGGAGAGCCTTCCAATCACAATCATACCTGCAGCCAAACGGTCTGACGGCACTGTATAATGTGTACGCATGCACATACATGGCCACTCTGTCTGATAGGTGCTACAAATGACAGCAAAATGGAAGAAGAAAAATAAAAAGAAGTTAAGATGCTGCATTTAAATTATTAAAAAATAAACATTTTTCAGGAAACACGTCAGAATTTTACCTTAAGAGGAATTTCATATCCATAGTTCGATCTGAAGTTGGAAGCCTCCTCTCTAGCTATGTCAGCCAAGGAGCGGGCATCTGCCAGGAGACCGGCTACAGCCTGTAATACATGTAAGTAACAGCGGTAAAACCAACCCCCATCCACAGGCACATTCTAAAGCCTGTTATAAAGTAGCTATAATGCTTATGTTCTGCAAATATTAAATTGCACTTGTGAGTTTGTAAACCATGGGCCATCTCGCCTGTGAGCCATTCTGAAGTGCCAGGAGCTGAAATGTTCCTGTAGCTTTAACATGGCGAGAGGGACAGATGGACAAAGCTCGCCTTTTCTGCACCACACAACCATCGGGTCCACATGGGATCCATCCATATCGGGAGTCTGTGCAAAATATGCACAGACCCCTGAAATGGATAGTCTTGGTTTAAACATTTTTTTCAGTTCATATAAAGCCTGGAATTATATTTATGAACTATGAGTAACGCTGCAAATTTATTTTAATGCATCTCTATTGGCAGAGTTAAATTAAGTTAAATGTTTCAAGTCTATCTTTAGATGTTCTCTTCCAGGTTTAATAAATTGATATTACTTAAATTAATCACTTTGGTATCAAATGTGAATAGTGTACGATTTTATTTTACAATTCTTGTAAACTTCAAGTGAAAGGGCGTTCAAATATATTTAATTCAGTGACAGTAGAACATGTGTAAGGGTAGAAGCTCCCTTCCTTACAGGAGTTTTGTTCTGTAATTTGGATTTGAATCTAAATACTAGTGACATTGACAATATACACGTCTTTAAGAAAGGAGTGATGCCAGTCCTCATGTATTGCTAAAACTTTACTCCTTATTCAAATGTTAAACTGAAGTTTAAGTCAAATTTCCATTTATTTCGACTCAACTTAATATTAGAACAAATACATTTTGATAACATTTGGAACGTTTAGATTGTTAAAAACAATGCACATGTACAGTGTTAAAAAGTACACCATTAACTCTAGTGTGCCTCAAACAAGAGAAAACATTAAAATATATTATCCCTTACCATACCAACATGGCGATCAACATTGAAAATTCGCTTGTTCGAGCCGTCTTCATAGAGTTTAGACAGGACTAGTTTCTCAACACCAAACACAACCCCATCCTTACATCGGATGCTGATGGCAGTGCTAAAGAACATTACAGAAAAATTGTAATTAACATACATATCATATAAATAAAAATCAATTTTATTCATAAAAATGGGCATGCATCGGGGATAGATAGGCTATCAGAGTTATATGGTAGAACACAGTAACAGTTAAAATACTGAAGTCTACTTATTTACATTTATTTAGGTAATGGGGGCAGGAAAGAGATTGGCTTCCAGCTCTCTCTGCAGTGCAGCAGTAGGATTGGTTACAGCAGGGTGGCCACGGACTTGCCTGCAACACATACTTTTTCCCAATGCTGCTGAAAGAGTCAGATGTGAACGACATATCAGAGGCCATACTTCCTCTTACTGCACAAAAGAGAGGAACGGAAAATGTGAGGAAGAAGCGCAAGGTGCCGGAGCACCAACTTCAGGGTTAAACGGTTGCCAAATGGTTTAACATTTGAAGGTACAAAGTCACCTGGACACTCCTGCCTTCATAATTTAAATCATAATGGGGGTAGGAGTGTTCCTTTAACACAGTTTATATCTCTCAAATTAAATTACTTTCACCAAATCTGATTCTGGTGTAAAATTTCAGTCATTTATTACTTCACCATTTCTCACGTTTAGCCAGGAGACCCTACAGACTCACACGACAACACCTTTAATGAAAGATACTGTTGCATAAATGTCAATTATTCTATAAACTAGCCGAAATATTATACAGAGCTGAACAATAGGTAAATTATAACAAACATCTGAAAACGGGAGATGATGAGAGCCTAGCTCAAAGATTACAATCTAAATGAAGTGTGATATTAAAGGAACACTATAGGGTCAGGAACACAAACTTTATTCCAAATATCAAAATACATTTATTCCTATAGTGTTAAAAACACCATCTGGCCCTTCTTGCCCCCATCAATAAAGCAAAATCTTACCTTTATTCCAGTCTGCTGCTGGCTCTGCCTGCTTGGCTGACATCAGAAGTGTTGATCTCAGCCAATCACAATGCTTTCACATAGGAAAACATTGGATTGCCTGAGCTTGTCAAGGAGGCAGATCAGGGGCCAGCACAAGCCAAACACAGCCCTGTCCAATCAGCATCTCCTCATAGAGATGCATTGAATCAATCCAGCTCTACGAGGAAAGTTCAGCGTCTCGCCATGCAGAATATGGACACACTGAATGTCAGTCACACTGTGCAGCACTGCCACAGAAAGCACCTCTAGTAGCGATCTGAAGAGTGGCCAGTGGAGGTATCCATAGGATGTAATGTAAACACTGACTTTTCCCTAAAAAAAGACTGTATTTACTACAGAATGCCTGAAGGGAATGATTATACTCATCAGAACAAATACAATAAGCTGCAGTTGTTCTGGTGACTATATAGTGTCCCTTTAACAGGACACTGTAGCTGACTCATCTAACTGAAGTGGTAACAATGTCTGGAGTTCCCGGACGCTGTCCCTCCATTCCATATTTTAATTTTTCAATGCTAAAAGAAAGTCACCGGCAACCAAATCCCCTCTGTGCTTCTTGGGCTAATGAGGAAGCAATAGCCTATGCAGCAATGGGCAGCTGTGACTGGCTGAGAGTGTCAGCTGACTGCTTTCAGCCTATCAAAGAGTCTATTGCTGGTATGATTTAATAGGACTAGAAGGAAGTGTATAATTTCTGTCTTAGCCATACCTACAGTAGGGGCTAGATGTGGGTAGTCAAGGATCTTTTGTTATCATTAAACTGCTTGAAAATGGTTTAACACTGAATGGAGGGACATTACCAGAGCACTCTTGGCTTTGGAGTGCAGTTTAATATGGCGTTCATTGTTACAGTGTAATGTAAAATTGTTATCTCATATTGGGAATGCAGTAGGTTTCTAATCAACAACATAAATATTGTAAAATTGACTCTAACATACAATGCTTTTCAGTGGTGCTGTCTCTTGAAAACGATTTATTTTACTTTTTTCTGCAATGATACTAAAGAAAGCAGTACCTACCTACTGTTCTCCACAGCTTTAGCTGCGTACTCAACTTGAAAGACTCTGCCATCTGGTGAAAATGTGGAGGCTGATAAGTCATACTGCAGATAAACAGGGGAAAAAGAAACATTAAGGACAGGAACACTTGTGACATAATGTGCTCGTTTACAGTTTCTTTATGTAAAAAGTAAGCAACACAGAGCACTCCCTACCTTTCAGAATATTTGAACACGTGACCCTGTCGCCGTGTGCTTCAATGGGATGTGTTTATCAAAGTGCTCCGAAAAGTGTCGGTTAAGTTATGTCATCATTTAGAGCATATTTATTTAAGTGTTCTAAAATTTGCCCTTTTCTTTTTCCCATAGTAATTACGCCAGTTTTCACAGAATTTGCCGTTTCAGAAAACCGACAAGTTCAGACTAGCGGGGGGGAAAAAGATAAGTGAACACTTTCCAATCTGAAAAAAACGGCAGAAAGATTGATGGTCGTATCGCCTAATTAACTGTGTATATTAAAAATAAATCCAGGTAAGGGCACAAAAGAAGCAACAGATTTATAAATCTGATGGATTTAATCAACCGCATCAAAAATGTTCAGAAAATTATATGTCAACGTTTTGGTGATATTTAAATAAATCTCCCCCTAAAAAGCCTGTCTTTCACTCAAACATCATATGCTGAAATCCAAGTCTGATCCCCAGGGTGTATTTTATTGCCTCAGGAAAAGTGTGCAGTATCTATATAATGTTTTAAGAAAACAGATTTAAGCCTAATCTAGAGTGTCCCTTTAAAAATAAGTGGAATAGACCAAGAATCCTCAAATTTAAAGGGATACTATAGTGCCAAGAATAAAAAGCTTTGGCGCTTTATTCCTGGCACTAAAGCTCCCTCTGCCTCCCCCCTCCGCTGCAGTGAATAAAAGGTTAAAAACCATTTATTTACTTACTGATCCCAGCGCAGATGTCCCGCCATGATGGGTGGTCCACCTCCCTTGACAAGCACAGTGCAAAAGCCTGTTACATACAGGAAGCTGCTCGAGTGTAGCTGTTTGGTAGACAATCACTGGAGGCGGACAGTGCTGCATTGTAACCATTGCAGCATTAAGTGCAATAGGAAACACCGTACCCAGACCGCCTCAATGGGCTGCAGTGTTCTGGGTGTCCCATGGTGTCCATGTGATGACTACAGAGACCCAACTGATGGTCAGGGTACCCACTGCACATACTAATAGCACCCTGTCAGCTGCACAAACAGAGCTGGATATTGGTTGGTTTAATGTAATACTGTGCCAGGTGCACAAACAGAGCTGGATATTGGTTGGTTTAATGTAATACTGTGCCAGCTGCACAAACAGAGCTGGATATTGATTGGTTTAATCTAATACTGTGCCAGCTGCACAAACAGAGCTGGATATTGATTGGTTTAATCTAATACTGTGCCAGCTGCACAAACAGAGCGGGATATTGGTTGGTTTAATGTAATACTGTGCCAGCTGCACAAACAGAGCTGGATATTGGTTGGTTTAATGTAATACTGTGCCAGCTGCACAAACAGAGCTGGATATTGGCTGGTTTAATCTAATACTGTGCCAGCTGCACAAACAGAGCTGGATATTGGTTGGTTTAATGTAATACTGTGCCAGCTGCACAAACAGAGCTGGATATTGATTGGTTTAATCTAATACTGTGCCAGCTGCACAAACAGAGCGGGATATTGGTTGGTTTAATGTAATACTGTGCCAGCTGCACAAACAGAGCTGGATATTGATTGGTTTAATCTAATACTGTGCCAGCTGCACAAACAGAGCTGGATATTGGCTGGTTTAATCTAATACTGTGCCAGGTGCACAAACAGAGCTGGATATTGGCTGGTTTAATCTAATTCTGGTACAACCGGGGGGGGGAACCAAAATAAAGGAGAGAAAATGAAACAATACCATACCAGATCATACCACACCATACCGGTACAGACATTTGTAAAGCCAACAGCTACCATCCCCATAGTGACAATCTAGGGGAGCCAGCCATTCACCATCCCCCCTCCCCCGAGCACTCACCCCGGTACCGATAGAACTCATGGCGGCTGGCTGGACAGGCGGTGATACTGCACTTTCACTTCTGCACTTCCGCTGTACGGCCGCTCACCAACAAACCGCGATCCGATTGCTCGAGAACGGACCAATCAGAGGGCGTGACACGCCCCCTCGGCCGCGGCGTGCGCACACTGCGGCCAATGAGAACGAGGGATGGAACAGACAGCTCGTACCATAGAGTCCGTATAGAGAGAGAGAGAGCGACACCTAGCGGAGCCTGCTAGTAACACAGCACAAACTACCATAGAGTCCGTACAGAGAGAGCGACACCTAGCGGAGCCTGCTAGTAACAGCACAAACTACCATAGAGTCCGTATAGAGAGAGAGAGAGAGAGACACCTAGCGGAGCCAGCTAGTAACACAGCACAAACTACCATAGAGTCCGTAGAGAGAGAGCGACACCTAGCGGAGCCTGCTAGTAACAGCACAAACTACCATAGAGTCCGTATAGAGAGAGAGAGAGCGACACCTAGCGGAGCCAGCTAGTAACACAGCACAAACTACCATAGAGTCCGTATAGAGAGAGAGAGAGAGAGACACCTAGCGGAGCCTGCTAGTAACAGCACAAACTACCATAGAGTCCGTATAGAGAGAGAGAGAGCGACACCTAGCGGAGCCTGCTAGTAACACAGCACAAACTACCATAGAGTCCGTACAGAGAGAGCGACACCTAGCGGAGCCTGCTAGTAACAGCACAAACTACCATAGAGTCCGTATAGAGAGAGAGAGAGAGAGACACCTAGCGGAGCCAGCTAGTAACACAGCACAAACTACCATAGAGTCCGGATAGAGAGAGAGCGACACCTAGCGGAGCCTGCTAGTAACAGCACAAACTACCATAGAGTCCGTATAGAGAGAGAGAGAGCGACACCTAGCGGAGCCTGCTAGTAACAGCACAAACTACCATAGAGTCCGTATAGAGAGAGAGAGAGCGACACCTAGCGGAGCCAGCTAGTAACACAGCACAAACTA